AAAAAAGCGGTTAACCGGTTCATCTATAATTTTTGACAGAAAAAGTCTTCCAAATCATCAATTAAACTATTTTAAAGATCCTTTTTTTTTACTTTTACATGTGATAAACATGCGCAAAAAAACGCCGGTTTACCGCGGTTTTACCGGCTCAGTTACCGGCTCCCATTACCACAGAACGGATAAATACCGCGGTTTACCGCAAAAATTGATCCGGTATTCGCAACATGGGAAACTTTCGTATTGGTTCGAATGACTTGATTTAAAACAACATTCACGAACTTTAACAAATCATTACAACTTAAGACGCATCTACCCTAAAACAATCTAGAACTCAACGTCGGGCATTTGTTTACTCTACATATGAACTTTATTTGTTAAAGAAAATCATATTACTCTGATCTATGTTTGGAATTTCAGAAGAAATCAAATTAGAAGAAAGATATTCCTAGTTCTCTACCCCTATATGATTATACAAGACATTTTTTTTACAGTATCGATTCAAAATATCTTAGGACATACATTCGATAGTTATCAGATCAAAAAACATATTTCCATTTTTCTTGAAAGGTTAATATTCGTTTGTATCATGTCAAATACAGATTTGCTGTGAAAAACGCCTTGAAGATAATAATAAGATAAAAGGTTTTCTAGCTGTAAGCTCATCATCTGTTTTTTATAATTACATTTTTGGTTCGTTTTCAAAATCAGACACTAAATAATTTTGCATATTTCTAAAATTATCTGTTATGGATAAATGACTAAAATGTTAAAATAAGGGCATACAAGATGTGTCGTGAAGTTACGCACGATCGGAAAATGAAAAAGAAAAAAGAATGATCGAAGTAAAAAAGATACAATCTGAGCATCATTTTTCATTTTACAACTCAAAGTAACTTATATGCAGTCTTACCGAGATAAATCTTGAAACACTTTAGCTACTATAAAAATATCAGAGAAGTAGTATCGCTGCGAGACCTGCGTTACTAAGCAATATTCTATTCATTTTAGAAACAAAAAACTCAATTTCGTCTTGCTTTCTATTTGCAAACTTTTAAATTCTATAAGGCGTACTAGAAATTAAAAAAATATTTTTGCATTGTGTTTAATAGTAAAAAAATATATGTTAAAACAATGCCGGCTGTTCGTCTTTCGCTGACCTCTCTCAGTGACAATTTAATTCTTTCGCTTGAAATATATCAAATCAAATGTCACTCTGATCTCACTCAAATTCTTTCATTTCTTTCGCTGTTCTCTTTTACTTTTTCTTTCAACATTTTTTATATGCTGCTTCTTATTTTCTGTTTTCACTTCCTAAGGGAGGACAAATATAACATTTTTTGTTAGTAAATTCAATATGAAAGCTGCTAAATTGAAGACAAATTATCATTGTATAGAACAATGTTGATATTCAGGATATATCATTCAAGTGACATTATAAATAAGATATTGCTGATTTTCACCTGGAGATGCAGTCTGAATAAAGTTGTTAAGTATTATATAAGTGAATAGCAATATTTTTAAATTGATGGATTATCATTGTTCTCTTCATACTTATTATAGATTATAAATACTACTTAGTTCCGTATGGCAACTGCGAGCTTTGTTCGGTCTAGGTTTGTCTAAATATGAAAACTATGAAATTTCTTTTACTTGCTCGGTATTCGTAGACCTCAAAGTTCTACTCGACGAATACTGGATGACGAGGCAGAAGAAACATCTTTAGATAATTATTTGAGAGAACGCACTAGCCAAAAAGATCTTACTCGATATCAAGTGGGTCATAAATAATGATAATTAATAATTATCAAAAAGTTTTACTTTTATAGCCAACCGATAGCAGAAGTCAATCGTTTCAGTGTTGTTTTTGTCAAAAATTTCACTCATCATCAATAGCTCTAAGTGGTCACTTAATGTCATGTGGAAATAAAACTGATCAATGTCCAAAGTGTCGGAAATTTATACGAAGAGCTATTTTTGCTTATCATTATGAAAACGAATGTGCAAGCTTGGAAGAGACAGATGCGTTTACTCCTCGCTCTGAAAATCCATCAGCAAATCGTCTTACTTCAAAGTCTGATAGTTCAAAATTAAGAGAATATGACCAAGAAGATGATAGTAGTTTTAATTCTTCCAATAATCGCACGAAAATATTAGATGCTACTTCATCATCGCCTTTTAAAAAAAGTTAGTTTCTTTCTACTTGCTTCAATATATCCAAAGTCTAGGCTTGATTCTTTTTCTTTTTCATTCAAGGAGATTTATCTAATATAGTAATATCTAAATTTTCTCATAACTGACCTCTATCCATCTATTTTCAGCACATTCAACAACTAACGCGTATCACACTTCACACGATATCGTTTATATCCCATGCGATATTTGTAATGAGCAGATTGATTTACGCCACTGGTCAAATCACAGTGTAAATCTTCTTTCCCATGGATTTATATATTGTTCATAATGTTTTTTCTTTATAGCAAGTTTGTCGAGACAAAGAAAATCGTCGAATAGCGACTCTTACTGAGTAAAAATCTCTTAGACATCTAAATGATAGTTATATATTGTAGTACGTAGAACAATAAATCGAGAACCTGTCACAGAAAACGTTTCATGCGAGTATTGTGAAGCGTTATTTCCAGTACAAAGACTTCAACATCATGAAGTAATTGACAAATTGAGTATTGTTTCATAAAAACTATTTTGTCAAGTTTGTAAACAGTTCACTTGTGAAAAAAATCCTTTAAATTCAAATCGAGTAGCCAAGCTTCGTAATAGTCGACCATCATCGACAGTCGTGCTTACAAATGAATCGCCCAAAACTGATGGAGATCTAACACTGCTCTCAAGTAAGTTGAAAATTATTAGAACATACCATTTTGAAATAACTAACACTTATACTCTATGATTTTAAGCGTATCTTCCCTTTCAACCGACGTCTCTATCGGTTTATAATCATTCCGCATATCCCAAAAATACTCTTGGTCAAACCAATGATCGAGAACGTACTAAAACATCAAAAAATAGATGTACTTCATCTCATGTACAAATTAATGATCATAGAATTAATGACATTCCGAGACTGAACGATAATGGTAGATCATCTCTGGCTATTGACGAACAGTCAAGACTTAGACAACGTCGAAGCAGCAGTAATTTTGACTCAACATTGATAAATTCTTCTGGTCATGTTAGTATTCACGATGCCTTGTCTGGATTAAAAACGGAACGTTTTCCTACTGGCACGCAATCATTAACAAATAGATTATATGCTACCAAACCACCGGAGAGAAACTCAGAATCATACAGAGCTATGTCCACAATACTAGGGTCAACAGGTAATTACTAATCAATTATTGTATTTATGTGTGACAGTGATTTTTCTCAGCTGTTGATTCACGTGTGCGATCGACATCAAGAAACTTCGTTGATGCACGGGGTAGCCATCATTCAAACACTAATAAACCTATTCAGTCGCGTTCGGATAGCGATAATACATTTTTTGAAAGTCCTCGTAGCGAAGATCATGTAAGTAAATTCATCTAATTGAATTTTTTAATTTCTCTCTCAATTGTACAGGCGAATCAGCCAAAACTTAATCAAAAGACTCGTCCTCGGACGAGCAATACTAACGCCCAACGGAAACCATTGTAAGTATTACAAGAATTTCGTTTTGTTATTTTGCTTCTTTCGCGAATATGCTATTATATCGATGAGTTTTAACTATTATTTAGATTGCTTCAGCCACCAATGAAATACAAATGAGCAACAATGCCTTTCGATTTCAAATAACATCCATACTTTGAAATTTATTATTTGTATTATTTTAACTGACAAATATGACTTTATGTTGGGTTTGCCTATGTAATAATTAATAATTTTTCTAATAAACACAGATTTTTTAATTTTTTTATAATAACCTACTTAACTGACATTTCATAATACTTAAATGCTGATAGTGTAGTGGAAATGTGTAATATGATTGATTCATTTATTTCTATCACACAACATTTGTCATAAAGTATTAACTAACTTGTATTTAAAACTACAATTTCATTTTATTTTATTTTCAAAAACTATTCGATGACATTCTAATATAAAAATGTCTCTACTAATATTTCAGGTTTTGCCAATGGTATTATGTGGCAGGTTATTATTAAATTTTCCCTTGCGATAAAACAAGTTACAGTATCTGTTTAGTCTTTACAACGAACCTGTGTCGAATTTAAAAAATTCAAAATTGTAACAAATTGTTTCTAGTTGTGTGATATAATTTGATGAATATAGATTACTATTTGAATTAGATTTGTTGTTAGTCTATGTTATTTATTAAATCTTCGTATTGGGTAAAAATCGAATCTATTTTGAATATTCGCAGTTTCTGATTCAGTACTGATTAAGCAACTCAACAACAATTAAGTCGTTATCTGGATAATTGTATCATTCAAATATGTAGCTGCACATCAAGAAGGATTCTCAACAAAATAATGATGTTTAAACCAGCCACTTATATTGATAACGAGTAGCCTTCGAATTATAAACTAGAACGATGAAATAGCGATACAAATAGATTTCGACAAAAAGCAATGACTTGTTTTAGCGAGTCAAAAGTATTTTTATCTGTAAAGCAACGTTAAAAAATCTATACTGGCATTCGGTGAAGCAAACATAAGGCTTCTACAGTAAACAGCACAGACAGAGTTAGTAATGGTTGAGAGAAGAAAAACTTTTCAATAATGAAAAATATGAATTACGTAGCACATGTTGTCCGAACTAATTTTCTCTAGTTTTAATTTATTTGAGCTGAAATTTTTCTCAAAATATTATGCATTTGATTCTCTAGAAAAATGAACATTAATCCCATAAAAGCGAAGACTAAAACTTTCCTGTAGTACTAATGCGTGATTCATGTTTCAACTTGGCGAAGATCCAAAAGATCTATTTTATTTGCATATCTAAGAATTTTCAAAATAAAATCTTCTAACGTGAAATTTTTTCTTAAATAATTAGAGAAGTGTTTTCTTTGGTTAAATAACTCTACTATAGTAGTATACAATAAGATATCGTCATGAAAATTCATCGACACACAACATCAATATTCTATACTCACAATATTACTCTAATTAGTATTTTACCTTCTTTTATATCTATGATGGATACTTGTTTTCATTTGTTTGTTGAGAATCAGATGGAGAGTCTTTTCGAAAAAGATTCAGTTGAAATAAGTGAAAATAGTAAGGGGGTACTCATTCGAGCATTCCCTGGCACTCCAATGCATTCTGAACTACTCGAATGGCTTGGAATGAGGTTTTGTTCTCCTTGAAGCGAAATACATTGCTTTTATGTTACGAAACAATAATGTCTCATAAAATAATGAAGTAAGTAGACCTTCGCATTTGTTGGTCATTCCTCGTGTTTCTACATTTCTATCTTAAAACATCGATGAATACTCATCTCAATAGAAATAGTATTGCATAATCAAAATGGCACCAGTCTGGCGGATGACTTTTTCTTTTCAAAACATTAACACATCCTCTTCAGTACTAGACGCTCGTTTACAGTCAGAGGCATATCAACAACAAAACAAACGACAAGATAGATATTTCCTTTATTTACTATTACTTATGAAATACACAATTCCATTTATTCGAATAATCGATGTCATTCTCTAGACCTTTCTAATGGTTAAACTTTGATATATACTATCAGTGCTGGCAATGTATTGTAAAAGAGTATCGCTGAAGGCAATAGTACCTATACAGATATTCTGCATGTCCCATTTATTTATAAAAAGAATTAAAAGCTTCAAGATGCTACGTACCAGAGCATCAACCAGGCCGTGTTTTTGTAGGCCTGGCCGGTCCGTGACAGGCCTTTGCATTTCAAGCCTGCCTGTGCCTGTCAACTAATTTGGTCGGCCTGGCCTGCCTGCCTGTCATTCTGTACGGCCTGCCTGGCCTGCCTGGCAAAGCCTGTCAATTATTTTTAATGCTAATATCATTACGAGGATAGAATAGAAACATGTAATTAATGTTGAGAATGAAGAAAACCAGTTTAATTAATTTAATATGACTAGATTAAGCATTTACTTATCGAAGTTTTCATACAAAAAAGAATACATCAGAGGCAGCATCGTATAACATTAAGAAAAAAGTAAAGGTTTTAACAATCGATAAGAAAGATCTTGATGATAATCGATAATACAATTTTTAGCAATAATCAATAGGAAAGATCTAAATAATAATAATAAACAACGAATTTTTGACCACAATCAATGAACGAATTCTCTAGTCAACTCTCCCTAAAAGAAACGACAGGGAGTCCCCTGACAAATCCCCGGGGACTCACAATAGGGGGTCCCTAGGGATTTCGTTCTTTTGCGGGGACTCTCCGGGGAGTTATCTGGTCAAAATGGATGAGATTTCTAATTACTAATAAATTCTTCTTAATTTTTTAAAATTTAAAAAAATTGAAAAGTTTTTTTTTTATTTTAAAAAATTTCATTAATTTTCCCCGGAGAAATCCCCGGGGAGTCGTCGGGGGAGAGTGAATTAGGGTTCTATTAATCAAAAAGAAACTTGATGATAATCGATAGTAAAGATTTTAAGAATCGATAAAAAAGACCTATATAATAATCAATAAGAAAGGTTTTAACAATAATCAGTAATATTAAAAAAGACAGATAAATGAAAACACAAAGAGCGAATGGAGAAAGGAAACGAACTACGCAATTTGAACTGAACATTAGTCATCATTTGGATCAATCACAATGAACACAATACATTATTCTATACTTCATCTGATTATTAGCGCCAACTTCAATTAAAAAAATGTTTATATCGAAAATAAAATTATATATATAAAGAATAGAGACAGGCCAGGCGGCCTGGTGTTTTTAAGCTGCCTGCCTGCCTGGACGAGGGTTCGGCCTGGCCTGCCTGTGACAGGCCAGGCCTCAAGATCATGGCCTGTGCCTGTCACAGGCAGGCAGGCCCAGACAGGCAGGCAGGCCACTAGGCCTGGTTGATGCTCTGCTACGTACTTCATGGTTTTTGATAAATCGAACAAACTATTGACTCCATAATCTTTCATGTTTTTAAACCATACGAATTCGTATTCTATATCTAGAATGGATCGAATTCGATTGGATATTTTTCGGTCAAGATTTTTATTCGGCGAAGTCGGAGTCGGCGAAGATGTACTAATTCATAAAATTGAACAGACTGTTTCATGATATTCTATACGTTTAGGTTGAAACTAATATTCTATGGATGCAAAAAAAAAATGAAAACAATACAAAAAGCAGAAGGCATCTTACTAGTTGAATTTACAGTGCCGTCTAATTATGGTTGATTTTGACGTAAGGAACAGAAAAAAATATCAACAGATCGTATATTTGTTGGCTCTGATCTTATTGTGCGACAACTATGTGGACTTTCATATGAACATTGCCAATGTAATACTTGTTAATTTCATTTGAATATTCGATGTTTTCCATCAAGGTATAGCCATCAAATTATTTTATATTCAAAAACTAATTTGTTTTCTTTAAAGATACTACTCGGTCATGAGAATGATATATTTAACGATTACGAAGTACAACAAAAGAACACACTTTATAATATTTTATTTAATTACAATACATATGATGAACTATTTTTTAAGAACATCTTAAAATTAAGTATTCTAATTCAATCTGTAGATTTTGTAGAGAAAGATTCAATTCAGCGATAAGACATGGCCGGCACAGGCAAAAATGCCTGTACTTTGTTTACTGAAAGAATTCGTTTAATAAGAAAAACAGAAAAAACTGAATAAGTCGAAGGCATCTTTTTCTTATGCGACTATCGAAAATAAATAATTGTTGTGGAAAAATATGTTATTTTAATGAGTTGAAATAGGTGTTGGCTAAAATTTATAAAATAAATTTTGTTCGATTATCATTTTGATAACAATTATTAGATCAACTTGAATAAGCGATCTACTTATGTTTGTCAAATACAATTCGCAAAATATTATGTGAATGATATTTATCAGCAAACAATTTTTGCAGTGATAAGTCAATTGGAGTTCACAAGTACAAGAAGTTTACGAAATGATAAATATTCTTACTTGTGAAATTCAAACATTAAACAGAGAACATTCTTCATTACTTCATTTAGATCGAAGTATTGGCAAGTAAGTATTTAATTGTTTTCAATGTCAGTGGTACGGCAGCGGAAATGAGAACAGAACAATGTTTTCTTCGTTGGCAGAAGGTATTCATGATCTTGAAAAAAGTAACAGCTTGCTAATTCGCTGAGAATCATAATTATGCGCCGTACTTATTTTAAAATTTCTAGCTTGGAAATAGGTAGAAACGGTAAAATATCCTATATTTCAAAAAATAATTGCATTCCAAAGTCAATTTGAAAAGCGATAGCTTGCCTTCTTTTCAGACTTACGTCAAAACTACTTAATTGTGTTTAATCATAGAAGAGACACTCATCAGACACAATCTTCATAATGTCACTCGATACTTTTTCTATGATGCATGAATTAAACTATATTCGTTTAACACATAATTTTGAGTAATAAACCGTAGCACTAATTTATCATAGAAAAATCACAGACACGAACATATTATGAGAAGAGTTGGAAAGAGCAGTAAAGAAAAACATCAATTTATTTACCTCCATTTTATTCATCGCCAATTGTCTAAAACATGCGAGCTCGGCTTTGCTTAAGTGAACACGTAAATGTTCGACGTACACATGTGTGGTTGTTTTTTTTTGTTTCAATCCGTAAACCCAATGATACAATCTGACTTTAGCCCTTCCACTACCAAGTCGCAATATCAGATGATCGTTGTATATTCAACAACTATTGGTTAAACAAGTGTTAAAACGAAGAGCATAACAAGAAGAAACGTCGTTTTCATAAATATCATTCGAAACTGACATTAACCAAGATAATTGCAATGGTCAGAAAAACTCCACATGAAAACTGTTTTTCTGATTATAATCAGCTGTGTCCATGAAACAATTTCTATTGTTTGGTGCGGATTTTATTTACATTTAATTATTTAATTGCATCACCAGAGTTGTAAATTTGTTTTTCAAGAACTTAAATAATAACTGAACATAATAAGTAAGCCACCAAAACAGAGAAAGATATGCTTGTAATTAGAGAATCACATTTTAATAAAAATGATTATTAAAAGCTGGTTAGCTTTGCTTTTCTACTTGTATAATAAGACAAACAGACAATAGGTAACATATTAATATCTTTGAATTAGTATAAAGACTGGTAACATGAAATAAATACATTTTTCTTTGTCTTTTCATGATAGTCCTAAAGTATTAACGAACAAGTCTGGAAGTATTTCATATTTTTAAAATTAGATGCATCGCTTTCATGATTGTATTTAAACTCCATTAATTTCAAACTATGATGAGAGATATTTCATTTTTCAATAAGATCAGTTTCGGGTGTTTTGTCATGAGTTTTTCTGCCATGAGTAAAGTTCAACTGGTCTACAATACTCAAATGATGTTTCTTTTTATTTTAACTGATTGTAATCACCAGGCGTCATACAAAGATCTTAATGTAATTAACACCGTTTCAACAAGCGTCAGAAGAAATTCCGTTCTCCAGATCATTTCGTTACAAAAATGCTGATTTTGGATGTTGTCGCGATGGACTACATTAATGCAATACTTCACATCGCATTAATGAATCTGCATAGATTGTCGTACGAATATCGTTTAGATAATAATTTATCAAACTACGACAAAACGTATACAAGTGTAATATGAATTTGAATTTGAATTACATATAAATATTATTTTGCTTTCTATTTGTTTCAAAATCAGAATGAAGCATTAACCATGCATCAGTGAGCACTTTATGAAATCTATCAAATGATTATGTTGTCATCGTTAGACTTACTCTTGCTTTCTTGTTGATTGGGCAGTAAAGTACGCTAATTATCAAGCAATTTTTGAAAATTAACAAAGGTAAAGATGATTGGTTCTTTTCTCATCGTTTCTAATTTTGTGCTATGTTATTTTCAAAAAGTCTAGCTAGTTCCTATTTTTATGATTCTTCAACAGCAACAACTAATAGAGTAGGAAAAATCAGTACTCGTAAGATCGTACGCAGCAGTCGTAAAATATGCTGAGCGATAGAGAATTAAGCAACTCAACTATAAAAATTCGCTTTAATACATGTACACGACTGCAAACGATAATAAAATCATAATATCATGAAGAAGTACAACAGTAATGATTCACACACAGTAAAACAATGAAGCACGATTAAGAGTAAATGTTTACAATAAAATCAATTCAACCTCGTAATCTTTGAAAATACAGACGATGCCATCTTCCTATGGGTGTGATGAAATCAAAGGAAAATGGTAGGTTCTTTCGCATGGCATGTTGTGATCTGGTATACATAATAAAGCATGAATTAATAAATATTTTACTCATATCTGATAACGATATCGTCTATAATAAGTAGATGACAATGATAATTAACAAGAATTTCTACAATGTAATTTATTGATTTCTTTTGTCGATACAATTATACTCAGAAGAAGTTTAAATGCATGAGTAACATATATGTTTTAATGGAAATAAGAATTGATTTTTCATCTTGTCTAGTTATTTCGAATGGCAAATAAATCATTGGTCTTGTTGGAGGCTTATCAGTAGAAAACGCTCGTTCTTATTCACAGGATATGCTTTTTTTCTCTTCGTTCTATAGACATGCGTAGTATTTTTTTTTCAATGACACGAATCTGTTGAATAAGAAAGAATTTCTCAATATTAATAGTTGTTTTAAACATTTATGTATATACGTATATATGTATGTATGTGAGAGCTGATAGGTGTCTTTCTTTCTCCACAGATAGATCAATCAAGCATAACCAACCATTTGTATTCTTTCTCTTAAATGCCGAGTCTACCGTAGTAATTCATTACACGTGAATAACTAACTAGTAAATCATGACGGACGAGGAAACCAAAAGTCGCAATAGAAGAGAAATGTCTAAAACTGATGTATCGAATAATATCCAGTAATTCATTTATTTTAAAATAAAATAATTGTAATGGATATCTTCGGTTTAGGAATTCTGACAAAAATAAAGCTTCAAAATCATCGAATGGAATAGCAGCTCCTATTCAAATAGTTGCATCGATTTTATTAGGCATTGCATTTGGTTTCTTAATGAACAAAACTAACGTATATCTTGCTCCGATGATTCGAGAACAAATGATATTTAAACGCTTGACTATGATTAAAATGTTTCTTGGTGCTGTTGGAATGTCAATGTTGAGTGTGTTTTTACTTATTCTTTTCAATGAATCAATCTATCAAAATGTTCGCAATGGATTTATTCATAAAATCAATCGTATTGGAGGTGAATTAATTAAATTCTAGGATTACGGATAAAGATGTCTATTCGAGTTTCGGAAAAAAAATAATCTAAAATTTCTTGTAAAAACCTTGATTTTTAGTTATTCACTGAAATTTAACTCAGAAGAAAAACTTTCGATAAAAACAAGATGGAATCATAAAGTTTCAACGAATTCTTTAAATATCAAAGATTTGTATTTTGTGGTACACTCTCTAATCGTCATTAGAGAAAAAGAAAATATTAAATTCTAAATTCGTCTAAAGCAAAAAGGAAAACATATATCTTCTTAACTCATCAACTTTTATAATTGTCAGTATTTTGATTTTTTTTGATAATCAAAATAACAAATCTGAATTATATTCCTTTTTAAAAATTATTCGACGAGCAATTTTGTTACTAATCAATGTTTTGCAGTTAGCATGAAAATGAGATCTTTAGAATAGATTAAATCTTCTACTGACGGAATGAATGCTCGCATAGTAGTCTTAGTTTCCAGTGATTGGATTATATGATCGTTAAAATAGACCTGTTGTCCATCGTTTTGGATGAAATCAAAACAATTAATCAATACGAACTCATTTGTATAACGACTTTTATTCTGGACGATTAGTTTGTATGATGTTTTTCTAAATAGGATAACTATTATAATAAGTAAAAAGCATATCACTCCATAGTAAATTAGAGAAGATCTTCTGATAAAAACAAACAAAAATATTTCCACTTCAATAAAAACCAGAGTCTACTGAAATTAGAACTCAATGACGTTTTAAACAGACACTATTGGTAGTCATTGTACGGCTCGATATTGAGATAAAAATCTCTTTAGTTGCAGAAAGACTTCTATTCGAAAAAATCAGTTCACATATTAAATCTTTTTTTCCAGCTTTTCATCTTGCCATGGGTGGATGTCTTATTGAAGTTGGCATGGTTCTAGCTGGTAGTTGTCCAGGAACAATATTTATTCAAATGTAGGATATTCTTTTAATTCTACGCTAATAAAAATTCTTTCTTTTGCGTAGGGGTTCGGGTCTACCAAATTCTTTCATAACATGTATTGGTGGTATCTGTGGAGTTTTATTTTATTATTTATTTCTTAATGAACGTCTGACAAAGCAGGAGCTACCAAAATCATCCATAGTTCTACAACAACTTCCAGATTTAATGGGTGTAAAACATATTTATCTGAATCTAATATTTGGTTTAACATTTATTAGTATTGCATTCATTCTTGAGTACTTTTTCCCCTATAAAAATGATTTAATTCAATCAGACGGATTTCAAACTTTAAGTGCTTGGTCACCAGCATTGTGTGGTGTCGGAATTGGCTTGTTACAATTATTTTTCATGATTTCATTTAAAAAATCATTGGGTATATCAACCGGATTTACTGTTATTGTTGCACAAGCATGTCGTGTACAGTTTTTCAAAAAATTAATACCATCACTAGAATCGTTCACTTATGGAATACAAAATAGTTTAACATTATTGTTTGCACTTGCAGCTATTGCCGGAAGTTTTATTTCAACTGTTTCAACAAACCAATTTCCATTAAATGAAAAATATGGTGCAAATGTTTGGAGTAGCTTCTTTGGTGGATTCTTACTATTAGTTGGTGCACGATGTGCTGGTGGTTGTACAAGTGGACAGGGAATCTCGGGTAAGATGAGTTTCTATACTTTTCGAAGTTTTACTGTTTCCTAAATTATTCATAGGTGTTAGTCATCTTTTAATTGGTTCTCTTATAGCAACTGCAGCTATGTTTGGCGGCGGAATACTTTTTGCTATCGGCTATGGATTGATAACAAACGACTGGCATTTTTATGATTTGTAAAACAAGATTTCAGCTAGAAACTCGTAAAATTTTACTTAATTTTTTTTCTAAAGAAATAAATTTATTAAACTACACTTCTGCAGAAGAATCTTTGTATGTGTATGATTTGAACTTGAATAAATCAAAATTGTTTGAAATACATGGATATATTATGGAAAATAATGGTGAACAATCATATGTACGGTGAGATTTTACATACTATGAAATGATATATTCACGAGAAGATTCAGAGCTTCATGCATTTAATTCAATCATTTTTTTTGGATAAACTCTCTTAAACGAACACATATAATTCAACATTTTATTTCAGGAGTAATATTTCGATTTGTTTGTAACGTTTTTTTAACGATCTAATTCGTGGTATAACAATATTTATCTTATTTTATGTAATCATATTAATTTATTGCAAGCATAGACGTATTGATTAGTTGAAATACAGCTACAAGACTGTTCATAAGTAATAATAAATTTAAATCAGTATCCAAACTATGATATATGTAATATTTCAAATTGTTTCCTAGTGAATTGATTCGTAAAAGTAAAAAAAAACTGTGCTTTGACCAACCAAATATTGTGCATCATCATACATCTGTGTATTCGATTGTAGAGAAATGATCTAAAATCCATTGTAATTTATTTGACTATGTTTTTTGTGTACTCAAAAAGTGAGTACACTCTAGAATCGGTCAGTGTGTACGTCCGGCCGTAGGCACGATAACTTTCGAAAGGAGAGTCAGACCGTGATGAAATTTTCCACACAGTTCAATCTCATGAATATCTCGGTCGAGTTCGAAGATGAGAAGAATCCCTCAAGAAATGGTTGAGTTATCGAAAAAATTGTCATTTTTGACCAGGCCATCCTTGAGGGGTAGTACAGGGAATTTGTTTTCAAAAAATAAATCTTTCTCAGAATTATTCACAACATATATAAATCGACTCAGCTTTTAACGCTGATTCCGAATCTGATATTAGTTTTGAACTAAATTGTAGCTTTCTAATGAAACATCGCCTGAAGAACGTCTCAAAATGCACAAAAACTGCATCCAGAAATCAAATTGCCTAGTTTCTCATGATAATTTTCGTGTTCAGACATTCTAGAATGACTCATATGTCCCATGCACTTTTTGCAGTACACATAACTTTCGGATGAAATCCGAAGTTTCCACATTTTTTAGCAATATAAATGTCAGTGAAAATGTTTTTTTTATTAAACAATGCATAATATCAAATTCTTTTAGATCACTTAACCCTTTGGTAATCAAGTGTATGTATGTACGTCGTTAACTATACGATAATAATACAAATTAATTTATATGAATTTGTTTAGAAATAAAATTTACAATAGTAGAAACTCCGTGCATCATGATTTTTATAAAATACGATTAAAAATTCAAAGGTTACAATAATTTTTAATTATCTGTGTGCTGGTGTAAGAAGCTTCTGACGTTGTTTATATGGGTGACCTTTTCACAATGTTACTCTTGAACACTACCAGAGCATCTCAATCAACTAAATCTATATAAGTTAAGATTATGGTGCATATTTTCAAAAGAGAAAAAGCATTACGTAGTTATCGCTTCGATAACATTCAATATTTTCACTTTTTCTTTCGTTTTTTATACTCAATTGGCGGTTCTCATCCCGTTATATTTGCTTATGAATTAAGTGCATCTGGTTTTTTCACGTGTTGTCGAAGGAAAGGAGAAAAAAAAATAACGGAACTATCAGCTATAGACAAGTCTAACTGTCGTCAATAGTCTATCGGTTACCTTAAGTAGTGAAGCGGGTGCACAACGATTGCCTCTGTTTTATTTTAAATCGATTTTTAGGTAAGAACTTGTACTTCTTTTATTACAAGAAAAAAACTATTAATAGTTTCAATATTGAAAACGTTATAATTAGTAAAATATCATTTAAATCAATGCTATTTTTTTTTATATGCAGACAATGAAATGAATATTTGAAAGAGTGAATTCGTTTTTCAAAATTATGTCCATAGATTCTGTTTCTAATTTTCGAATAGTTTCAGTGAAACAAGATTATGTCAAGTTTTCATCGTATTCGTCAATCGTGGTGTCGATCATTAGGTTATTTGGGTCTATTCGGGGTCACAACTGTCGGCATCATGAATGTCTCATGTCGATATAATGATAATGTTCAAGTCAATGATGCTTTTTCAAGTCATACGTCTCAACAACAAAAAAAATATCTTTTCTCTGGAATGCATGATCCATTCGTTACTACTAATTTACATGAATTAGAACGGTTTCATAAGCATTTTTCACAATTCTCTTCTTTATATCATGAGAATTCTGACATTTTGAAACAAAAGTTTTCCTTGAAGACTCCTGTTAAGATTCGACCTATTACAGAATGTCCTGTTAAATTTCAATTATCATCCGGTAATTCAAAAACATTGATTGTTGGTGGTCCGCCAGCATTGATCGCAGGTGTTTCTATAGCGAAGACGGAAAAAGATGTAACCTATATCAATGATGAACGACGAATACCAATCTCTTACGGTTCAGCTTGGCATCTAGAACAAGATGGAGAAACAGAAGCCCCAACTAGTTATCGTCCTACACAATTTCTATTCGAACAACTCGCTCGTGTAACATTTCGGTGCGTGAGGTATACATCGATTCAACAAACTGGCTACTTTCCATGGAGAACATTAGATTGGATCAGTTGGCTGCAACACCCTAATCATTGGTTTACTGGACTTAAAATATCATTAGCTTTTCAATGGGTGACTATGTTCGGAGATCGAGTAGCAATGTTAAAAAGCGTCGCTGCACAATGTGTTGCAAATGAGATTTTTTTCGAACGATTAAATCAGGAACTAGGTGGTCAACTTTTGATGCGTGACAAAGGATCGATTATTGTCGCTCGAAATAACGAAGAAATTTTACAGCTAGAATCGTTGAAGACAGCTTTAGAAAAAGAAGGAAGAATTTTGAAAATTCTATCTAAAGAAGAAATGCTTCGTCGTTATGGTTTTCTTCCCAAGGGTCTCATGTATGGTGAAAAACTGCATGATAGAGTTTTATTCTCAAATTTTACTAAAATACTCAATAATTCTATTCGAAACCAAGGAGGCCAAGTTATTGATGGAACATTGACTACGATCTATGTTGACGATCAGCAAACAGGTGGCATCGCTGAATATAAAACGGCTGATGGTCAAATAAATCATCTACCCTTTTCCAAATTAATTGTATCACTGGGCAATCAGCCGATTATCAACAAAAATAATAAACCTTTGTTTGATGTTATTGCTGCTCGAGGAGTATCAGTACTTGCTCATGTCTATGTACCCACAGAATATCAACTTCCGCCTGTTTTGGTTTGTGGAGGGACGAATCATGCCACTAAATTATCCGAAAATCCTGTGAAAGTGAAAATGTCTCATGAGAAAGAATATGACTTATATTTGATGCGATTTACTGCCGGTGCCTGTATTACACCGAATGTTTCTGATGAAAATGCTGCCAACTACGATGGAACAATTGCGTCAGGTCTAGTTGCAGCTGTACGAAACACATTGGGTGAGTCTTGTCAAATTGAACCACTTATTGTTCATGGTTGCAATCGACAAGTCAGTCGTCATGGACAGATTTCTTGGATTGAACCGTATCCTGGTATTCATGTGCAATATGGAGCGGCTGGTGGTGGTCTTACACGAGCACCCGATTTTGTAACACGGCCATCTTCGTAGAGCACATCTCGTTCAGTTTCCCGCTTCGTTGTAGGATTATTATTAGATTAATTGATATAGATTGCTTGTGCTTAACTAACAGGAAAAACATTTATTTTTAAAATAAACAGATCAGTATAATTTTAATTTCGACGATATACGTATGGGCACAAAAACAGATTTATACTTCAATTCATACTCTCTAGATTTATAATAGTTGCTAGTTAAACATTTTTTCTAGTTATATTTCGTATGAAAATGAAGAAAGTGTAGCGATATGATACATTAGATCAGATCTACTGAATTTTTGTTTCCTTATGCTATATAGATCATAGATCACTGTAAGAAACTATTACTTTACTTGTTCCATGATCATTTTTATTATTATCAAATGTGCAAGACAAATATATAGATAGTAAAATTAACATGAAGATTCATGTATGAGTTACTACATGCCTAATTCATCTTTTTTCAAGCATCCATTGTTTTATCTTTTGTTTCGGGCAAGAGCATTGTTAACAAAACGACGATGAAAGCTAAAGCGGATGATGCATAGTATGTTATTGGTAAGTATGTTTCGTTCACGGAAGTATTGATAACCGGTGCAATAATAGCTCCAAGATGACTAAAAGCAATAAAAAGTCCATTTGCACTACTGCGAATAGAAGTTTGAAAGAGTTCTGGTACGAATATCCAAGAGACCGATATTGCTCCCGATACTGTATATTTACCAAATTGAGCAATGAATACACTAGCGAGTGCACTATGTTTCTCAATGAAAGGTATGATGAGAACGCAAATCGTTGTGAGACCTAGCATAAGAATGAATGAACCTTTACGGGCGAATTTTGTGACTATAAGTAAAGAACTTGTTATGTAACCGGCAGCTTCAACAACAGCTCCGATGAGTATCCCAATATATGGAGATATATTTAAAACTTCAAGACCGTAACTTATTTCATAATAAAGAAGGTACGTTGTGAAACCAATAAGATTGATAATAAATAGCTTGATGAGACTGTCTCGATTTGAAAAAAGTTGACGAAGTTGTTGATGAAATGGCATTTTTCTTTCATTGTGAACATCTGCCATTGATTGATCACGTAAGAATTCTTGATATGATGGATACCATTCAGCTTCAGATCGATTATTTCGTGTCGCTATACGACGCAAAAGTGCTTCGAGTTCAGTATACTGTCGTTTACCAGAGAGATAAAATGGTGTTTCGGGCATAAAGTAAAGATAAGGCAAAACCAAGGCAATAAAAAAAGTATTAGTCCATTTGAGTAGTTCCCAATCGAATGTGAGATAGGCACATAGAGTAAGAATGGCTTCGCCAATTGTAAATGCGACCAATGCTATGTTTCCAACGAGACTTGTGTGAGCTGCTGATGTTAATTCGAGCATTAAAATGAAAGCAACACTGTAAGTCGACACAGTAAGACCCGATACTAGCTGATTGAGAAGCAATAAGCCAAACCTGTGCGAATATTTAAATCATATCATTTACAAATATCGAAATACATAAGTTACATAAATACATCTGTTTCATTCAATGGACTTAGTAAATTGAGTATACTAGATTAATGTGTGTTAAATCTTTTTGAAATAGGAGCCGTGGATTTCTTAACTGTTGTTTTATGGGACATTTGTTTTTATAAAACTAATCTGTTCTTTTTCTTAGCTTTCAATACCACAGTATCATTTGTCGAATTTGTTTTTACCCATGTTATGAAAAAGAAATGCTATATTATTAAATTTGGAAAATACAAATGCCAAGATTAGTTGATCAAAAAACGGAAGAAAGCAAAGAAAATTCATAAATTCATGTCAATATGAATGCCTGCATGCATCAACTTACTTGGTATCCACTGTCATTGGTATCCATTGCATAGAAATTTGTGTTAGAAGACACATTACACAAAGAAAAATAGTCGTTATAATCGTTGTCTTTCTTCGTCCGTATTTATCACCTAAAGAACCGATTAAAAGCAATGAGAAGCCACCTGTCTGCATCAATGTAGACACCCAACTTTTCTTTGGTGTATGATAACAAACAAGATTAGCTTCTTCAGTAAAAGTGTATCCGAAAACAGATCGATCGTAGGCCCAACCATTTGGACAGTTGAGAAGTGTTGAATTCCTATCTTTCATTGTAGAGCGCATACATTTATTCCATATGCCATCTTTTTCTTTTGGAATGTAGGCGTTGATATAAAATTCATGTGTTTGATTTATCGGCCAATAGTGTACGTCGTTTGGCCATACAGACGGCGACAATTGGCAACGATGCTTGGGTTCTGCTGCTCCGTACACATAATAGAAAGCAACCATACCAGCACTCATCGAAATCAGATTGATAAAGAAAAAATGTATGAACTGAAATGGGCCGAGATCGCCGCACAATCGTATTAAACCATCGAGTGACACTGATTTTGTTGTTGACGATGATCTTGAAGTAGTCCCATCAGTTAGATCAGTCTATGAGTTCATTTAAATTTATTGAGAGTACAAACAAGAAAGTGGTATTTGTTTGCTTACATTCAAGCTGGCCATGTTGTCAAGAGCGTAGGTAGCAGAATCCATGTAGTTTCTAATATCACTTAAATCTTTTGCTTTCTTCAGTAGATATTAAAATTGAATAGAGAGATAACGAATCGCATGATGTCATATGCTTTATCACATTTCTGGATTCTCAAGGGACAAACATGCAGAGTCATTCATATATTCTCTTTGAAATTCTTGTGGTTTCTTTCAAACAGGAGAATTTCTTCAGAGGTACTCATGCGTATTCAGACTGGTTCACAACAAACTACGTGAGAGTCATGATAAGAATTCAATCAGAACCAAGATTCTTCATCGTTCACAAAGATTTAGGATGAAATGATTACATAGCATTCCATAAATAGTATGGTGATTTAATCCTTTAATCAGCTTTGAGATTCACAAATCATTTCAATCTTAATCATAGCAACGAAATTTAAATCAAATGGACCATATATTTCGGTATTCCTGAACTGATAACGGAAGCTATGGGATCGATCGTTAGTGTTACACAAATGGAATAAAAATCAACTCATTTAGAACAGTAAAAGGATGATTTTCGTAAATATGCTTGAATTTGTTTTACATCTAACCCATAAAGAAAAACGTTTGAGATGATGATCTTCGTTGAAAATTTGATTACGACTATAACATAGGGATCTTGAGCAATATTGAAATAGATGGTGGGAAAACATTTCTACTAATGTGAATATGTACCGAAAAAGTATTTTTAGAATATATTTGTTGTGGTTATCATTTCGTTCGAACTCTTTATTATGTATTTCTTCTTGCTCAACAAACGATACATTGTCAGACCCAGATGAGTAAGACTTGTATTAGCAGCTTTGACCGTCACTTATGCACTTCATATATAATGTTTTCCCTACAAAATTCTATTCTATAACTCAAGTATCAAAAAATTCTAAATTTAATTTGCAATCGAATGGTATACCCATGTCCAAGAAAACAGTGTGTAAAATGCCGTCAACGGCGTAAAAACGGTCCGTAAAACAAGCTGACAGATTACGGCGAAATAAGGTGAAAAATAATGCCTTATTATACCGTTCTATAACCGTTTCAGACCTTTTAAGATGCTCGTTCAGACCGGAGACCGAAATGAATGACAAAAGTGCCTTTCAGTTCGATTCGACTCAAATTGGGTTTACAAAACATGGTACTCATTATTACATAGTATTGCTGTTTTCAGATAGTCATCTTATTAGAATGAGAGTAGTCTGTTGATCTTGTATTGAAATATGTTGAATAAATATAATTTATGAATATATGCATAAGAATTATTCATCTTTTTTCAAGAAAGAATACACAAAATATAAATTAATGAACGCATCTAAATAGACTACTTAAATAAGGGAACTTATCCAAATCAACGACGCCCACATCCACACCCACACCCTCAATTTCATCGTAATGAAACACATGGGTTTCCATATTTACTATTTTGCTTACTTTTATTTAATAATATAGCATGTTGCTGGCTTCATTAGTTTAGCAAAAAATTATTGTGTAAATGATATTGAAATCCAACTGAATCTCATGAATGTATCAGTTGATATTGAATCTAGCTATTGTTATCAATCTACATCATGTTTATCTAATATTTGCAGCGGTACACAATCAAGAATCTAACATAATCACGATTACATTCATTATTTGGATAAAATTCATTTGAAAATTCATGGTTGCTAACTGATATTTCTACAAATGTAAAAGTAATAATTACTTCACAGGAGGCACTCTAACTTTCAGCTTATTATTTAAAAGAACTTTTTTTTCTAATTTTTCCTTCTCAAAATAGAATTCAATAGAGCAAGAACAATTACACGCTCAGCTAAGATAAAATCAGAACAACAGACTCCAAACACAAGTACATTATCTCAAAGTAAACCAAGTCAATTTATATTGATTTTAAACAATCCTAAAAATGAACTTTATTAGAATTTTTTTCATTTAGAGTATTCCACACAAGAAAAAGTCATAATACGCCGATATTTGAATATTTTTGCAACAGTTTTTATTTTTATTTTTGTATCAGTTAATGCACTAATAAAACATTTTTATATCATTTATAATTTTATGCTTTACTTTTATTTTGTTTTCTTTTCATAATAAAATCAAGTACTTGTTCATCAGGTTCCCGTTAAAACACGATAACGATAGTTTTGATTGAGCCTATAGAAGTAAGCTCTTTCTCAATTCACACAACTTCTTCATATTGAATTCAGGCGACATGTTCTTGTGACAGATCAATATTTTATAAACATTGGCAAATAAAGGTTGTGAAGAAAGCGTAGCTGGTGCTACTTGTTCATACATTTGCATGACAGTCTCTCTGGAAACAAGCCTCCTTCAAGACGCATTCTTAGCAAAATGGTATCAGCCAGAAATGAGCTTATTAGAATAATGTTAGATTTTCCCTCCTTGATCATTTTTTATAAAAATCTTGAGAAAATATTCATAGGGAAAAAATAAAAATAGATGTCACTGATGAGAAGTGCATCTGCTATCAATTAATTCCACGAAAAAAACAACTTATGACCTCTCTGACAATATACCAAAGAATCATTCAATCCATTTCTTAAAGTAAAACTTCTAATTATTTTTTATTTTACTGTTTAAATTATACACCACATAATCAAGCGTCCAATGCACATACATATATATGTATAAAAAACGTTACATGCTCCTCCTTGTCAAGTCTTTGTGTAACTGTTGTCACTACTCTCGATGACAAATCCAAGCGCGTCGTTTTCTTATTGGTTACCTTTGTTCTACCATATTAAACTAACACATGTAAACATACATTTGTCCCTCTACGAATTCTTCATTTCACTTTTATATTTACATTAGGTACTATAATAGAAAATTAATTTGTGATATAAAAATGTATTGGACTTTTGCTTATCTTTTCTTTTTGTTTATCATATCAAGTAAAGCTCATACACCAGGAACAGTAACTGTTGATATACTTACCTTTGATAAGATTCGAAATAATTTTGATGCTGTTCTCGCCAAATTTGATGATAAATACCGTATGTATTCAGAAGATGATTTTTTTTCTATTAAACTGATGGTTTTTATATTAAATTTTAGCTTTCGGTGAAAAATATGATCAATTCAAAAGATTTGCTATAAATGTTGCTAATTCAAAGAATCTTGTTGTTGTTGAAATTCCAATAACTGACTATGGAGAGAAAGAAAATGAAATGCTTGCTTTAGAATATGGTGTTAAAAAAGAAGATCATCCTGTATATAAATTATTTCTCAAAGGCAAATCGAAACCAATTGATTATACGGGTGATAAAACAGAAGATGATTTGAGACGCTTTCTTTCGCATAATACAAGTAAAGTAAAGAAAAACTTTTTTTATTCTTATCATTTTCTATATTTAAAATAATTTTATTCTAGATATTTGGTTTGGTTTTCCTGGCACCGTCGAAGAAATGGATCGTTTAGCTGAACAATTTTTTGTTGCATCATCAAACAATGATGAAAATACACAAAAGTCATTGTTGGAGAAAGCACATGAAGCAGTTAAAAAATTAGTTGATAAGAAAGAGCAAATAAGGTTGGAATCTATTGAAAAATATTTGTTAACTATATCATCTATTCTTTTTTTGTAGTGGTAAATCGTACATAAAAATCATGGAGTCAGTTATTAAACAAGGCAGCGATTTTTTTAAACGCGAAGGTCGACGTGTTGAAAATCTTCTCAAAGGAAAGGTAAACAAAAATAATACAAAAAATAAGTTCTATGCAAACTCAATGATGATACCCGCCATGCTAATGCTGAGGGAATAGTCTTGACTATTATCGAAATTTTTTATTGTGAATATGTATCGTTATCAACACAAATGAAGGTACTTTATTCGTTGAATATTTCGATGTGGTTAGCTTCTAAATGTCGATTTATTCCGTTTAGAGTAATTCGTGTGTGTTGTTGTTTTGATACATAGTTATTGTAATCGATGACGATAGATAGATCAAGAATTAATTACTCAATGAGCTTAACATCTCGAACCTGAGAGTTTGCGTTCATTTTCTTAATTAATATATTATTTACACAATGGATTGTTTTATTTAAGATTACGAATGAAAAGAAACAAGAATTACAACATCGCGCCAATATTCTACTCTCATTTCAATCATTAACTGTAACTACTGATAAAGAACTGTAAAGACATGAATAATGATCTCGCTTGTGATAAATTGACTTTGATCATATATATACAAATATTAGTTCGTAGTTTTTGTGTATTAATGTAACTTTTCATGAAGTAGTAACATTTTAATTTTTTTACATTGTTTCGCCTTTTAAGTAGTAACATTTTAAATGTTTTTGTTTATTTTGAATGATATTAAATATAAACCTATAAAACAAGAAAAAATAGTCAAAATTATAGTTCTAAAGATTTTAATTGACTTATGCATGATAGATAGTGTGAATACGAAAATTAAAAACCTAGAAATCTTTTAGATCATGCCACTCTCGTTTGATTGGCCATTTCCAGAAAAGCCATCAATATTATATAAGGCAGTTTCAACTATAACCATTGGACTTGTTGGATCGTTTAGCAAATTTTGGATGAGTGAGCGAGTTAATAGTTTCTATTGATGCAAAGCAAATATACCATGTATATTCATTTTATAGAATATGTTTCATCAGTGCGAATTGAAAATGGTAATAATAGTTCGTTATATACTGTCGTATTCATTAATATGCTATTTTTTTAAAACAAAAGGTGAGTTTCTTCTAAATGCTGTATTAAATCGGCATCCAGATCGACCATTGATTACTGTAGCTAATCATCATTCTTGTAAGATTATTTAAATGTGCATTTTTTTTGTGTTATTGACACTTTTGTGTGCTTTTTTCTGAATAGGTATGGATGACCCATTGTTGATCGGTATATAAAACGGTAGTTTTTTTCCTCTCTGTCCCTTAAAATTGATTTCTTATTCATAGCTATTGTTATTAACCTGTTTTTTAATCAACTTTTTTAATATTTTCTAGCAGCTACAATACCACTTCGTATTTTTTGGACCCGTCATCGAATGCGTTGGGCTTTGGGTGCTGATGATATTGTATTTACAATGAAAAAACATCAAATCTTTTTCAGTTTGGGTAAAACAATACCGGTGACAAGAGGTGATGGTGTTTATCAACGACCTATGAACTTTGCTCTCGAACAACTTAATCAAGGTGGATGGATACATATCTTTTCTGAAGGTAAATATCTTTTAATTTATGTATGTTTTTCTTGTACACTTCATGTCGAGCATTTTTTGTTTTCTTAATCGCTTAGGAAAAGTCAATCTAACAAAGGAACCTATGAGACTTAAATGGGGTAAATGACAACATAACAGTTTTTTTTTGTTTCTGATAAATAACAATGATATGTTCTAGGTGTTGGTCGACTTGTTGCCGAAGCTGATGTTTGTCCATTGGTTGTTCCATTGTATCATATTGGTAAGAATATTTACAAGGTAGAACGTCATGTTTAAATAGTGTTTTACTTTTAGGAATGGATGATGTTCTGCCGAATGTAGAACCTTATGTTCCTCAAGTAGGAAAAAAAGTAAGCATTTATGTTGGTGAACCATTAATGTTCGATGGACTTGTAGAAGAAATGAAAAAAGACAAACGATCATTGGTATGAGATAGGAAAAATATTTGTTCAACAACTGTTTTTTTTTTCGTTATAGCAAGAAATACGTAAAGCCGTAACTGATATAATTCAAAATGAATTATATAAACTTAAAGTAAAATGTGAAGAACTACATCGACAACATCGAGGCAGTGATTCTTCTTCGTGAAAAGTCTAATGAAGAATTAACTTTTTGTGTTATGTTGTAGTTTTTTATTAGGATCCTCACGTGTGTTTTGTTTTCAAGTGTAGGATTCAAGAAAAACTTAAAATTTTTATAGTGAGCGCTATTTCATGAACAAACCCTGCCATCAAATCATTAAATGATTTACGTCTAAAAGAATATAAGACATCTTAATACAAATGCAGTTCGTAAAAGTTAACTAAAAATCAAGCAATTGGTAGTATAACAAAAGATTTTCTAACTCCCGTAGTAACTATTTCACCTTCAATTGGCATTCAATCAAGAGAGGATAAGAAAATTTATTACAATGATGTGTTAAATTTGGTGTATAGTAGTTAATACACATTTCTACGTAAATCTTACATATTACGGCTTGATAAAGATGTCGAAGCAATTATATCTAGAATTCTAAGTTTATTCATGGAAATATAGAATGGAAGCAAAATTGACAGCTCCATAGACAACAAACTAATATCAATTAGATTAAAGTCGTAAACAGTTTTCATTATATGATGTTGTAAACAACAACTAAAAATTAATTTTAGTCTATAATAAATCAGATAATTCATTTCAACTTCTCGCTGTTTATAGAAAAATATGATTCGGTTTCATATCGAACACAATAACATTAGTTTTTGTGTTGATAAAATTTTTCATGGAACCTTTCAATTTAAGAGATGCTGCATTCAGGCGCATTCTGTTTTTCACGTATATCATTTTTTTTATTAGAAATAATTTTAGGATTTAAAACGGTCTAATGTCTACAAATTCCATCATTTTGTGAAACTGCATTCTGAAAATTCGATGAATAGAATTCATTAGGAACAGCGCGAGAAAGTTTTAAAACATTTAATTGATGTTTATTATGCTCGATAGTAAGAAAGAAACATGGTAACGCGATGTTAGGCTCGACAACCATTTACTGAAAGGATTTAATCATGTAGAACATAGCTATTCAAAACTATTTAGCTAAGAGACTTCACATTTTATAGTTTCGAAATGATTTTCATGGAAAAAACGATTGATAACCGAGCATAAATAGAAAACTTACTTGGAAGTATCGCCAAGAAAACAACATTTAAGTACTACTTACTAATACTACATGCCAACATTGAAGTTAAGTGCATCCGATCTGGTACAGCTCAAGCTATGCTCCGAAAACTTTCGATCAGCTTGATAACGGAGTGAATAAAAAGACCCATTCAAGAGAGCTATGATCGAAATACTCCATTTTAGTAAAGTAACAACTCAAATTGATCTATGGACTAGATATTTAGCATGAATCTGCACGAGTAGATCAGAGATCAAATCAAACAGCCTTTTTCTAACTCGATTTCGGTTAGCTTTGTCCTCATTTTTGCTTAAACTCATGTGGGTTCATTTTGTTTCCGTGCGTTTTCGGTCTCTAATGCATATATGCATTCCCGGATACAGGCTCACAGATACAAAAATCGAACACTTACATGTTTTGAATCACCCAGGTCATTATCGATCAGTCGGTTCTTGTCGCATGAGTTATATTTCCGATGTCACATGGTGACCGGATTCGGTCGGTTAATTTCTGGTGAATTCCAATTATTTTCTTTGTTTTCTTATGAAATCTGCTTACCGGGTTCTCCAAGAACCGACCAGATTTACATTGCCGGAAAATATCAGGTCAGAGGATACGATTGGACCGTATACGACGTGATCCGACAATATCCGGTAACGAAACTTTGCCGGAATCCGCCGTGCCGCATGACGCTCGATTTCACGGTATATCCGGCCTAATCAGTATCACCGGAACCAATCGAATCATATCAGAACGGAACGGTCCTACTCACCGGATTAAGCCACTTACTACAACACAGATCTGACCGACAACATCTGCAACTAATTACTAGGTGCTAAAGGAGGATCTTGTGATCCATTCCGACCCTTAATTATCAGCTCACACAACCGATGACAAGCATGCATTAAAAATTATGGATCATCCAATAGGTTATTTATGAAGAGTCAATCCACATGAGCAACATGATTATGTATTTATTGATGCTGAGCGAAGTCATTTACCCAAATGAATCTCACTCAAATCGTTTATCATAACTGCTGCTAATATAACCTGATTCCACGATCGACTCCTGGTCTAACACGAAATCCAAAGTCATTTATGATTACCCAGGACGAGATAAACTTGCTATATATGCATACTATGTTGTTCGTCCATGCAACTTGGCAAAATTTAAAACGCCTTACACAGGTGTTTACTCGGTCTGACAAGACCGAAAGCATCATTTCAAATCACCAAAAAACGCTTTTACGGACGTTGGAATATTGCTAACACATAATATTAATAATTTCATATGCCATTAAATCGTTTTCGGGTGTCATTCAGACTGCTGTTTCACGAAGAAAAGATTCGTTGGACCCATTGAGAATGATTTTCTGAACGATTCTCTACGTCTTAGTGAATTTTTCGATACGTCCAGGTTGAGTTGTGGAGTGATCTTCGTCGAAGAAAAGTGTGGTTGGATCCGTAATGAAAGATGCTTAGAATCCTGTTTCACGAAGAAAAGCTATGTTGGACTCATTGAGAATGGTTTTCTGAACGACTCTCTATGTCTTCGTGAATTTTTCGATCCCTCAAAAATTATGTTTGAAGCGATTTTGTGTTCGTTTTTATGCAACAAGATAACTCTTCAATGATGTTTACAATGGTGATGATTGATGGAAAAGAAAGCGGTATTGTTCCAGAATGATATTCAGATGCATTTTCTATGAAGTATTAATGATTTCGATGGGTGCAAAATGATATGTGGAGCCATGTTTTCAAGAACTGAAATGCAACAAAATGACGCAGTTAAGGGGTTTATAATGTGTTTAATGAATACGATGTATAGTAGGTTGGTTCTGGATCCTTCTAAGTGTGTGTATTGGTGAGTCAGATGCTGTTGGTTTCGGGTTACAATTTTTTCAGGGTTGTTGCTGTTGGGGGAAATGCTTGTTGTGGACCCGTTTGGGTGGTGAGGGTTTGAATTATATGTCATTATTCATGACGAGTAGTCGTTTCGGTTGGTGTGCATGTTTCTGAAGACTACAGTTGATTCATATTGTGCTTAAAGAACGCTTGTATGAGAGATTTTTTATGAGGTCCTTGTCATCGGAATCTGATGGAATCCGGTCAAATATGTGGTGAAGCTCTTGTGAATCCGGGATCATCCGGTAGTCCGGGTCGATCGGTTGCGACAATGTTCGGTTGTATTATCCGGCAGAAAACGACCGGACCATTATCCTTTGAATTTCGGCCCGGATTCCGGGAGCAGTGATTCCGGCGAAATCCTTGTCGGATCCTGGCAGATATGAGTGGGAAATCTGCCAGCTTCCGGAGTGATCCGTTGCTGGTTCCAATGGGTTCCGGCACGATCCGGAAGCAGGATCGAGTGTCTTGGGCAAACCCACTCGCACTCAGGAAAAACGAAACTTATTAAGATATTTGTGACAAATATAAATTTCAAATGTTTCACGACCTCTTTTCGGAAGAACTTCAAGATATCTACCATTTTCGAAAATTGTTTCAAGTTTCCTGATCGAGACAACGTGTAATTATTCTATAAGTCTGCAAGGCCTGTAGTCCTATAGTCACAACAGATTTTTAACTGAGCTGCTAGTCGCCTCCACTAGTTTTGTTTCATGTATGCGGTGAACGTGATCCTTTTAAACACTGCATGATTGATTGAAAACTTCGCTTCATTCTATAATTATTAGATGGAAGCAAAGAGAAGTTTCAAGAAACCCGAAAACAACAGTTGTGGGACTAACTTAATTCGATTTCATCTACATATGCGATAAATTTCTCACAATTTAGAGAAGAGAAAGACAAGATTCCCGAGTATTTACACAGTTTGCGTACGTTCGTAGATGCGCTAATCTAGAATTCTAGGGGTTAAGTTTGAATAAATTCTTCGTGCTACAATAAAAGTTGACATATCAAGAATAAACTGAAGACTTCGAAAAAAGCTTTCAACGTCTTAGTGCAGGTGAGGGGCTCGTCGTTCGTCGGTGCCTCTCCGGAACGCCACTCACGGCTAGCCATTGCCAAATTGAGAATCAATTCCACCGCAAGACGCCTATAGTCTATTCCTTATACGATCTCATATAAACATACGATACATCTACCACTATAAACATACGATACATCTACCACTATAAACATACGATACATCTACCACTATAAACATACGATACATCTACCACTAAAAACATACGATACATCTACCACTATAAACATACGATACATCTACCACTATAAACATACGATACATCTACCACTATAAACATACGATACATCTACCACTATAAACATACGATACATCTACCACTATAAACATACGATACATCTACCACTATAAACATCATCGAATGGTGCCCTTAAAAAATTTCCTTACATTCCAATGACGAAAATGCGACGATCTAAACAGCTCCTAATCTATTATAAACTTGTTTGAACTATGAAAGATCGTTAAGCATTTAATATTCAATCCAGCGACAGCCTGTATCTTATTTGAATCAACTTTATTTATTTGTTTAGGATCATAACCACTAATAACGCCGTTGTGCTACTCCTCAATGCTTTCGAAATACCTGTCACTCGCCCGTTGCTAGTCACCTCCCCGGTCGAAGAAAACGATCAGTAAATGGTTGTATACGATACAAATACGGCCCGTTTTACGTGCTGTATTTTTACCGTATAACAGGGGCAGTAATACGGCCGTATGTTCTATAGAATACGATAATATTACGCCGGCTTTACGAGGTTTTACGACTGATATACGGTGTCCGTGTATGGCCGTAATACTGCCCCTGTTAAAACGCCTTAATACGGTTTAAAACGGCCGTTTTACGACGGAATATGATGCGAAAACGCTCGTTTACAGTAATGTTACGTCGGTTTACGGTGGTCCGCTTTGATCGACCTGGGCTAGTTTTACTTTTTCAAAAGCTCATGTGTTTATTCTGTGTAATAGACTCCTGTGCAACCCTCTATGCTTATTAAAACGATGAAAAAATGTTTTTGAAAAACTACACTTGAAATCTAATAAATGCACCCCAAAACGTTTTTGTCAAATCTTATACAAAATTCTTTTTTTCCTAAAAAAGTCACTCTCTCTGTCTAAAGAAAGTAAAAAGCGAAACTTCTAAACCTGACCTCGGATTCGAGTTCTTCAGTCACGAAAATCTTTGGTCAAACCTATCCCTCGAGATATTGTTTGAGGTTCCCAGGACAATGATTCCGATCGTCGGAACGAGCGTCTTAAAAGGCCTGAAACGGCTATAAAACGGCATAATAAGGCAATAATTTTCACCTAATTTCGCCGTAATCCGTCTGCTCGTTTTACGGACCGTTTTTCGCTAGAAAACGGCCATCATTTTAAACGCTATATTCGTTGTTTTCCGGGCTTATGGAAAACGATGCCGTTTTTACGCCGTCTAAGACAATTTACGCACCGTTTTCTTGGACATGGGTTAGTTAAGTTTATGCATCTGCTTTCCTGTTGGACGAACGAACATACAAACGAACGACGCTAGCTCACTTTTCGTATAAACTCCCTTTCAGTAGAGGGAAAATACAAGTAGTTAAACTTTTATAATGAAGATAAAACTTTCGGAGGAAACTCGATGTTAAGAAAAATATTGCGTGATTGTAGAATGCACTATTTATTTAATTACTAAATGAATAAAACATGTTGTTTTATGAAACAAATACAGGCTTTCTTTAGTGCTCCGAAATCATTGTAAAATTCAGATACTTAAATCAATAGTAGCAGCGGTGAAATGGTTGGAATTACTCATCAAATAAAACGTTCGAGAAGAATCCACTACGACTTCAGATTACTAGCACAAAAATTACTGATTTAAAAATCAATGCTAACATAACAAGTGACGGTATAGATGAGAGCGAAAACAATAAAATCTCATTTAATGAATTGATCCAAGGTCTAAAATTAACAATTACTTAAAAACAATCTTGACTGAGAAAAGAAAAACACTGTCAAATTTATACTGCTTCTATTGTCAGTAAAATCTCTTTTTGACATACCCTCAAGATAGATTGATTCTTTTTTTACCTTGTTCGATCGTTTTGCTATTTTTTGCTTATAAATAAAATAATTTTTTCTTCTTTTTCTTTGTTTCTCTCGTTTGGCAACTAATGACACCACTTTGCGCTTTCCCCGTTTCACTTCTTTCGATAAGATACAACCTATCCCTTGAAAAAAGCAAACAAAGAAAAAAAGCCAAGACAATGCCACTGGTTGTAAGAGCAACAACAACAACAAATGCTTATAGTCGAAAGCAATGTCATGTCTTACCTTCAACAAACAAATCAAATGAACTCGATGCTGGTTATCTTCAAGTTCTTAAGGTTTTTAGATAATGTTATTTGAATAAATATGAGAATTTCACTCGCGAAAGGACTCGAAAAGTATGAGTATACATATTTGTCTGCAAGTCATAAAATCAAAAATCTTGACTTGTCTCGTGAAGTTATCATTACGTTTTTTTTTATATTAGTTTTTATCTTTGCCTAGCTTTTACGTTATTGTTGGCATCTTCCATTTGTAAATATTAAGTCAGAAATATTGGTCTATTTTCTCTAGATTCGCATACTATATTAATTTTAGAAGAGCTTAACAATATATTCATTTATTTGAGTCTGAAAGTTTCATTAGCCTTCAAATAGATAAATACTTTATTTAGCTAATTCATAGACGCTACAAACCTTTCACATTGACAGATCTCATGTATATTATTCAATTCTTTCTTGCAAGAATATTTGATGAGAATCATATTTATTCAGTTTTTGGTCGGATCAAATGTTCTATTAGTATTCAGTTGTAGTTATGAGTTTTCGGCACAATTTTTTTAAACAGTTCAAGTTGCACACATCTAAAAAAAGAGCTCACAGTACTACAAAAATAGTTTCAATATGGCACACTATACCTGTCGTATTAATATTTATTTCAGTTAATCGAACAAACTCATCGACAACAAGATATTAATCTTACTACTGCGGAAAAAACGTCTCGTAGATCAAATGAACTCAAACATAAAAGGTTCAAGCCATTCTATCAATTATCATCATCATTAACATCTGTTGGTCAAGAAGCAATGGTAAAAACCTATGAAGATACACTTATTTCTCATCTAACAAATATTTATGCATCGAAACACATCGGTGCTGCACTACCACGTCTTCAAACAGCCACATTTCGTCATCGACTACCAATTATAAATAGCAGCAAGCGAAATCATGTGACTAATATTAATCGTGCTCAACATATAATTGATAATATTATTAACAATGATTCTCAAAAAAATGAAATGCTCTGCGATTATGTCAAATGGCAACAACAATGGACTAAAAGTTTTTTATGAGTCATAATTATATTATTTTTAATTATAGAATAAAGAACTTTTTTTTATTCTTTATCTTGTTCATTGATGATATTTTATGAAAATAAAATTATCAAAATATTCACTTTCGTTGTATTATCAAAATTGTAAAGTGCAAAGTGTCGATACATTGACAATATTGAACAAGAGTAAATTTATCGTTTAAAAGCAGTTATCATTGTACTGAAAAGTTTTAAAATATAGAAATTAGAGAGAGTTCAAGATAAAATATATCTGTATTTTTAAAAGAATCCATAAAATCCTTGCTATTCATAGACAAAAATAGTCAAGTTTTGCATTTGATTTTCTCAACTGATCCTTTACAGTTGCTTTCTTTGAATTAATTAGATGAATATGAAAACCTTTAACGGAGGAATCAATATCAATTCGATTTGAAGGAGTAAATATTTTGCGTTGATTTAGTTATCAATTGCACGTATTTGTATCGAAAATAATCAAAATTTATTTTCGCTAGGTATCCTATCATGTTAACGATACACATGGCTAAATTTTACTATAAATGGAAGAGAAAAATCAACGATCATTGACTAAAGAAAACAATATTTTCTACTTTAAAATTCTAATGATGCCCATCGATAGTATTGTGATTTCATTGTTCGTATTAAAACTTGTAGAGATTGTTTCTTGGCATTCTTTTGTTTTTGCTGTTCTGACAGAATTATCAAACCACCCATAGCTATAAAACCTTTTCCTGTACAACATGCTTTCGAAAATTGATATGCACCACTTGTAATCGCACCTAATAATTTTCGATCACAATCATGAATAATAGATCGTTCACGATTATTTGCTCGCTGTTCAAGTAATTTAACCATGGTTTTACCTTTTTGATAAGATTGTTTAGCTTTTTTCATTTTGCGTTCTTCTATTCGAGCTTGATCACTATGTCGAGATTCGACGATTGTCTTTCTATTATCCTTTAAATCATCCATAGAAGGCAAATAGATTAATGTTGAACTATCAATAACACCTTTTTTTCCTTTAATACTAATACGAATTGGCACCAGTGAATGTAAATGTGCTCGAAAATTATCTAACGAAAGATGACGTCGATCACGTAAAACATAAAATCGATGAGAATCTATCACAGTGCTTGAAGGATCACGTTCCATTGCCCAATCATGTACAATATTTGCCCATAGTGGACGAAATGGGCTAGTGATACCATTAAGAAAAAAATTTGGCCGTTTCGAAGGTGGACATTTAGAAAAATATGTCAATTGTTCAGATTCAATTTTTGATGTCCAACTAACACCGGCATCTGTATCTGGATATTCTTGTGGAAATAGAAATTCTCCTAGAACAAAAAGATAAGAAAAGATTTTGACTAGAATAGATAAATTCATTTTTCATTTCTTTACCAGTTTCATGGGCAATGAATGAAAGTTCTTTTTGGCCAATTGGTCTTGCACCACTATAAACAAGTGAAATCCAAAATAGTTGTGCCCATTCATTAGGTAAAATGATATCCCACCCACTGCCGAAATCATTTCTATTCTCTCGCTGTTTTGATACGGGTGATAAAAGATCATAATGATGAATAAGTATAATTGGTATTTGTGATTCTTCTTCATTTAATTTTAATTCATTATCTAAATCAAAAGAAAACGAATTCATTTCATATATATTTATAAAACTTTAAAATTTACTATCAACTGTTGATTTTGATCGAATAAGGTTGATTTGATAGGTTGCTAATTTATGTTCACAACAATATGTACGATATTTTTCATTCCATAATGGTGAACTAGCAAGATCAATTGATGACGGTGGAAATGATTCCATTTTTTCAATATCTACAATACGAAGGAAAGGATAGTGAAGTATTCAATTTGAGAAAGAACAAAATTTACTTGTTTTCGAATGAATAGTTAATTTTGGTTTAATTGGTGTAAAGACACGTGGATCACGTACCACCAGTGAAACAATTCGATTTGGCATCATTGTCGATGTGTTACCAGCATTACTATTCCAAAATTGAAGTTGTTTTTGATGTATATCAGTTGCATGAGCTTGATTTGACCACCAAGAAAATGGTGCCGTCTTTCTCTCAATAGCATTACCGGGTAAGATGCTTGGATGAAGCGCATGTTTAAGAATAGCCATTGCAAGTGGACCAATTAAACGAAATCGAGCTAACTGTTGTTGATCTCGTAATAAAGTAACAGTTACTGGTAGTAGTTGTTTTTGTTGTTGTTCTCCGTCGTTTTTTTGTTTTTTTACAGGTGGTTCTTCCGTTGATATGGATGACGAAGTACCAAATAGTGAAATAAGTATGCGTGCAAGGAAATCATACGATGCTGGATGACACCATAGCCAAAGTTTACGTTGTTGATTATTTGGTGGCATCCACATAAAGCTAATGGGTGTTAAACACTCTTCTGTATTAGGTTTATATATCAAACATTGCCCTTCAAATTGTCCAGTAAGATACATTTTAGCTCTTGGTGTTAGATTATTATTTGATGATGGGAAAAGTGGCTTGATCTTCTCAAGAATTTCTTCTTCACTACCTTCTAATTGAATGCATCCATAGTAGGACATATCCTGCAAGGAAAAAGTTGAATAAACAATATTGTATTTCAAATAAGAGAAAAAGAGCAGAATAGAAAAACTTACATGAAGTAAACATCGTTCACGTAATGATTTATATGTTGGTCGAATCGATTTTGTATTTGATTTTTCAGGAAGACGATAGTTCCATAATGTATTCATATGAAAACGTTTTGCATGCCATATATGAGTTTTAAGCCATTTAGTTTGTCGTTGACGATTCGTGTACGATGAAAGTAAATCTCGTGGTCGACGACGATAACGACGAGACGGTCGTTTGGTTTTAGCTGTACCCTTGGAAAAGAAAAAGAGCCAAGCTTTTAGCAAGAAAAAGTACAACTATTTTTCAAAATTAATTTACCGTCTTAGGGTCAGCTAAAGGACGAAGGGAACGTGGTAAACGTTTAATATTATAACTAGCCGCGCGACGTCGCATATAACGTGGAAGAATTTGAAGAGCGGTTCGATGTTTATCTTGTCGGTGGCCAAGTTCATCGAGAAGTGACTGCAGTTCTTGTGCTCGAGCATGTGCCAAATCAGCAACATGTACCACTGAAAAAACAAACAAATTAGTTCGCCTATATCTAACTGATTTCGAATCTATTCCAAGTAGCTACTTCTCACGGTGATGAATATTGTGAAATGAGTTCTTCTCGTCATTAACTTAAAACATGTTTCTCGGATTGGGAAGTGAAATTGTTCACAAAAATCACCCTGAAAAAGAATGTTTTCTTTTTTATATCGCTCATATGCAATAGAACATCAATAAGTTCTAAGCTTCCAACATCTGCAGTTTAACTATAACTAATTGATTTGACAGAAATTGATTCGATTCACAAAAGTACTTTCTTTTCCCTTTAAATTAGTTTTTATTTCACCTACACTCTGGTGTCGAATTAATATTGTTTTCAGCCATCATGTGTATCTGAAAAAACATAAAAGTATGAACAACCAGTTGTGTTTTTTATCTTTTCAGGTTTCTATACAAAAATGAACAATAACAAGAAACAAAAAAAAGACAAAATCAAAGTTATCATAAAAACACAGGCACGTTCGCATAAAACTACATCATTTACGTTTCCATCATATTATTTCCTGAAATAGAAACAAAATTCATGATGAATTTGATATTTTCCTTCATTTGAAATATATACCTGTACCATTTTCTTCGTATGTATTCCCTTGTTCCATTGAATTACTATGATTTGTATTGGTTAAACCAGGCATTTGACCAGCTTGTAACTTTGCTTTTAATCTTTCAACTTCTTCAAGAGACTTCGCTTCTGAAATAGCTTTCTAAAAATAATCATAAATCATTTATTTTGATTTAGAAAAATAGTTTGAATGTAAATAAAAACCTTAATAGCATCTGCATCTGCCTTAGTCAAACGGGGCTTGCTTTGCTGTTGTTTAACCAGTTCTGCACCGGGTACAAATGTATTCGTTCCTTTTAGTTGTTGTGGTTTGACTTTTTCGCCTGATTTTGATTTATAAAGTTTACGAGCTGCTTCACGTTCCTTGAAAATAGGACAGAAATAATATTCTATTCTTTTTCTAGTAAAAATTCAATTACTTTTTGAGTAATTCGATTAAAATCTAATGTACGTAAATTTGGTAACCTATGAATAACATAAAGTCGATAATCTTTTTTCATAGCAATCGGATTTCTTGCAAAACTAGAACGAAACAAAACAAAATGCATATTTTCTTTAATTGAATTCAGATATTTACCTAACATGAGCTATTTTTGGTAATGTTGCTAATGGATCAATATCAATTAGTTCTTGTAACATGTTATTATTCAACATAAGCGTATCTAAATTTGGAATATATTGTTGAAGACCTTCGGCAATACGTCTTAATGGAATAGATTTACATGATTTTGTAGATATGCAAGGATTTGCTTACGTTATATGATTATTGGCAAGATACATAGTTTTTAATTTTGGCAAAAATGGAAATCCATCAAGTTTACGTATATCATTATTGGTAAAATCAATAGTGTCGAACTGATTTAATGTTACACCCAAATTTTCAATAACAGGAATTTTTAAATCTAAATTGTTCAATGATTAAAAAGTATTCAATAACTAATTGTAGAATATATTTACCTCGTAAACAAAGTTCGTATTGACCTACAGGATTCAGATATTGAGGAGCGACTTCAATCAAATCAGATGTAAGGCGACCCATAATTTTGTTTATCTAAAATAAAATAATTTTATTCGAAACTCGTTAGCATGATTTTGAATAAAAAAAAAGATATTCATAGTAAATTGATTGCTTTTAAACTATTTCGTTTGTACTTATTGAATCTAAGAGTAAAATTCAATTCGAACTATAGAATAAATAAAAATTTATGTTATTTTAATGCTCCTTTACTGCAATCAAACAGAAAAAAATATGGAGCCTCGATTGATTAGAAGGATATCTGTCGATAATGAACAAGTATTTTACAAATGTTTTGTTTCATCAAAAAGTATTTCGACCAATAATCGATACATTTGAATTGATAAAATATCGGACAGCATCATGTGAACAGATGTAGCACTACTAAGTATTCTATACCCTTGAAAATCAAGTACTGATGTAGGAAATTTTCCAGATCTTTTATTCGTTGACAACTCAATCAACCCGCAATATGACACAAAATGTCCGAATGCGACAGTTTCTTGATTAAATTGCTTCAACATTTCAATATCAACATAGAAAGATCGATTAAACTAAACATAATATCAAATGATAATTTATCTTTTTAACTTTCAGGTTGAGAATGAATGTATTCAGTTAATTGAATGAAGATTCTACTCTTTTTTTCTAATAAAACTCTTTAGAAAAAAATGTAATTTCAATTTATGTTTGAGAAATATACCTTTCAAATCTAACTAACCAACCGATTGCGTTAGTAAATCAATTCGTATTGTCCAACAATGCGACCAATCATAGATTTCATTATATTGTTATTTTGATTGGTGCATAGCGACGAGTAGACAAAATCCTATAGATACCATTAAAATATTCTCTTGTTACATTTAACATAGCAATAAATATGAATATTCTTTCATATTCTCCATCAATATTTCTATTAAGAAATACATTTAATCGATCATTCCATATATCAGCTATCAATTATGCTCTACCAACAAAAGCTAAAAAGAAAGCTGATCCAATGACAGATAAAATACGAGAAGATCGTAAACGACGTCGTTATGAAAAAGTTATAGATAAACTTGAAAAATTCAAACTTCAACTGAAACCTATACATGAATATGAATCGGAAAGAAGAATTCTTAAAGAACTTGAGTATGTAAATATTATTTTATTCTATTTAAAAAGCTCAGTGAATATTGTAGCGTTCGAAAACGATCTACTGTTGAGTTAACGTCTGAAGAAACAACTCGTCGATTAATGTTAAATCGTGATTGGGCTAAACATAAACATCGACAACATCAACAAGAAATAACATTAATGTCTCGTGCTTTCAAGTCACAAGAAGATGCACTGGAACAATTAAAACTTGAAAGTGAAGAACTTTATGACAAGGCCTTACAGGTATGAACAATACGTTTTTAAACGATTAGAAATGTCTAAATTTTTACATTTCTCTTTTTATCGTTTGAATTCATTTTCTTGGTTTTTGACAAGAAATCTTGCAAAAATTATTAAATATAATAAATGATTTATTGATTGGAATTGAGAGAAGTGAAATACTTGAAAATATTATCCAGCGAATGTTGTCCTTTCTTTAATTCATTTTGATTGATTAATCTTTTAAATTATCGAAAAAGACTATTTTTATTTCCTACATTAGTCTTTTCGTGTTGAATTAGGAGTGTTTTACGTGCACTTGAAGCTTCACTCAGCGTGCTACTGATTTGTTCTTATAACATTGTTGAATTCTATTAGCAAAGATTATAAAAATTACATTTTTGGATGGTGTAGCAAAAAAAGAAAAACTTTCGATTTATTATATATACATATATATATAATTTAGAATATGAAATTCTTATAGGTAGATTCAAAATTAATACCATTTATTCGTCGTGGACCTCTCTACAGTCTACCAAATTCAAACTATGATGCACCTGATGGTGATTACTTTGATACAACAAATTATTTTACAAAAGGTTTCGGTGTTAATTTTATGGATCATATGAAAACGATGGAACGTCAAAAATGGACAGAAATTCGAGCTGAAAGACGTGCTAAGAAAGAAGAAAAAGCTGATGATAAATAAAAATGAAATTTCTTTTTTCCTTTTTCGATATATATATTATCTAACTAGTCGAACAATTGTTTGGTTTTTTTTTCTTGTTTTAGATATGCATGTCAAACATTTAGACAGTTGTCATTGTGGTGCAGTGAAATTTGAAGTTGAAGCACCAGCTGATTTATGTGTATTTCGTTGTAATTGTTCTATCTGTCGTAAAAAACAAAACAATCATTTTATAATACCAAAGCGACAATTTGTTTTATTAACTGGTGCCGATTATTTAACAACATACACATTTAATACTAATAAAGCGCAACATTTATTTTGTCGTCAATGTGGTGTACAAAGTTTCTATTCACCACGAAGCAATCCTGATTGTTACGGTGTTATGCCACATTGTATTGATTCACCGACGATTAAATCGATTAAATATACTGATTTTGATGGTGAAAATTGGGAAAAATCTATGAATAAATGTATTGAAAGGGGAGAAGAAAATCCATTTGATATTAAATAAAATCAACACACATAGAGTATTAAGTTCCTGTTGTTTTTTCAGATATAATTTTTGTTAAAAATGACCGTTACAGAAACAGATAGCATTGCTCGAGGTGATGTGTCTCGAAAATCAAGCCGTGTGAAATCTGAAGACAGTAAAGTTCATCGAGGTATGTCATTTGTATCTTTTCATGAGAAGAATAATTTATGTAATAAAATTAAAATTTAGCTCATGATAATGAAGGTACTATATATTTGCTTTGCTAGTATTCTCTTTATACAATCAAAAAACAGAATGCTGTATTTAGAGATATTATTATCCCTCAATTATGAATACATATATGTGATATATTTTATTTAAAGGTTTTACCATTTGTGCTACGGGTACAGCATCGATTCCATCGCGTTATTTAACTATTATTTCGAGTAATACAGAAAAACGAGGTTTTCAACAAACAGCTAAACGTTTTCAATATGATATTGTATATTATTGATTTATTTATTTTCATGATTTGTATTGTAACTATTTTAGAATTTTGCGCCTGGTCCTGGCCAATATCAAACTATTCAACCATTAAATAAACAATTAGAAAAAACATCAGATTCAAAAAGAGGCTCAAGTGGATTCGCTTCAAGAGTTAGTTTATATTCATACTTTGTTTTGTTAATCGTTTTGTATGTTTGTATGTAATATCTGTATCTATATGCATTTGTATAGAGCAGACGAGAAGGCTCTATGAGAGGTGCTGCAAGTGCTCCAGCACCCACTGCTTATAATATTTCACGTAAAGTTGCTGGTGATCATCATGATTTTAATCGCAGTAAATGCTCCAGTATGTTTCAAAAACCAATCGCTGAACGACCATTATCATCAAAATCCTCTCTTCCAGCTCCAAATCAGTATCATGTTAGTTTTTCATTTCTTTTCGAATACAATTTTTCATTATCAAAATAGATTCAACAAGGATTCAGACAAACAACAAAATCAAATAACGTTGCAGCTCAAGCTGCGTTTCGATCGCATACAAAACGTTCTGTTCCAATGAATAAACATTTGATTGTACCAGCTCCTGGTCGGTTGCCTTCTTTGCTGAATTCAAAATAATAGAATAGAAATTTTTGCTTTTAGGTACCTATAATTTGGATGATTTTACGAAACAATCGTTGGGGCGTGCTTATCAATCAAGTTTTAAATCGACTTCAAAACGTGACACATTCGGTTCTCAACCGGGCGCTCAGGTAGGTCTTAAACATCACGTACATCAGCATCTAATTTTAATTCTTCATTTAGTTACCTGGTCCGGCCGACTATCGACCATTTGAGAAACCAACAGAAGAACCGCATCGACAATTACTTCCGTATGTGTACCTAGAAACAATTTATTTTTGTTTTTTTCTTAAATGAAAAGAAAATACTTCGTATTGAAGGCGCCATCATTATTTAACTATATCTGCACCAGCAATTCGTCTTCCACCTGAAGCTCCACTTCCTGGTCCAGGTGCTTATGAAGTTCGTGATTTTAAAGAGGCTGAAAAGAAATATATGTCATCAGCTGCATTTGTTTCAAATACAAGTCGATGGAATATTCATGCAGGAACAGTGGCTGAACAACCTGGTCCATGTACATATGCACCAGAAGCGCTAGCCAAACAATCATTTAATTTTAATTTTGAACGAAAATGGATTTGATAATAATCTCAACTGTGTTCCATTCTACTCATTGAATGACTCATGATCTTAATCTTTATTACTCATATGAATTGTATTATATTTTTCGAATGACTTTTTTTTTTATTGTTTTTGAAAAATATACATTCTTACTTTTTTTACAATTAAAAAATATGACTTGATGAAATGACATAATAATGCCGTCTATTATTAATTAATCAAGATTTAATTCGAATTTGAAATAGAAGCAAGTAAAAGAAAGAAGATGCTAATATGTGCTATATACTAGCGATGTTTTTATCAACAACAATGAATGTGACGAGTTCTACATTGTTACTTTAAAGATTCTGCGGCATCGACATTTTTCATATGAATTATACGATTAAAAAGAAATGTCACTTAAAATCATCTATACTAATTTTATTTACTTCTCACACTAAAATTTCTAACTGTTGAGGATGAGACTCGTTTATAATTGGATCTTCTCACATGATAAATAACTCTTTATGACTTGATCTTTTTTATCTTGAGTCAACTTGCCTATTCTGAAAGAGCACAATAACATGAACGCTGCTGAAATAATCTTTAATGAGAATTATATCTATTTATCATACAAGTAAAAAACATCAGCCCATTTTACACAAATTTATTTATATAGAATTGAAATATTCATAAAAACCTATTAATGAAGCATTAGACAACAAGTTTGAACTTACAAACTGCTACAGCATTATGATAAAATAAATGTTATAATTATGATGTGTATCACCAAATCAAGTAACCAATATTGATATACAATATAAAATAAGTATGCCTAATAACATACATTCGGAAGATTCTTGAAGCTGATACTAATGATAATTCTTTCGAAATATAACAAGAGAGATAATTAGAACTGGGAGGATCAAGCAATGATGCGAATATAATTCAAACGATTGCATTGACAACGGGTTAGTCTTAATTCGTCCCCTTTTTAACTGAACCGAACTGGTCCCAAAAATTCGATTCCGAATTCGTCCTCATTCTATTTAACATTGAAATGTTCATTCTTCGCTCTGTCTATATACACAGCTAGTGGCAATGACAATCCGATTCATTTCTTCTGGTATAATCCAGCAGCCTATAAGAAAAATCCATGTAATGGCTAAGTGTCCACGGCTGACTGATCGATATTTTTTATTTATAAGTATATTGAAATATGCTCAGTTTGATTCCAACGGAACTAACAGGAACGACGTTGAACTATAATGGTTCTCAACATGGGCGGGCCAGCGTCTTATATGGAGGTGTGGCAATAAATAGTAATGCCTAATTTTTTTTAAAGAAAGCCATGTGTAGGGTGTAGCGTATGTATACCCATGTCGTCGAATTCGCCGCAATTTAGACGATTAATCACGATTTTTGAAAAAACCCTCGATTTATCCGTGATTAATCGTCGATTTTTATCAAAATGGTACATACATCGCGATTTTCCCCGGAAAAATTAGTAAAAGCCGCAAATTTCAGCGATTTTATCGCGATAAATCGTCAATTTTCACTTAACTACTCACAATGGGTAATATTATGGGAAATCACATAGTATCATTCATATTGTCGCCAAGCTAGCTATCTGCCGCCATCCTCAAGCTATTTGGCACTGTTATTTGTACTTTTTCTATTGACTACTTTTGTTACTTGTTTATTCAGCTCTTTTTGTAGAACAAGAAATACAAAGAACGTGATCTTGAGGCGGCCCTATGATAAGCAATCTGATGTCATTAACCTATTTCGTCAAAAATGTATCGCTGTTTGATGAATCTTGATTTTGTTGGGAAAATAGACAAAAAATCATCACTTTTGACGATATATCGCGATAAAAACGCATGATTTCGTCACGTTTTTGATGGCATGAGTATATACAAACAGATATATGCCACAAATAATATTTTTAGGTGTATCAATTGCCAGCAACTGCCTCGTGGTGGCTAGCCATTGGTTATATCCTTACTATTAATATTTTTCAGGTATGGCAATATTTTTGTCAGGTGTGGCAATTGCCACCAATTGCCTCGTGGTGGCCCGCCAATGGTTTTCAATATACTCTCAAACGTGAACGGAAAACAGTAGTAGAATGGCGGTGTCGTTCACGAAATTGCACGAGTATATTTTATTTGTCTTGATATAATGCTATGATTACTCTACAATTTTTTAATTCTTTCTAATTGTTGCAAAAAATATTTATATTCCCTTGTTAATCTTACAATAAAAATTGTCTTTCACCTTTACTGTAACTACAATAGAAATTCATATTTTTTTAAATCAAGCATCAATTAATATAATTGGGGGCCAATTTAGAGTGGGGACGAATTCTGAATCAATTAACGGGGGACGTAATAGGGGACCAATCAGGGATATGCCTTGAAAACTTCAATATCAAAAGGTTCTTTCATTTTCTAGGATAATAAAACATACGTAGATATAAAAATAGATTCAGTAGAAATAGTCAAAACTACTTTTACAAACTTTTCAATTTTAAATAAAATATTAAGTGCTTTAAAATGATAGACACGTTCTAGATAACCGTAGCCGATACACACGTCAACGCATAGATCCTCAATCTTACTCCGACAGTGCATTTGATATCTGATGAAACTCATCTTATCGTTCGTTTATCAAAAGATTAATTTATTTATATGCTTTATTTAAAACAAAAAATTTACTTTTGAGAATATCTCTATACGAATTGTAAACTGAATGTATAAGTGTGCTGATGAATGGATATTTTCTTCACACGTAGCCAACTTTATCCGAATTGATTTTCTGGCATAGGCCAACTGCAATGAATACTTCATGAGTTTATTCTCAATTGTACTTGAGTAATCTAAATTTCGAAATTTGTAATATAAAAAGAATTCAGTATGTTACTCAACTGCGAAAAAGGTAGTATACAGTATCTCAAATAGCAAAACTTTTTTAAGGATTCCGACTCAATTCAAAAGCAGACCGAGCTAACTCTCCATGAAAAGATAAATTCAGTATATTACTCATGCTTTTCGGCAATCGATTTAATTTAATTTTGAAATAAGTTACCAATTTTTGTGCTTATTTAGAATTATTAAGTAAATGTAAAGTTTTATTTCGTCAACGCGTTTCATGTTATTTATTTATTGAAATATTACAATACTAGTCAGCAGGAGTGTTAATTTATATTTATACTGATCTTGATATTGATAAAATAAAGATAAATATATCATTTTTCTATGGTGGCTTGCCGAGAAATAGAAAACTCTCTTTTATTCATCTTCATAGTCCTGAATTGAGTGAATAGTAAAAGAAACTTGTATGACGTCTTCAGTAAAATTTTACAGTGTGTCTTCTATCTAATATATATTTAAGATGCCATTAAAAGATTGACATTTAGACGCAATATTACTTCTTCAGGTTTATGAAAATGGCATTGTGGAAAACCTTACATGATCCTTATGCTCGTCAGATTTTAATTCATTGTTTCAATTAGTTTGAGTGAGCACCAAATTTTGCTTGTGATGAACGTCTACACTCTAAAAGAAAAAGGTAATTTTACTGAACTCTCCAACCAGGTTTCGCTGGTGTCTAACAGCTTCTAAATACGTTCAAAGACTTGAAAAAGCGATTATGAAAGTCTACGAAACCTTAAAAGAGTCTGATCGCGGGCACACGGTACGAGCCATCTCCTACGAAACCTTTTTTAAGCTCCGTACAGCGAAAAAAGGTTTCGTATTTTCTTACGAAACCTTTTTTGTTTAGAGTGTAATCGCTTGGATGAACTTGTAGAAAAAAAGTTTGTTAGCGCAGCCCCTTTGACGCTAAAATGTGGAACTCACATATGATTTTTCGTCTTATTCTACTAATACATGATACGTGCTAATGTCTTTAATACAGGATGGCTGTCTGTAATAGGGGGTGGTGTCTGTAAGAGGGTCTATAGGGCTGGGAGAATCACAAAAATCTCGCTTTTAAACTTACACTCACCATTTCATTCGAAAATATATGTGAGTTTCACAAAAAAAAACAGGGTAGATATCAGCTTCTCTAGCTAACATACAACTAGAATCTTAGAAGTAAGATCTGTATTCTCTCAGTACAATTGTTATCATTTAGTACAACATTGATCTACCTTTTAGTTACTTGGCTATTCTCTCTACTGAAAGGACGGTCATACATATGCAGTCTGAGTAACGTTCATTCGTTCATTCAATGATGTATGAAAGTATCTAAAATGATTCATTAAGACATGCCGAATTAAGTTTGACCAATGGTTGCTGGAGTTTGCGAATTAAAATGTGCAATCTGTTCTTTTATTTTAAGTTTGATTTTCTTTAATGAAGTAATAGCTAAACGAAGCAAAATTTAGCTACCCTCAACGGTGAATCTTTTTGGTCGTTTTTTTCATTCTATCATATAAGAAAGAAATAGCAGCATTTTATTTTAGAAAAGGTTGCTCTTGTTCACATTAGTGTTTTTCATTTAGCATTTATTCGAGTTGGCTCTCGGTAATGAAGATTTTCAAGGCTGTTATTGTAATAAATAAACGTGATGCTTTCATATTGTTACTTTTAAAGAAAGGACTTCATAGAACACGGATAGAAGCATTACAGAGACATTTGAGTGTGTTTCATTGCAAATATGATTTCTAAAACCAATGTTTTTGCCTATGAGATATTTTATTTTTCCTACTCTTTTACAGTTCGACTATAGTAAAGAGGTGATTTTGTGTCTTTACCAGTTTCTTGTTCTGTCACATACGCATATTTTACAAACATAGTCGTGCGTATATATTCTCACAGAAACAAAGTTAAGCTTTTCTCCTCTATTATTGTTCATGCTCTTCACTAACATGACACATTAGCTCGATTCGTTGAATTGTTTTCGTCGCATGATTCTACTGTTGTACATTGCTCTCTTCTATACTTGATCTTGCAAAAGTGTATCGATATAGGTGTTAGTTTGTATTATCCAATTATTTATAAACCACACCTACATTTTAAATGAGAATTACTATTAAATTATATCCATGTTGAAAAAACATAGCTATTGCTTTTTGATCCAAATCTGGAATAGTTGCAACCATTTGTTCTATAAACATAACAATCGAACACAACTTAATTTTATACGTGTCTTAATTGATAATCTTTAACCAATCCTAGATTCTTACATACAGCTTCATTTTATCAACACTCATATATATATATATATATATGTACATAATCATCTATTTTGTCTCTCTGCTCTCTGGTGACAAATATTAAAGCTTTTTTTCATAAAAGGTTTTTATACTTGCATGGTTGGTTCGGAGTTACAGATGTTTTCCAAAGCAATTTTTAACTCTAACTGATGCTGTGAAAGCCTTAAGCGAGTTTTAATTACATAAAGCTTTTCTTTCACATATCCAGACACTTACATCTACCAGAGTCAATAGTACTTATGATGTGATGGTGGTGATATCAGTGTGTTTATTGACAAAGGCAATTGCAAAAGCGTTTTTTTTTCTAAATTGACTGCAACAATATCTTACTAGCTCAGTACAGCTCCGTTTTGTGCAATTATTTGATCAGTTTATTAGCAACGTCATTAAAATGCGCTGATATCAAATGACTATTAGTATTTTCTCGAGTGATGTACACTCAAGTATATAGATAATGGGGAGCGATATGTGTCAGAAGAATAAAGCGAAAACTTTTTTATCTCGTTCTCGTTAAAAAAAGTCGCAATAAAAAACTGTTGGATACATCAAGTTGCCTTTGAATGCAAACACAACTCTAGAGAGATACAGGCTACATGAGTGTAAGTGTAGAATTTGAATCGCAAAGTTTCGGTGATGTTGAGCCAAAAAGGACTGAGCCAAAAATGGCTGAGTCAAAAATGACTGAACCAATAGACTATTTCAATGAAATTGAACCGACAGCCGAAGAATTGTCAACATTAGAACATATTGCTGACCGGATACCATTAGCAGCCTGGCTAATTGTCATTTGCGAACTGTGTGAACGTTTTGCGTTCTATGGACTCTCTGGTCTCTTTCAAAATTATATTCAATTTCCTTTACCTACTGGAAATGATACACAACCGGGTGCTCTCGGTTATGGGCAGCAGACTGCCACTGCATTGACAAACTTTTTTCGATTCTTTGCATATATCACGCCAATCCTTGGTGCCATTCTAGCCGATCAATTCTGGGGCAAATACAAAACTATAATTGTTTCATGTATAATCTATATGGTTGGCCTTCTCATTCTTCTTCTGACTAGTATACCACCATCGATTGATAAAGGTGTCGCTTTTCCCGGTTTAATCGTAGCAATGGTCATTCTCGGTTTTGGCACTGGTGGTGTGAAAAGTAATGTAAGTCCTTTGATGGCTGAACAGTATACTAGAACAAGACCAATTATCACAGGTAACAGAAAGATCTTTTCAAGAAAAATATTCCTGTTCTCGTTTCTTCTTATAGTAATCAAAGGCGAAAAGAAAATTATTGATCCAACTGTGTAAGCCAATTGAATATTTATCTACTTATTTCCTAGACTACATTGCTCATATTTTAGAACGATGCAATCGATGTTTAATTGGTTCTATTGGGCGATTAATATAGGTGCACTATCGTTGATTGGTACTACTAACATTGAGAAGTATCATTCATTTTGGCTTGCATATCTAGTACCCACGGTTGCATTCGTTGGTGCCATTGTTGTTTTAGTCATCGGTCGGAATAAATACACTCAAAGACCTCCGTCTGGTTCATTGATCGTGCGAGCTGCTCGAGTGACAATGACCGCCATTGTAATGCGACGGAAATTAGGCAAACAACCCGATCGCGCAGGGTTTTTGGATTACGCCAAAGATATGCCATCGACAAGCGATGATAATAAAACAGAGACAAGAACAGAATTAAGCAACAATCAGTTTATTGATGATCTCAAAAAAGCAGTGCGTGCTTGTCGTGTTTTTCTTTTCTATCCATTTTATTTGGATCTGCTACAATCAGTTTGGAACGAATTTAGTATCCCAAGCTGCGCAAATGAATGTTGGTGAGTTCATGATATCTTTTCAAATAATAAATAAACTAGGACAACATATGACCTTTGTTTTTCCTTAGGACCTCTGCCAAATGATATTTTACAAAATATCGATCCGCTTGTTATTGTTATTTTCATTCCGATCTTCGACAAATTGATCTATCCTGGTTTACGACGATGCAAAATCAGGTTTGCGGCTATTGCACGTATCAGTGCTGGCTTCTTCTGTGTTGCCATTGGTATGGGATGGTCAGCATTTGTACAATATCTAATATATCGTACTGGACCGAACAAAGACTATGCGATAAAACCAGGTAAAGACCAGCAGCAATACAACAATATTACTGTCGCTTGGCAAATTCCAGCGTATTTTTTTATTGCCATCTCCGAAATATTCGCATCCGTTACCGGTCTCGAGTACGCGTTTACTCAGGCACCACATTCGATGAAATCCATCGTAATGTCACTGTTTCTATTCACATCGGCCATCGGCAGTATCCTGAATATTGCACTTGTACCAGTGTCAGAAGACCCAGAACTACTTTGGATGTATGCAGCATTGGCAATTCAGGCATTCATTTTTGGCATTCTATTTTACTTCACTTTTCGAAACGATCACAAAGTACACGTAGAAGAAGAACCAGACCCGAAATGATTTGTATTCGTCTTTTTCTGAGTATCTAGTTTTCTTATCTTGATACTTATCAATAGAGCACATTCATTCTAATAAAAAGCATTAATTCATTTCTTTTTTCTATTTCTTGTCTACAAGATCATTGCAAAGAAACAATTTTCGTAACATGGAGTGAAAGTGAGAATGTGAATTTGTGGATGATTTAAAAGTGTTATCTCTTCGATCACTTTCTCATCCGCCCAATAATCATAAAGTCATTTCTTATACTGATTAAATCACATATCCTGATGAGGATAGGGAAGTCGGCAATCATTAGTGTCGATCATATTTTAAAAAAAGAACTCTGTTTGTCACACTAAACGAAGTAGTATACATGGAAAAAGTCTACTGGCCTGAATTATTTTCAAATATGAAATGGTGAGTCGATAAATAGTAGAGATCTCTAAGCAGCAATTCGAAAATATTCCTAGCATCTAATGACTAGATTGAATTATCTGGAGATTTGATCTAGTTCACTTGAGGTCAAATATCAAATCATTTATTCTCAATATGTTGCATAATAAAGTAATCATTTCCCTGTTCATGATCGAAAATATTTCTCATTATTTCCTTAATATTCGCAGCTGGTGTTTTAGACTGATAATTCAAAACTGAATTTATCTGAACAATTAATCACAATGAATACTACCGATCAAGTGGATTTGCAGTAAACAAGTCTTTTATTTAGTTAAATTAGAAAACGGAATCCATCATGTTATATACTATCATCTCTTACTAGAATCATACATCGTGTAGTGAATCGAATAGAGGTAGATCGATCATAAAAGCGTACGCCATCAGTATTATTCGTGTATACTTTGTGTTTTTGCCCTCAATGGACAAGTCACAAGATAATTATGCCATTTGATACTGGTTTTGATATTAATGTGTTTTGTTTAGAGTATTTAGATGAAGACAAGATTTTCATTTATATACCTTGAATAGGATGCTCAAAAACTGTGATAGAGACTATATGGCCTTTGTCAAACTCGGAGTGCGTCTGCTAAAACAGGAACAATACATTTTTTCGGATACTGAAAAGATGCGTTCTGAGAGAGGATGAATGAAGTAGTGATAAAGTAACACAAAAAATAGTAAAAACGCAATCCACAACGAATGCTGATTCTCAGAATAATAATATTGAGATCAAATTGGTTGGTAAACCAATGCTACGCTATGGTAGAACCCATTTTGAATAAAAATCAATATATTTCCAGTATAAAAAAAAACGAATAGGTGTAGTCCAAGAGAAAATATGCAGGATGAATCAATATAGTACACAATTTTTACCCTGTATTATCGATATTTTCAGGAAAAGCTAATTGTATGGTTCAGTAGAACAGAACTTCCTCTATCGGACTGATCATGCCACCTAGTGCAAGGATTCAAATTTTACGAGAAAATTCAGACGCCAATTTGTTTTCGTATTTTTCTTCATTTTCGAAGTGCCTAGTGAGTATTAAAATGGCAATTGGTTTAGACGTTGAAAAACGGCAAATTTGAAATCGAAAATTTAGTTGAAACATGTATTTTCAGTATTTCATTGATTTTTCTTTTATTGAGCATTAAGTTCTAGACTTTTTATATAACATCTAATACTCGTATATAGTGAAGTTTTGTAAACGGCAAGAAAGAAAGAAAGAAAGAAAAAAGAATGAACCTAACACTCGCGTGCCTTCACCTTCTGATAGAGTGCGCACTAAATATTATTTTAGTTTATCTTTATTCCTCAAAGTCAACAGTGCACTGAATGCATAATCTTTTTTTTTTACTGTTATGGCCACTCTTCTCCAAAAAAAACCTCGACACAGGATTGGCAGGGCAAGATCGCCAGTAAAAAGGAAATGTGAATAAAAGCATGCAAAGTAATGATAAGAATATGAATTTGCAACGTCCTTAGAATGAATAATAACAAGACATATAGTATTAGTGACTTATTTCATTCGTTAAAATTGGGCAAGATATTCATATAATTTTCATATAATTTTCAATATGGCATACTTTCCACTCGTCATGGCCGGTTGGCTAGTGCATAGCATTTCATGCTTTTATCTTATTCGTACGATTCGTCATGCTCTGATTCGAACCATTTTGACACTAGCACCTTGCATACTACTTACTCATATTGGTTGTCAAGATCTTACTAAGATTCATTTCTTTTCTATCCTTACAGTCTCACTCTATTGGATGATGTCAATTCGTTTGATTCACTTGACTGTTCTTTCACCAAATAAACTTATGACATTTCATTCATTTGTCTTTCAAATTCTATGGAATATATTTCCGATCGTATCATCTAAATCGATCGAAAACCAGTGGCCCATTATTGTTGATTTTATATCGGTTATCATGAAAGTAACAGTAAATCATTGGCTATATGAATGGTTACTTTCCTGTGAACCCAATGATAGCTATGCAAGAATCAGTATGTTTTATTTCGCACTTTTGACAACTTCATATATGACCGACATGCAAACTGGCTTTATTCGACTCATTACTCGAGATGAATATACACTTGAACCGTTCACCAATTTTCCATTATTCTCTCGATCATTGCGTGACTTTTGGGGTCGACGATATAATCGACTAGTCGGTACTGTGCTAAAAGAATCCCTCTTTCAACCTCTTAATTTATATATATCTTCACGGGAGATCATGACTCTAATAACGTTTATTGTCAGCGGTCTTCTTCATGTTCACATTGTTATTGTCGTATTCAATGATGTTTCGTCAGCTTTATCAACATTTGCATTTTTTATTGTAAATGGTATTGCTTGCGGCATAGAAGCGTATATGAAGATTCAATTACCGCAACCTCTCGGATCATTGGTCACACATCTCTTCCTTCTGCTAACAGCGCCAATGTGTATCGGAATCTACACACGAGAAGCTGCATATTTTCCTGTGAATGTTCCACCATTATATGACAACAAATGGATTCCAAAATTTTCTATACCAAGTGTTTGTCCCAAATGAACAACGACATGAAAAATGTCAAACGGTGCTTACATAGTTTTTACAGAACAATACTGAGTGTGGGTGTCTGTCTTATCGTTACCCGCATACCATCCAAAATACAAAGTAATCAGTAGAGAAAGAAAAAGAGAGAATTTGTTAATTGATACATTAGTTATGAAAGAAGAGTGGGTCGTGTTTATCATAAGAAGAAACGGCGAGGTAAGGACAAAGTATGTGATGGGAAAAATATAAAAAGACTATAGTTAAACATCGTTTCTAATTTTCATACGATTTTTCGATAATCTCATTTATACCTTTATCAATATTTTATTGGCTTACAATAATACCGTTTCTCATCAGTACATTATCATTCTGGTTATTGGCTATCACTTTGTGGAGTTTCAATCCTCGATTGATATTCATGATTAAAATTCGCTTGTCAGGCTTCATTTTTACACCATTTTGGTACTTTCCGTCAGCTGCAGAGTACCTTTTCACGATATAAAATGGTAGCTACCACTATTGGATGCCATAAACTTGTACTTTGTGAAAATTTTCGTACACATAAAAGTATCACTTATGACGTAAAGTTAGTAGCCAAACTTATATCTTTTTGTGTACTCAAAAAGTGAGTACACTCTAGAATCGGCCAGTGTGTCCGTCCGGTCGTCCGTTTACACGATAACTTTCGAAAGGAGAGTTAGATCATGATGAAATTTTCTACACAGTTCAGCCTCATCAATGTCTCAGTCGAGTTCGAAGATGAGAAAGATCCTTCAAGAAATGGTTGAGTTATCGAAAAACTTGTCATTTTTGACCAGGCCATCCCTGAGGAGGGGTACAGGGATTTTTTTCAAAAAGCAAAATTTTCTCAGAATTGTTCACAACATATATAAATCGACTCAGTTTTTAACGCTGATTCCGAATCTGATATTAGTTTTGAACTAACTTGTAGCTTTCTAATGAAACATCGCCTGAAAAACGTCTCAAAATGCACAAAAACTGCATCCAGAAATCAAATTGCCTAGTTTCTCATGACGATTTTGGTGTTCAGACATTCTAGAATGACTCATATGTCCCATGCACTTTTTGCAGTACACATAACTCTCGGATGAAATCCGAAGTTTCCACATTTATTTTGTTTTTGTTTTTGCTGGTTTTGTCTTTCCACTGCTTCAACTGGCTTTGACAGATAATAAAACTGAAAGTTTCTATTATATGTGAATTAGTTTTCAGCACAGAAGCACCAGTATCAGATCTCAAAACGATAATTGCATTAACAAAATCAATAAGTAAATGTTTTACATATCATCTGGATTTGGGTTGGTCGAATTGAATAGATTTATGCGTTGAATTTTTGAAACAACTTCAAGCGCATCCAGAGATGAGACAACTGGGAAAAGATTTTAGCCTGACAGCATAAGAGATGATTACAGTGGTTGCCATGGAACTATTTATCACATTAGCTTTAGAAATTGTCGAAGTTATGTCGAGTCTTATAATTGAATTAGTATCTGATCCTATGCGATATGCAATTACAACAACTGCTCATCATTATCATGTACTTCAAGTCATGTTTCATGAAATCTCCTACGATCGAGTGACAGAATTTTTACATCATGTTCCAGTTGATTTGATGGTATGCATACAGCTGAAACTCAAACAGAAGCACTTTCACTGCCTATTAAACATGAATCTGTTATAGAAAATGACCATGAATTTTCAATGTCGGATGATAAGACTTGTATGGCGTTCGGAAAAGGTTCAAGGATATGTAAAAGCAAGGACTTAGCTATAAAGATAATCACTATTCTTCTATCAAATCTATACAGTGAATCGAATCAATGGCCAACTGTTCAAGTTTCAGTTGGCCGTAAATAAGCAACATTTTGATCTAATAACTACCGTTTGCTAGTTTGACCGATGTTGTTGGACCTCTGGTGTTCAGTGTTTTCAATGTACACCATGATAAAAAAAAGGGACAGCGAAATCCCGGACGCTATCTAAAAAATTGTTGTATATCCCTTATCAACAGTGTAATAGTGCTACATAATTAGATATACAGTAGCTTAAATTTGCATATATCTGTTCCTAATAAAAAGAGTGGCCAATAGATTCATATCGTGGAATGTTTTTTTAGTGCGTATCAAAATATAGCCACGAACTCTTTTAAGTCTATATGTTATTCTCGTTGATATATTCTTGTGAGTCCAACATGACCTCAAACAGAAGGTATCATATAGGATGATATTCTCTTTAGTGCTTACTATACATGTACGATAACTACTATAAAACTGTGATTCTAGAGAATTCGAATCGACAACTTTTATTTACGGCTTCCAGGTCCTAAAAACCTTGAACCTAATGGGCTCTAGCCATGGCATGCATAAGCAATGGCTTTTATTACAGGATTCAAGCAGAAAACGAATTAATCACAAAACTATGATTTGATTCGTCAAATCGACAATTAAATAAGAACTACTCGGTCATATTTTCTTGTCTTATGATGATACTAACGTACGAACATCAAAGTTGCTGGTATTTCAACCTATAGTTGCATAGATTATCATGTTATACTTTCACTTATTTATTTATGGATGTATTAAAACTAAGATCACAATGCGCAAGTACCAAAACATTTTCTATAATGATCCCTACTAGATCTTCAGCATTTACATAAAACAGCAATCGCTTTTTAAAATTTATTAATTCAATAAAAACATCGTAAGACTCGTATTTTTCTCATGTTTATCATTCAAATACAAATCTGACTTAGAAGTCCTCAAACTATAAATTCAATATCGTTTCCTTTATTTTGATTATAAATTTCTGCCAAAGTCATGGGTGTGGAAATATGTTCCATACCAAAACCTAATCTATTCGACAATTCTTGAGCACTATCAACATCTAATTTACCGAATTCATAGTCAGCTATTAATCGTCCTTTACGTAATAGAGCTTTATCAATGATTGTTAAATCACAATTAAATGTTGCAATAATTTGCATATGCATGGCATCACCTAATAAACCATCAGATAAATTTAATAAATTGGCAACCGCTTGAGATGCATTAAATGTCATTTCATTTCGATCACATATTATATTTTCAGCATCTTCAATGATTAAAATAGAATCGGGATGTGTTAGTAAAAAAGCCAGAAATTCAGGTTTTGAAATATGTTTAGCCATATCTGGAGGAATATAAATTAATTTTTTTTCTCGAATTTCTTCTATTAAATAACGGATATAATGAGTTTTACCTTTTTGGGAAAAAAAAGTAGACATAATCCATTAAGAAAAACATTTTGAACTTACCACTACCGGGTATACCATGTAGTAAAACAATTCCTTTGCCTTGTTTTTTATTGCATGCATTGAGAATTTTCTCATGAACTTTAACAAAATTTTGTCCATAATGCAATTCTAAGTCAAGAATCATTGGTTTTTTAATTTTTATGTCCCTCAAATAATACGCTGAATTTTGATGGCGACAAATCATGCTAAGTTTCAAGAATTTCGATTCAAAGACATAGTATTTTAAAAGATCTTTAACCATATTTTGTACTTTGATATCGTGTTCAGGAAGATAATAGATTGCAATTGATGATATTACAAGAAAACAATCATCAAATGCATCTGAAGAATAATTATTTGGATTTTGAATATCCGACATAAACTTCACACCATGAAAATATATTATTATACCGTTACCAAGATTACACAAGCGATACCTACAAAAGAAAAAATGGATTTATTATTTGAAAATTATTATTTGAAAAAACAAATACTGAGCAAAAAATTGTTTGGATTTTTTATGATAGCGTTGTAAAACAACATCATTGGTTAAATCGTGTCCATATTCATTTTTCAAGTAGTTCAAAATTGATGGCATATGCAGTAAAGCATTGGATTCTGGGTGTGAAAATTTGAAGACACACGGAAGCATTTTATAATGAGCTACAAACAAAGGAACACTTGGTATTTTTTCTCGTTGAGTTCTATTAGCACATAATTTTTGAAGAACTATCTGAGATAGTTCAGGAAAATATCCGACATATTCATTTGAAATAAGTGACATGTTTTATGGGCCACTTTCCAATTGAAATATTAGTACACCTATTCAACTTATATATTATGAAATTGCAAGTAATGGTGAAACAATCTAAGGTAGCTCATATTGTGTAATGCCTGATTCATATATCGTAGAAAGAAACAATGTGGCAAAAGAAAATGCTTCTTTTTTCTGTTCTTGCCAAAAAAATGTTGTTGATTCATGCTTCGTTCTTGTAGACAGTTGTTACACAAGAGAGTAGAGTTCTAGGATTTGTTCTGCATTTTAAGACAAGGAAAATTTGATATTTATTAACCTATATGTTTTCCCCTTACATATGAGCTCGGCAATTAAATAGTTCCTAACCTTCCGAGATTATCTTTTCCCTCAAACCCAGTTATTGAATCCATACAATGCCATCTATTATCAGGAATCAGTCATAATTATATCGAGTGTATCATACAGACTGCGAATTGCATCATCCTCTTGTTCTATTGGATCTTTGATTTAAAATTTAAAATTCTGAAACAGTTAACATAAAATAATTAAGAAAATCAATAATAGATGACAGCTAATAAGAAACCACATTTAGTTCCATTCTTGACTTCAAAGTAGCTAAACTGTTGTTCTATGAATTGCTATATAGCATTGAAAGAATTACCAAAAATATTAGAAAAATACATGATTTTGGTTTCAGCTGGATGACATCAATCAACGGTACTCTCATCAACAGATGATAAACGAATCGGATTAAATCGTAGCTTTATGAGAAAATTTATTAAATCTGTAAGAAGTCTACATGCTGTTGCAACATTACAATAAGAGAATGTTTAATATTAAAGGCAAAAAACAAGATTATTCTTAAAAATACTATCATGTCTTCTTTTCAATGAGCACTATCAACTAATATTAAGAGATAGTATGAAATGATATTTTATTCTATATGAATAGATCGTTTTACAGTAGAATCATAAAAATTACAGGATAAATACAATTAATATAGGTATGATTCATTTGCTATTTAAAGAAATTAAATTTACAACTAAGTATTCATTAAAATTTTCAAGATAATTATTCATTAGAATACAGATTAAGCATAAATGCATTCGAATAAAACATACTTCATTTAAATGTAGTCATGCAATATTTAGGTTAGTTCAATATATTTGTGTAGAAATGCACTGAACCTATTTCAGATTATGTTTTTCTCAAATAAGTCAAAATATATCTATGTATCAACAATCATATGCATTGCCTATGAGTGCCATCTGGATAGATTCTCCGGAATGATTGGTTCTATTAGACTGTTGCGTATTTGCATTCGTGCTTAATTTTATCGTTGTCAAGAGTAATATACATGAGAATGAGAATATCAATGATGAATGTCAGAGTTTTTTTTTTTCCATGTTGATGCTTTTTTTTGTCGATATTCGTATTTGTCATATATCGCTGGAAATTTGATTAAAAATGACAAAACCAGCTGTTATATGCTAGGAATTTCTTTTGTTTATAGGATTAAAAAAATATATTACTCGAACAATTGTTGTATCGAATGTCGGATGCTTTTATGACGTGTAATATATGTCACTCCTATAGATTAACGGCACGCACACTTTTCAATGTGCTTCTATCGGCGAAATCAATTAGAGTGCAAGATGTAGTCGATCTGGGAAAGAACAAATTCATGTGGATTCGATCATGACGAAAGTTGGCATGAGCGGCTCGAAACATTTATTTTTCTATGTTTGCCATGTTTTCTATTTATGATAATTTTTCGTCATAATTTTATTTTAGATTTCAAAAACGGGTACTGCACGGTCACAACACAGAAACAAACAGATGACAGACACTTCGTCTGGATATCAGGAAGTACCATCTGTTTGTGTTATGGAAGATTATTTACGAAGATCATTCAAAGCAACCGATGATGAATTAAATTATCTGAAACGTATAATAGATCTGAGATCAAAAAAACGTCAACCATTCACATCCGAACAAATTGGTTATAGTTATCCATCGGTTGTTATCGATAATTTTCTTTATCATGGCAATTTAGGTCATGCCTCTAATATAGGTTTACTCGATCAACTTGGCATTCGACACATTGTTAATGTATGTGATTGTCGATTAGATAAAACGATTGTTGAAAAATATAATGTTTTATGGATTAATTTATATGATGAACTTCAAACTGATATAAAGAAATATTTTTATGCTACGAATGAATTTTTATGGGATTGTAAACGAAAAAATGAGAAAGTGTTAGTTCACTGTCAAATGGGAATATCTCGTTCATCGACGATCGTCCTTGCTTATTTAATGAAGTAAATATATGAAATAATAGAATTTCCATTATCAACTATCTTGCTCTTTAGATATCATCATGATTCACTATTTAAATCGTACGATTATTTACTGGAACGACGTCGTATGGCTACGCCAAATATGTCTTTTTTTCTACAATTAATTCGTTATGAAAACGAATTACGTGCAATTAAAGAAATCGATGAAACAAAAAATAATGACGATAAACAAAATCCAATTCAAAATATAGATCCATCAATAGAAAATTCTCATTATCAAAAGCAACAATAAAGCTACTTTGTTGATATTTCTATTTTTTTCTTGAAGTCTCTTCATTTGCCTCTGAACGGTGCTTAAATTGAATAGTCAAAAACCAATAATGTAATTTCGAATATCAAATATTTACATATTATGTTTGTTTTTCTATTGAAAGATTGGTGAAATAAATAAATATTTAAATAATTCTTACTGTTCTAGATGACTGACGACCAAAATGTTTTATTTTCGACTGAAGTCGATGCATTTGTAGAAGCATTAGAATCATTTGAAGTTGAAGATATAGGAAAGTCAAGGTATGAAACTAATTGTTTCTATTGTAAATTATTAAATACTTCATTTTCTTTTAAGATGGCATACACAACATGAATATATTGAAAAATTGAATATGCAAGCTATTCTTGATGCTAACAGAAATACACATGAATATGTACGAGAAGTGATAGTAAACAATGATAAGGTAAAGTACTCGTTAACTCAGTAAATCAATCAAAAGTATTCCGCATGGTTAGTTTTAACTTAGAAATAAGAAACCGATCTTCTCATAGCTTTTAGCAAAAGAAAAGAATAACACTTGTGGAATCCAGTCAATATCTAAGAAGTTCAATAAAAATGTCAATTTGCTTTTTTAGCTTCCTGTTCTTATTTCTCAATTAATAACAACTGAAATTTGGCGAGAAAAAATTTTTCGTGAACTAATTGCAATACGATTTGAACCACGTGTCACTTTTTCAATATATATCATTGTATGTTAGCCTTAGCTTTTGATTTATTTGACATCTAGATGATTTTATTTTTTTTAATACAATAGTTTTATCATGAAGCATGTATTGTCAATTTACTTGAAACATTAATGTATCATGAAGATGTTTCGACTTCATGTGACGATCAAATTCTTGATCTTGTTGATTATAGTTATCGTTTATTAACTGAAATCATACGAAAATTAAAACAAGAGTAAAATAACAGTAGTTCAATATTTGTTGTCACTCATATTCGAAGATTAAATCATTTTAGAGAACAACGAACTCGTCAGAAAAAATCAAATCAAATTGATAATACATCGAATGATATTTCTGAAAGTTTAAAAGTAAAAATATTTTAGATTTTCATAATTATATTATTTAAACAAAATGTAAAACAAAACACTTTCGTAGGAACTTCTTTCACAAGAAGAAACTCTTCGATTCGATATGGCAATGAAAATATTAAGTATTATTCGATATATTTGTGATTGTTTACAAAAGTATGCCAAGAATATTATTATTCATATTTTTATGAGGAACTATATCTTTCTGTTTTATTTGCTTTCGTCTTAGATTACCGATGAGTGTAACATCACGTTTACTAGATAACTTTGATTTTATTCTATTACTTGTTGATTTCATAGAAATGAAACCTTGGGAAAAGACAGTTAATGATGGTAACATATTCAATATTTTTATTCGATATATAAGTTCAATGATTATTTCTAGGTACATATATGCGACATATTGAAGGCAAGTGGCAAAAAATATCAATGGAAGATCGATACATAGTACCGAAAATAGAAGGGCAAGTTTGGTTAGCTCTGTATCAATTATTACTTAGCCCGCATTGTTTACAAAAATATGAATATACAGAGTACAATAAAAATCGTATAACTAAATTACGTGCTCATCTTAATGAAGTTATTCTCGATCAAATGCCTCATCTTATACAATTACAGCGTTTTCTCGAACAATTAAGTTTCATGGAGCCGCCTACTGCTAAAAAACAACTTGTTTTAGAACAAGTAACAAATTAATTGAATCATATTATGAAAAGCAAAAGAGGAAAATATTTTTTTATTTAAATCAGGTCGCTGAATTGTATGATCGAATTGTACGAAAGTATAAAAATCAATGGCGTACCCTAGCTGAAACACAAGCTAAAACTGTTTTAAATCCAAGTGATAGTGAAGCAAGACAACAAGCTGCACGGTAGACACTTTTTCCTTTGTTACCATTCGCATCTATGTTTTTAATGTTTTCTTTGTTCTTAAACGTAGTTGGGCGAATACGATGAATTTTGATATTCTTGAAACAGTTATTAATGAAGCGCCAAAATGTGCCATATGTGGGGAACAAGCAACTAAACGTTGTTCACGTTGTCAACGTGAATGGTACTGTCGACGGTAAGACTATTGTGTTTTAGTTTAATTCTAACCAACTAAATTCTTTTTGTGTTTTCCTCTTCATATCGAATGAAATTTGTTTTCATCATTCGCGTCTTGAGACTACTATTATTCGAATCTGTGAAAGGATCAGTTCAATTAATTTATGTCAGGTTCACGTGAATATTCATTATAGATTTTTCGAAAAACTTTTGAGGATACTTAATAGAATGATACATCAGTATTACTATATCATAAGGCCATTCTATAAGCAGATGATCATTGTGAAGGTATTAAATTTATTAACTATGTTGCTCTACGTAAAGGACTATGACGTATCCTGAAAATGTCATATGACGTGCATATTGTTGATTTAACATTGAGTCTCGATGATAAGGAATAATACTTTTTTAAAAACAACATTTTGCAGTTGAAGTGAAAAAATCGCAATTACAATAATTATCGCAATTCTATATATTTGTTTTTAATCTTCTGAGTATACAAACGACTATCAACTGGTACAAAGGTATAATCAAAGTAGTTTTCTGATAGAAACTAAAGAATTTTGTATTTTCATGTTACTAATTGAAAATAATGTAATTAATCTGATATCTTGAACTATTTTTCTTTATTTTTTCAGTGAATGCCAAGTAAAACATTGGCCTAAACATAAAAATATGTGTGATATGATTATTGAAGTTGCAAAATCCGAAACATCAAATAATTCTCAATGATAATTTGTCTGATAATGCAGTTATTATCCGTCCATTGTTTTTTAATTGCACATTAAGTATACTCGTTTCTTTAAAAGACACAAATAAAAGCATGCTATGATGAAAAATAATAAATAAATTCATATTTCTATTCAACACTAAAACGTATTCTTAGAGATAATTAAACAACTTTCTCGCCTACATATTTGATCGAGAAAATGACTAAATAGACAAACTCGTCTGGTGAGTATACCAATTTAACTCTCATGAGCTTCATCGTAATTGAAATAGACTTGATATTGATTATTCAATATGAGAGTTTTGCATGGTAACTACATTTTTCGACTCGGATCTAGCCAACGCACCAAGATGACATGAAAAGACTACTTTAAATTTGAACGGAGTTCATTTTTTTCAATTCTTATACGCAAATCACTTAAAAAGAGCACACATAATTGCCAAAGTGAAATGCTTTGGTTTGATATTTTTAAAGAAAAATACTATTCTTTTTGTATCATATAATAGTATAGTAAGCATGTCATCTATTTGTGACATCTGTAGAATGAACGTATAGAAAAAGGAGTCGTTGCTAGAGAGTGAACAAGAAAAAAAATGGATCAAGACGACAATGTACAAAAGGTTTTTAGTTTAAAAAAAATGTCGAAAGCAAAATCGATCAAACATAGTTTTTCTTCAAGTCAATCAATAAATAGTATGCCAACGAGAAAAACAACAGTATTTCCTTTACCAAATGCTACAAAACCTCGTTATATGGTTTCGAAAAAAATTGAAATCAATGAATTATCTGATGATGTTCTTCTGTATATCTTTCGTTATTTATCACCTATTGACTTACTCAATATTGGCATTGTCTGTCGACGATGGTAACCGTTTTAATTTCTATTTTTTTAAAAGTCAAGTATTTCTACGATTTGTTTTTAATATTAGGTGCTCAATCTCACAAGACAAAAGTCTCTGGCATTCATTAGCACTTTCCTATGGTCTTCATCAAGTAGCATCAACTTCAACAAGTAAACAACAAATACAAAACTATTTAAATCAACAAATAAAAACTCAATTAAAATCTCTATTCCCACTTAAATTCGATGTATTAAAATCTTACACAGGTATTCCTGATTATCAAAAAACATTCAATAAATTTTCAAGTCAATTCAATTTTCTTCTTGCTTTTTGTGATGATAAACATAATATAATATGGTCTCAAAAATATGATACAATCAAATTTTTTGAGACAAGTATGTCAATGCGTTGGTTTGAAATCACCATGCCAGAATTTTTAACTCGTGTACATTTTCTTCGTCTTTTCTCTATTGTTTCAATCAATATAAATACACGTCCCAATCGTCTGCGTTTGCCAAGATCCAATGAACAATTAGCTGACATAACAGAAAAACCTATTCAACATACACAACAAATTCAATCTTTATTACGTGAATATAAATTCGATTGGAATATAATTAAAACAAAATTGATATCATTAACAAAGGATATTAAATCACCCATTTGTATATCAAAATTACCCAATGAAGATGATTTCTTGCTTGCTACTTATGAACAAGATAAATCATTTGCCTTCATTGTTTTTAATATTAATTATTTGTCTTTTCATGAACTTTTTTTCACTGGTCTTCGTACAACAAATTCAATAAATAATCAGCCATTATCTCAAATAATTAATCCGAATCATTTTCCAAAATCGAATGATCTTGAAGTATCCGTTTTTATTTGTTTTCGAAATATGACCACAATTTTTCTTCGACATCGTTTTCTCAATTGTCGCTTAAAATTGTCCAGTACTCCGATGATTGAATTAATACGTTCAACTGATATGACACAAGACCTGGGACCTGAGTTAGAAGATTTACCAAAATTCAATTGGAAAACTAGTCTTTCTAAAGGAACTATTAATGATTTATGTCTTATTGATCTTGTTGTTTTAAATGAACGTAAAAATATTTCATTTTGTATTACTCTTCAAGCTACACTTATTCCAGGAAATGATAATGGACATAGTCAAGGAGGAGATTACATTCTGTCATCCAATGTATGGAATATAAAAGCGGTATCGCAGTGCAATAATCGTATTTGTCTTGATGGTACAATAATGCGACTTGACAGCGAATATTGTGCTCTTGGACGAGATTCACAATCATGGCATTTACAAAATATGACATGTTCTTTTTAATCGATTCAATGATTGACTTAATCGAATAATAATAATGAAAGTGGTTTTGTTTTCTCAAAGAAAATCGTAAATTTTTATATTCATTACAAACAAACAGTCGGTGAAATTGATCAACTTCTTTTATTTAACATATAATGTGGTAGTTGAGAGGAAAAATACACATAACAGAAATGATATTGTTTGTGTGCATGACAAGATAAAGACTTTTATCCATTTTGATTGAAAGATAGATGTACTGTCGGTTAAAGTCACAATTAGCTTTAAATTCATCGCTTGATACAATCCAGTTTGGAACAACTATAGATTCTTACATTCGACTATTGTTCTAACAATTCTATTCAAAAGATAAACTTTAAAGTTAATAGTCAAAGTAAATTCAACATACTCTATGAAGCATAACTAAAATCCTGAAATAATGTTTTGTACCCAGGAGAATGATTCCGATAGTAGGATCCTATGGGATTCGTGTCGGAATCTTATCGGATATAGTATGAATTTCATTAAACCGACGAAATCCTATCGGTATCAGGGTGTGGGACCTACGATCGGAACCCTAGTGTTGGAATTCGATAGGTCCCAGTGTCGGATTTTAACGGAATCCAACATAAACATTCCACCCATGTATTCTGTTGACACCATATGCTTATTCATTGATGATTACCCAGGTCGTGGTGGTACGGCGGGAAACGACCGGAAAACACGGGAAATCGCTGGAAGGAGGAAACTACTAGTTTTGAGTTTGGGTGATTTATTTTGACTTTCAGCTGAGTTCAATCAGTAGTTTCCCCCTTGGGTACTAACGATGAGATAAAAAAATAGAAAAGCATTAAGACAAGAGCAAGAAAAGAAAAGAAAACTACAAGAAAAAAGACAAAGAGCTCTAATTCTCACTTCATTTACTATTATGATGTTAACAAGTTTAGTGTTTAAAAACAAAAAGCAGCAATATCAATATAGAACAATAAAAAGAGACTTCCAATGTGTTTCTTGTTGTCATATGATCTACAATATAGTCTACAACCATATTCGCAATGATACCAACCAATATATTGATCAAGCAATCACTAAGAAAAATCCATATTGATGAAGCAGCTAAACAAAACGAGTGAAATAGATTAACAAAATCCTTTGCTCCAACATTACAATTAACTAAGGTGTGGATTTTTAACAAACTGAAAATAGTTTGTTTCATAAAAAACATATACGTCGGTATGAAAACATTTTTTTTCTAAAATTTTGGTCAGAGATTTTTCGATATATATCATCAAATGAATAGAAATAGAGTGACACTTGATTATGCTATTCCTATTCTTAGCGTATTTATAGATTGACTCTTGTGATTTTTTCATAATATTTTTAAAAGAACTAATTTTCTCAGAATATTCAACACTTCCGAAATTCAGTAAAAAGTTCTATACTTAGTTTTGCGCAGAGAATCGAATAAAACTAGTTTCAAGGGGAAAAAATTCACCTGGCTATGGTGATTGTTGATGTACTCAAAAAGTCTCTCTTAACATTCCTGATTTGATAGAAATGATCTGTCGTATAGAGAAAAACAGAGTTGACCATATAATAAAAATATTCCAGAACGCCTATTCAGATATCTGTTTTTTTTTGTATCCCAATAGTATGGAACAAGATTTCGAAAAAGAAATAGATAATAAATCATTCAGATAATAAAACGATCAAAAGATGTCATTCCTTAGAAAGCTGTTGATAAACATCGATAGAATTCTCGTAGTTCTAAATTTGATAATGGCTGATTTTCTATTTTATTTTAACTATCGTTGGCTGATCAATGCAGAGAGAAAGTTTCCAATTTATCGAGATAAAAAACAAAATTTATTCGAGAGAAACGTGTGCCTTTTGAAAAGCAACGGATCTCACGATAAATCTTAAAAAATGATTATTCATTTGCTGTGAACAGTGGCGTCCAGGAATTTTTGAGCCATGGGCTATTTCCCAGCAAAATTGTTTTGAGTATTGGGCAATAAGGGGTAATCATTAATCTATTGGGCGACACTTTTTAAAATTTATTGTCTTCAAAAAACGTTATGTTTATCAAGGTGAAATTTGTTACTTTTGACTAAGAAGATTTCTGGCACTTTTCTGGCACTGTTTCACAAATGTAACCTTCAGCTTTTAAGTATTTTAAAATTTTATTTAAAAAAGAAGTGTAAATATGCAAAGCTATAATTGTAGGAAATAACGATAGACACTAGGTCTGATCATAATAAGTAGAGAACTGTTCATCGGACCATATACTTAGCAACCTCTGCAACCTTATTTTATACTGACAAGTATGAAAATTTTTCAAACTGTCGTGCCTTTTCCTGAAAATCTAGCTTGTAAGAATATTTATTTCCTACATCAAACACTTTTTATTGACGTCAAAGGTAATTAACGTTGGAAGAGAAGGATACAACTAGTATATATCATCAAAATTCCTCATTAAATTCTTGGTGTATTTCAGTGACCCACGATCATCTCAATTTATGCTGTCATAAGAAACTAGAGAACTCTTCAAGATTGTATTTTTCATAGTTTTCTTGTACTGACCATAGCATTTCGAAGATAGATTTCCCACAAATTTCAAAAACAATGAACGATTACGAAAGTGGATTGCATGTGACACTACCGATCGATGTCTATATCTAACGAATAATTAATAAAGTCCAAAAAAAGGCAACGTAGAATTTATAGTGCTATATAGTTTTCTGTTCACTAAAAGACGTTAAGTGTAAAAATACATCGAAATCGACAGTAAAAAAATGCTCTATAATAAATATTATTCCATTATTGCATTGATTTCAAGATGGATATGACTAATCGAGGAGTTGATTTTCTTGATATCAGGTAAAAAAATATGAGTAATGACTTATGCTGAAATAACACTCGACCTTCTCAAACTATGTCGCTAAAGAAAAGGTCCTACCAGGTGCAACTTTGCTCTTCATTTATGCATTCAATTGTTTTTTCTTTAAATTCTCAGCTAGTTCCTTTAAGTATTTAATTCTTAAGTTGCGCGAGTCATGCCATTACTTATTTCAGCAGTGTTACTCCCAGATAATTTCAGTTATTTACATTCTAAATAATCTTATATATTCAGGAAAATACATGAGAATCCACCAGTATTTTACATCAGCCATGCTGAGTAGAACAAGGAGTCTTGACCGAAAAATGTAACAGCAATATAATCATTATGTTTATTACTTTAATGAAACAAATCTCAATCGATCCTTTTAAGTGGATTGATTGAATGGCGATAAGCAGCTATTTATTAATAAAACGTCAGTGTGATCTTCAAAAATGCAGTCGTGTCAAAACTTTTGGCATTGGACAAATGTCATCATCTGAAAAATTCGTTGGGCAATTGCCCAATGCACCCTCCCCCTCTGTAGTGGCGGCGCCAGGGGTGGGCTAAGCCCACCCTAAAATGTTTTGAGCCCACCAAGAAATTTTTTAAGGTTTCTGAAAAAATCGATGATCATTTTATACAAGTGATGCCCCAGCATACGACTGCTAGCTATGATAAAGATAAAGATAAAGAAAGATTCTTACGTATTTTCTATTGGATGACGATTGAAAACAGGGTTGCCACCTCATCAGATCCAAAAAGCGGCAAATAGCGGGAAAAAGTGGAAAGCTGCTGTTTCGAAAAATTTTTTATCTTTCCAAAAATATTCCTTCTGTAATACTGAAATGACGGTATTGGAACTATCAGTTCACGAGTTTACGAAGTGAATATGCCACTGAAGGCAGCACCTTTTTAACACAGGGCTTTGAAAGTTTATGCGAATAGTGTGGAATCAAAAACATTTTAACCCAGTTTTCACAGCAATATGAGAAATTATATATTTTACCTTTCATATACACGCCGAAGATGATTCCTTTTTGGCACACAAGATAAAAGGTTTGCCCGAAAAACATACGCTGTCAAAAAATAATGCTTGCTTTTCACAAAACCAAGAGAAAAGTATTATTTCTTACATACAGCGATCGAGTATGACTTCGGTTTCATCTATTATATTAGCAGATGAACAAGAACTCGAAAGAAATTTTCTGTTATTTAATAGCATTTCAAGTCAAGGAGAACGCATTTCGTATTGGAAGCCAAAATGAAGCGGAAGTGTTTTAACGGAAAAATCTATTGGAAAATCTATTGTGCGAAGCGCAAGTTTTACTATAATTCAAGAAAATTATGAGTTAGAAAATAATTTCCTAAGAAACTTTCATCGAGTAGCATCTTATCTAGTTTCTTGTACGCAGAATTGTTCAATAAAAAAAGAAAGTTTGTTTTTAGTGAAAAAGCGGAAGGTGTGGCAACCCCGATCAAAAACTACTCCAAACCTTCTATACATTCATGCGAACTATTTAGCATGGAATAAGCAACAGTTTTGACTGATCCAAAAATTCGACAAATTTTCCATTCATTTTTTCAGTTTTCAAAACTAAGGTAGTTCGAGCCCACCCTGGTAAAAATTCGAAGGGTCTGAGCCCACCCTAGTCTGAATTCCTGGCGCCGCCTCTACCCCTCTGCCTACGCCCTTGAGTCATTAATTAACTCTAATTTCAGATTTTTTATCAGTTTTCGTCTTGTATTGGTTCAACACAATCGATGAATCAATTTCGAATATTCAATTGTAAGTTTGACATGAAACAAAAAAAGAATTTCATTATTTTAATGATTTGATTTGTTTTATTTTACGCGTTTTCTTTAGGGAAAATAGAGTAAGGATTTGACGTTTCTATTTTTTCGTTGCTATTCACAATATTAAAATTCTCACTGTAAAAAAAAGATTGCATGAAAACTGATTTTTTCTTCTGCCGGGACAATTCATTTCATCAAAGAAATATCTCCTCTCTTTTCAGTTAATAGAAAGAGTCCGTTAACAATAATAACCATCTATTAAGATACAGTTTTTTTTCTTCCTGTTTTCCTGTTCGTCAATCTGTTTTTTGGTCATTGTGAGTAAAGACAAATTAATTGGCTGACGAAAAAGAAAGGAAGATTAAAAAAATATTGAGGATGTATTTTTCTATTGAGATTCACATTGTTGTTAATCTTGTCGGATAATATGGCTATCGATTTGGTAAGAAATCATTTAAAATTTAATTATATCTTCTGTTTTAAAATCTGTTTTTTCGTTTCGATAAGGATTCATTATGATTTTTTCGTTTTTTCGATTCTTTAATTTGAGTTCCATATTAGACGTTTCGAGTTTTTTTATTAGAATAGAGTGAAAAACGCTTGATTGAAACTGATTTATGTATTCTGATTTTAATGAAAATTTCATTGATACATGAAAATATACGTAATAAGAACGATTTCATAGTTAAAGTCATTGAAAAATATTCAGACATACCTAATCCCAAAAACTTACTGAGAAGATAGAAATAAATTTGTCCAAAAATAGTAAAATTGATTCGATATCTTCGCAATTGAGCAATTTTTGTTTTTTAAATCAGTTTTTTCTTTGAAAATTCTGAGACCTGAAAAGCTCTTTTCTTACCATATGCTGCATGATTGACTTGAAACTAATATTTAAATTTGCATGTCCATCTATCTTTAATCGATTATCTTGCTAAAAAAAGGTTTTTTTATTTACTTCATAGGTTTTGGCTTATGAACAAGAAATGGATCGTTTACATGATTTTATTGAACAACATAAAGAAGCAGCCACAAATGAAACATTAAATGACGAAGAATTAAAACAGTATCTTGATGCTGTTGGCCAACATCATCTCTTACAATTGTGGGTCGACAAACTCAAACAGGGTGAGTGAAATTTTAAATGGCAGCATTCATTTATATATTCTCTCTTTGCCCGTTTTTCTAATTAAGAACGTAATCGTCGTAATATTCACTAGCTCGGATTATAATATAACTTTATGAATTATTGAATGAAAACATGAACTATTTTGATCGTTTTTTTTCTCTTTGTTGCATTTTTCTCATCTCAAAATTCATGATGTTATTCATGACATAAATAAAAATGAAAACATATGGTTGATATATAGGAGATCGGAAAACAAGTTGCATCAAGAAATAATATTAAATATCAATGACTTTATGAAAACAAGAGTTCAAATTGAAAAATTAAATATTTCATAAGAATAAACAAAATCATGTAAATTGAAATCAAAATCCAAAGAATAGACACATTTACATTCTTCTGTGTTCAATCTATAATTTAAGATTTTAAGATCGATATTTGAATATTTATTCGTGTAATTCTTTACGTAGTTAAATAACATACAGGTCATGTTTATTCTAAGTAGATATTTTCTCATAATCAAAAATCATATTTATCAAAAAACAAACCTAAAATTTAAAAATGTTCTCATTTTTCTTTCTCTTAATTTCATGTAAAACGAATTCTGCAAAAAAATTCATTCAAAACATTTTCAAAAGTTAAATAAAACTTTTAAAGAATTTTTTTAAATGAATTTCTAAGATTTAATTTGCTTTTTCATTTAAACTTTAATCAAGTAAAATTGATAAATTAGCAATAAAATAAACAATTAATTTTAGATTATTTATTATTTTGTTATATGAACAATTCAGCAATAAACAAAAAAAAATTCTTTTTTATTTTAATTTAATTTTATAATTGAACGAAATGAAGAAAAAGAAAAGAATTAATCAAGTTTATATATATTAAGTGCTGATGGTTTTTCAGTTCTAATAGCCATATAAGAATTATCAGTTGATACACAAATATTTCTAATATTTTTATTTTTGTTTCTTTAACTAATCTTGTTTTTCTTCCTTGTTGATCAACAATCCAAAGTTTATTTGTAAACCAATTAACAAATGACCAACGTTGATCTTGAAGTGGAATAACCATTGAAAAATAGTTATGTTGATTTTCTCCATGATCCGTAGCAACACCACGTCTTACACGAGTCATATCACGCGACATTAAATCTAATCTCCATTTTAAATCTTCTTGTTGCATTATTGATAAACAAAAATGTTCATTATCACATCTAACATCACGAATTCCAATATCTTTTGTTTCTGAACATTCATGTTTTGAAAATCTTTTTTGTAATATCCATTCTGACGTTGGTGTTACAAGATAATATCAATTAATATAGCTATAACAAATGAAAAACAATTAAGCATTACATTATTAATTATTCGAAATATATTTCAATAGATTGACTTTTTTTTCGAAGGAATTTCAAAATCCTTCTATCTGATTAAATTCATGTTGACAATTATTTAAATAAGACTTGTTTTTAAAAGAATATATTAGTTTATCTTAATATTTTTAGTTAAATAAAAAAGTTTCATTTTTCTATTTTAAATTAACTATTTCAATAGAAAGAATTTAAATGAATTTTATTCATAATTGTATTGAACGTAATTGTTATTTAAATTATTTAAACTGATAGGAAAATTATTAAAATCTTCCCAACTGCGCCAAGAGATTCTGTTAGAGAAAAATCGATTTATTTTATTTCATTTTTTGTGTACTCAAAAAAAAAGTGAGTACACTATAGAATCAGTCAGTGTTTCCGGCCGTCTACACGATAACTCATGAAAGGCTAATCTGATTGTCATGAAATTTTGTACACAGAATGATCTCATCAATATCTCAGTTGAGTTCGAAGATGAAAGCAATCTGTCAAGAAATGGCTGAGTTATCGAAAAAATTGTCATTATTGGCCAGACCATCCCTGAGGGGAGGGGGGGGGGGTAACGGGGTTTTGAAAANACGGCCGGAAACACTGACTGATTCTATAGTGTACTCACTTTTTTTTTGAGTACACAAAAAATGAAATAAAATAAATCGATTTTTCTCAGAATTATTCAAAACATATATAAATCGATTCAGTTTTTGCAGTACACATAACAATCGGATGCAAATCCGATGTTTCCACATTTATTGTATTATACTTTTTAGTTTTCAAAAGTTTTTTATAAGATTAACTATTTGACAGTCGTTCTCTCAACAGTAAATTATCTTTAGAACATAATTAGTTAACGTAATCGAATTTTAATATTTAAGTTGAATAAGATTGGTTTATTTTCTAATGCCATTAGAAAGTATGAATTATAATTGCTGCTGGCGATAATTTTCAATCGTCACGCAACAATATGTAATTATTCAATGTTGCACAAAATAGTGTCTATCTTTTCATACATGGAAGTTTTAGTCAATAGATTGTTCTATCCATTATTAAGTCCGACTAGTTCACAAAAACGTTTTTCATCTTTCACAATTTCAAATTCCCATTGCGGAAAACGAAATTCAGATAAAATACTGATTTACTGCCTTAACAACAAAGTTCTCTCGTTCCTAATGACTTAGTCATGATTTAAATACTTTCTTGTTTGTCTTGGCTTCATTAATGTAATGAAATATATTCCAATAAATGAAGAGAAAAATAATTGTTAAGGTCACCATCAATGTGTCTCAGAAATGGATGATCCTTCTTCCTATATACTTCGTTAATACCCGAGACCGAAACCGATGACAAAAGTGCCATTCGATTCGATTCGGCTTTTTTCAATTTTGTTTTTATTCATTCGATTCGATTCGGTAGTTTTGAAGTTCCATTCGGAGTCGATTCGATTTCGGTCTCTGGTTAATACATATGTTCGTATGTTTTCCTTTCGTGTGACTAAGAGAACCTAGCTGATGTTTTGTTTTATTTTGTTTGTTTACTTTTTCAAGTTTACTTCATTGTATTTTAGTTTTTCTTCTCTACTGATTGTTATAAATGATAAGTAACGCGACGTTAGCATCGCAGACCCTCTACTGAAAAGACTAGAATGTGTTAAAAACACAATTGCATGACTACTTCCAGAGTCTTAGATTCCACTCAGTTCTCTTTTTGATGTATAATCATTGATCAATGATCACAGCGTGACTTGAAGAAACAAGGTATTTTCATTTTCAACGGATAGCTGCGCTATAATCCTGTTTCTACTACAGCATAAAGAGCTATATTAAAATATAATTCACAATCACCGTTCATTAATACAAGACAGTAACTTTAACTCATGCTCAGATGAGGCAGCTTGCTCATACAACCCCGGGTGTGGATATTAGAGTCCGCCGGATGCAGAAATTTCGAACCCAATCGCATCGTACATAGAATACTCAATAATAAAACTTAATCAGAATTTAATACTCGAAGTCGTTCGGAACATGAAGTGTTTTTGTCTAGCATAAAGAGCAATGACATGGAAAAATATCTACAACTAATGATGAAAAAAATTTAGTTATTGAAAACAAAAGCAATACGTTAGCGTTCACAATGATCAAAAGAAGAAAACAGATAGTGACAGTGGTTATTCTTCGAATAATATGAATAGCCTCATTGAATACAGTAAAGAATCGGATGAAGCTTTATTTGAATTATAGATTTATGATGTTAGTCGGATTTAGATATTATAATTTGGAAAAGTTCTTTTTTGATTTTCTACCATTTAAATCTATATAGAAGACTTCTTTTGAATAAAATACATAATAAATTAAAGTTCAAAAACTATTTTTACACATATAAAATATTCCATTTGACTTGTACCCGAGCGATAGAAAAATTTCTGATATGTACCCCATCGAACTCAAGTTTTCGAATCCGGAACCGTGAATGGGCCTAGTCGAGTCCCGACACGTTTGAAGGGCTCTAGTGGATGTATTTGACTAGGGATATGGGTTTGTTTTCTCTTAACAAACACCTAGCCACCTATTTTATTAATCCCAAGGTGCTGTCACAGTTCCGCTTTTGTACCTTTCGGAATCTTATACTTAACAAAAATCTTTGAAAGAACATGACGGAATCCTATCCACAATCCTGCTTACTCTTGAAATATCCTTAGCACATGAATAGTTATGACTCCAGAAAAAATTCTGAACAAATATTAGCAAGAATCAGTCTGCTACTTCTAGGATATCTCTCCAAGAAAGAAGGAGACTGGGCTCTGTAAGATTCTAACTTTTACTAACAGAAAGACATTTGATAAAATTTCGCTCCGTAATACTTACTGGTTATTGTTTCTTCAATTTGTGCTATGTTGGAAGACGACTGCAGTTCAGAGCCTATTTCAAATAATATTTTCTTAATTTTTCCCCACCCAAAGAATTGCCACAACTAAATACACCTGACTGAAATAACAGTATTCCTTCAGAGTTAACTATCTCAACATTAAAACAAAGCATCAAATATTCCAATTGTTGATATGTAATTACTGAATTAAACATATTCAAATGTGAAATTCACTTATTTATATTAGATATACGTACCTGACAGAGACCTACAAAATACAGTTCTTCTATGAAATCATCGATTGAGGTTTCAGCGTCGTTTCAATATTGAAATAAATCTGCTTTTTTCTCACTTAAGAGTTACTATTTTTTATGATTATGTGATATTTTTTAAGAGTTTCCTATTCATTGTCATCTGTCTGTAATACATTAAGGAAACGATGAGCAACATCTTCTATTTTACGATTAACTAAACACGATAATTATGATAGAGAACGATGATGATGGTGATCTAGCATAAAGTTTATCTTTTGCAATTCAAAAGTATATATTTTGTTTCGTTATAGTTGATTAATTTTTATTTTAGGTGACTAAGAAAGCAAAAATAAACATACCTTAGTCATACACTAGCATATCGCCTTCGTATACTATCTCTTTTTCTAATCATTATTGTGAGCAACCTCATTAAGTATAAATGACAAGCAGGCACTCTTTACATAATAGCATTAGTAATCAAACTATAAAACGAAAATTTATTTTTATTTTATCAAATATCGAAAAATTTCATTGTTATAGTATTCACATCTGCATGAGAGTTAGAAGAAGACTTTTGTAGAAATGCATGTAAAATAAATAAATTGTTCGGTCAATACCTTTTCTAAATTCTAAAGTTATGTCCGCTGAAATTAGTAATATTTTATAAAAACGCAAAAGTATCCATGCTAATTAATCATCGAAATGTACCTCTTATTACGTCTGTAGATTGAAATCAGCGTACTGTCTAGGTATACATGTCAATAAATATTGACGATGCTTGTTAAAAAGAATATAAATGAGAAAATAATTTGGCAATGGAGTGATATTTTTTCTTATGGGCCTGTCACAACAATTTGCTTTTCAACAAAAATGTTTGGCATGTATTTAGAAACAAAAAGATCAACGAGAATGTTGTCTTTCATTGTGATCAACTAACAGATAAAAGTCAATTTACCCAATATCTGCTGATTGTATTTCATCATCTCGAATGATTTATTTACTTCGACAGTAAAGAATGATACATTATATGGAATTCTATTTCATAATTCTTTTTTGTCTATTATAACATTAGTTATCATCAACCTATGCAAACTATTTCCACGGCAAAAAAAAATTACATTCATCTATTAATCAATACCAACTCATATCAGTGAGGTCTAAAATGAGATATTTTAAAATCTCTATAGCACATAATGACGGATTATTAGTTTGAATAAAAAAATCTTAGTTACAATAAATTAATCATGTTGGATTACAAATCCTATACAACTTAGAATACTTTATCTTTCTATGACAGGTTTTTGATTATAGATATATTGATTTCTATGTTGACATTACAAACAAATGATTGAAAATCATACGAATTCAGGTTTGTCTATCAATAAATCATTCGTTAGATTCGAAAAAAATGGATTGGATCATTCTAGGTGACACGCGATCGCCAATGAACGAACTCTTTTTATCTATCGATAGAATTTCTTCGCATTCTTCATTGAGATCAGTGAAGATTTTAAAATCCGGAAGAGGTATTATTCCAACAATACGTTCCTTTAGTTTACTTTTATGTACTTTTACACTGATAATCAATGGGTTACGTTTAGGATTTATATATTTATTTCCCAAAATTTATCCAAGTCTAATACAATCATCGTTAAATCTCTGTATAATAGAAAGTTTTTTTCTTCATGTTCTAACATGTTTCCATTTGCATTTAATAATATTTTTACGTCTTTATTGGTATTATTGTTTTCTATGTGAAAAATATTGGCCAACAAAAAGCTATTGTCGAATATTATCAATGTTTTTACTTATTTTTATTTTCTTATGTTTATTAACGCTGCCAAGTACAAGTAATGAATGGTCATCTGTTATGTACGATGAAATTTCACAAATTTGTATTGTTAATTATCTATTCAATTATTCATATACTTTTTTTACAGTGTCATTTACTTGTTTCATACCATTTATGTTAATAATCATATCTCATAAATTACAAATGAACGCTATTGAAAATCACACGTCGAAATATATTTCAAACGATGAAAATTTAAACCTTTCTCGTCAAAAAACCCAATTTCAATATTGCTCCTATGCCATTCTTATTTGGTCGTTTCTCAATATTCTACTTTTAATAATTTTACATGTGCCAACGCAAAATGCACAAATTAGAACTGTAATATATTATATAGAACTATTTTCATTTTTGCTCGATCCGATTATATTTATAGTGATTTTCTATTCATTGTCTATAATTACTTTATTACCATCAAAAAATGAAATCTATTATATATAAAAAAAAATCAAAATCTGTTTTGTTCATCGTTTAGCTCTTTTTTGCAGCATAAATAAAGTTGATTGATTTAGTAAATAAAAGGTATCATTCGAAATTTTGCAGCTTGACAATATCGATCCCATATTTTATCTCCATATTTCTTTCGACAACGTTGATCATCACGAGAAGCACGTTGTGATAAAAGAATAAAAAGTGAGAAAGGCAATATGTAAGGTACATATGATACGGTACCAGAACATAATGCAATCGACAAATAAACAAGTATTTCGCCTGTATAATTGACATGTCGACCAATACCCCAAAAACCAGACAAAAGAAGTCGCCCGTCAAGAAGTTCAACTTTTTTTCCCCAAATTTTAACTTGCGAACCATATTTTCGTACGTCAAATTTTTGCCAATTCGATTCACGAAATACATAATGACCAATAAAATGTAGAAGTAAAGTTACAATAATACATGTCATGGACATTGGACTATGAACATTATCAGCAACATACCAACCAGCGATACTATAGAGGAATGGAACATAAATAAGATCACCCCAAACAAGCATAAAACCAAAATGATCTTCAATGATATCAAATGTCCATAGCATAAAATCTTCACGAATATAATGTGTGAACAAATAGAGATACCAAAACGTTTGATATAAAATCATTTCAACGGTTAATGCTCCATGCAAATATATTTGAGCTTCCGCTAAACTTAAATTAGCTAATGCTAATCCAATAAGACTTGGTTGATAGAAAAAAACTTTTAAATCAACACCAAATAACATTGGATCTTTTTCACGACCGTGCCAATAGTCAATAGGAAATTTAGCATTTGGAGCACTTCTAACAGCTTCTGGTCTTAGAAATAAATATAAACTAAATAAAATTGCAAATACATTTATGACGATAAAAAATGATATGAACTTTTTTATTATAAATAAAAAAGAAATGTTTCCAGTGTAATAACCAATTGGAATTAAAATGGTCAATAGAACAAATACATAAAGACCAGTCAATTGATAGGTTTTCTTTGGGCTTTTTGCTTCAATACTTGGTAAAAATCTTGATACAAGAAACATACCGATCATATAACTAAGAAAATAACTAGCTGCTTCAATAAAACCATCGATCGATGGCGATTCAACATAACTCCAAACTGATTCCGATTTAATTGTCATATTTATTTTCTCTCTCTCTTTTTCTGTCCCTCTTCTTTTCTTTTGGGATTAATGCCTATCTACAAAAAAAAGACAAACAACAAATCAATGTACAGTCGAACAAACAATTAAAACCAGAGAAAAAAAAGATTATTTATTGTTAAATTTAATTTTTAATTTTATGAATTGATTTCTCACTAGCTGCACTACTTCGTCGTCGATGAATTACTTTTTGTGATGATCCTGTTGTACGTGTTGAGAGTGGACGATGATTACTACAATCATGGCCATCAGCACCGCCCATACCATATAGACGTTCAAATAATTCACACGATAATTCATTACTTAGTGGTGGATGAACACTTCTTCTATAGGATGGAGATCTTGATGATTGTAATTGATCAAACATTTTTGAAACGTCTTCGCGCCATGTTGATATTGATGATGAACTGAAAACTGCACTTTGACTTGTCAATGGCGTCGGTGATGAAGCAAAATCAATACGATTTTTAGCTTGATTAGCAAGTGATGCATCAAGACATTCTTTCCGTTTAAAAGCTATTATTCTTGATTCAATTGGATCAATAAATTTGACTGGTGAAGAAAGACTATTTTCATTATGAAAACTTAGTGTACTTTGACGACGCTTACGTAGACTCGATGTACTTGATAAATAATATGGTACGGACGCAATCGACCCACCGTAATAGGACGATGATGTAACTGAACGTATCGCAGTTGGATTTGAAAAACGTCTTTCAACTATAGGTTCAATAGGTACTTTCAATGGTTTATCACGATCATGTAATGTTATTTCATTTCGTAATAAATTTTGACAACGGTGCAAATTTAGCTGGCATGCAACATCATATGCTGTTAAACCAGAACGGTTTTTAATTGTTAAATTTGCTGAATAACGTTTCATTGCATTAAGAATATATCGAAGAATTTCGATATTGCCAGTTGAACATGCATAATGTAAACACGTATTACCATGAATATCTGTTGAACGGCTAAGATCGAAATCAAGTGAATCAATATATCGTCGTACGAGAATCGATCGTTGAGTTATGATGGCATAATGTAATGCATTCAAACCACGTTGATCGTGATCTTCAATTTTAGCTCCGTATTCAAGTAATGTCATTGCTATATTTTGTGCCCAACAATCATTATCAATGAAACAGCAATAGATTAGGCCAGTGCGCCCTTCGCTATCGCGTTCATGTGCATTACCTGTGCCTGATTCAAGTAGATAACGAATTAATGAAAAATAGCCTCGTTCAAGACAATAAAGTAGAGACCGCTGGACGAGACCACGTTCTAATTTAATCATACTAATTGATGGAGCTTCACTAAATGGCAGGCGTGAGCGAGCTGAAGGCATTTTTGATGAGGGCACAGGCGGATGGATTTCATTCATCGTAAAAAAAGAAAAACTTCTGTGCGCCTATTTAACCGTACTTATGTTTCTCACCTCTTGTTTCACTCGAACAGTCGATTCTCACTATGAAATAAAAGAAGAAAAAAAAGGCTAACAGAAAGAAAACGTCAACCAACGATAAGTGTTTGTTCCATTATGTATTGATTGTTGTTTTCGACAAACAATAGATGAAAAAGAGAAGAGAAAAACGGTGAAAATGAAATGAAACATCAGTCTGATCAAATTAATAAAACGACGATAATCATATATGATTCGACTTTTTTTTTCGTTTTGCATTTTTATTTTATTTTTTTCCTTTTCATCATACTTTTTTCCTATGAATAGAAAAGAAAAAGAATTTTTCAGTATGAAATCAAAAACAAAAAACAACAAAACGATAGTACGTAAACGGTTGTTATATACGATGAACTTAATTTTTTGTTACTACTGTTGTTTTTTGTTTTACTTTTCTTTCTTATTATCTTATTGTGTTTTAAAATTTCAATTTGTGTGGTAAAACACCATTCCAAAGTTGAAAACGACTCTTAAGATACCGACGGAGGAGTCTTGAGTCGGCATGAGCTTTAATTGCATTAAGAACTGCGACATCGGTGGTACGTTGTGCTTCGCGGCGTTCAGCGCTAAGTGGTGTTTTCTAGAATAAATTTAAAAAAATTCAATTGTTGTTGTTGTTGTTTTTGCAAGTTCAGATTTTATATAAAAGTTTATAAAAACCTTACAGGCAAATTGATTATTCGATGAAAACAAAAAAAAAACGGTGGTTTTGCTAATTCAAATGAGTGAAACACTATAGGAAATTTGTTTTTTCTTGATGACTCAAGCGAGTTTTGATACTAATTGTTTGATTTGACGTAAATGGTTCATGTCATGAACATAGTCAAAAGAAAATGAATTTATTCGATAGCATTACTTAGATATAAGGTTTTCTCAGTGAAAAAACTGAATCTTTGATCAGCATATTGAATATATTATGCGTCATACGAACCAACGAATTCCATCACCGTTGCTTGCTACCAATAGGTATCCGATTACATGTACTCTCTCATATCCATACATGTAGAATCTACTTCTCAATGGCAAAAGAAGTTAGTGTTTCATGGAGAATTTCATTTCGAGAATGGTAGTGTAAGATACCGTGACAGTTGAATCAAATTAGAATCTTTCGAAATAGCTGATACTTTTAAATTATACAATCTATGAGTTTTTGTTTTGTATAAATTACTAGAAAGTTTTGGACAGTCAAACATATAGAAAATATTATCTCGTCATATCGTCAGTTGGTTTGTTTAATCTGAGTCATTAATAGAACTGTTTCAACAGAGAAGTTGTTGTTCGTCAATACATTTGAAGGTTGATGTCAGGTAAAAAATAAAACAAGGGCAAAAACAAAAAGTCCGGTACTACTGCATTAAAACAATCTTAGTGATTCTGTCAGAGAGACTGAAGCAGTTTGAACATAAATAAAATTTTGCTAATAAGATTTCTTCTGGCTCTCATTCGTAGTCATGACTTTGTTTTCAAATCTAATCTCAAGTACAAATGCAAATGGTTTGATTATCATTCATTACAGACTATTCGATATGTATGCAGAAAAAAATACATTTCATGTCCGAATTCAATGGATGTTTCTAGGACTGTCAGTAGATGAAACGCTCTCAAAATTTTTCTTTTGTTCTCATCGCAAGTGAACTTTCGGTCTCAGTATTAGATCTGGTACGTCTATGAAAATAATTTTATACTAACTTCTGAACTTATACAAGCAAGATCATCTCACCTCTTTCTTAGAATCGAAGATATCTTTCTCAGCATTTTTCTTGGCCGGACGAACACGTTTGAAGAATTTATCATCTAAATTATCAAATTTGGCCGATGATAAATCAAGTTTTGTGCTTGTTGCTATGACATAAATTTGATTGACACGACGTAATGGTACGCCATTTAATTTATGTGGGCCTAAATGAACAAATAGAGATTGATTGTTAAAAATTCAATCGTTGTGTATTTACCAGTAACTAATAAAAGTCCAGATGACAAATGTTTAACAACAACGACACGCTACAAAATACGAAAAGAAAAATAGAAATACTAATTCATCTTAGACTTTTACTCCTTACTTTTCCGGCATGTTTACCAGCAACAAGAATAACGACAGTACCGGGTGTAAGTGTTGATCGAAAACGGCGTGGATGATCACCGAATCGTTTACGTTTAACGCTAAATTTCTTTGGTCGTTCTTCAGTTGGATAAAAACGAGGCTACAAAGTTCATAAGAAATAGGTTACAAAAAAACGAAAAATTTAAATCTACGTACAAATCGTTTTGTTCGTACAAGACGTTCTTTTCCATTACGATCTCCACCAATTGGTTTCTTTTTAAGTGCTGATGTACTTTTTTTCTTTTTAATACTACCAGCTGTTTTCTTTGTTTTATCTCCTTTTAATTTAGCCTGGTCAGTTTTCCATTTACTGATACGATATAAAGCACGTCGATGGAACATGCGACCACGTGAAAAACGCATAAGACCATTGTTATTCAATGTACGATTTGAATGTGAATTAATGACCTTTTTACCAGTTGCCGTTGTAGCTGCCGTTTTTGTTGGTGTCTTAGCCGATGGCGTCGACATGATCGAATATTAATCTTTACTCTAAAATTTAGAAAAAGACGACGTTTATATCATTGTAGAGATTCAATATTATCAATAAACGAAAAAATAACAACAACTGAATATGAAACTGATGATGTTTACAAAATTTGGTATAATCCTCCTCCAATGAAATGTGAGCAATATTCGAACATGGTATCTTTACAAATGAATATGTATTAAATTAGTTTTAGAAAATTTCTCTTTAAAAATTATTATTGAATTGATTGTTTCTGTTCGAAAAAAAAAGATTTTTTACTTACTTGAATTCGATTGGTCGTTAATATCATAGAATGAATCATCATTAATTATGAATCATTGACGATTTACATTACATGCTGCTGTTTTTTCTTTCTGTTCTCCTCATTGTTGATTTACTTTTAACTATTTATTAATTAAGATAAATAATATTCGTAATTAATAAGAAAATAATCGAAATAGCATGTCAAATTTTCTAAAAAAAGATTGCAATTAATATTATGTTTGCTTAGAACATACAATTGTCTTGTCTTATATTTAATTTTTCATTCTATGACAAGCAGATGAGTGATACTCTCGTGCTACTAATCATTTAGATATTTTATAGTTTTGTTTCATGATATCTCTTGGAAGCACTTATATTTATTTGTGGCAATTTTAAAGAATACAGTGAGTAATGTAAGCTAGAAAATCACTGAGTATCTCATGCAGAATTGTGTGAGAAAAAGATATAGAATAATATATCAGATAAAGAACTTTGGTGTCTTATTAGCATGAAAGCAGCACCAGATCATAGAATAGCATATGTTGTATAAAAAACTAAAATTTCAATGGATCAAATATATTTCTCGATAAAAATAAAACAACAAGATTAAATGATTCTGTAAATTTAACATTATCTGACTGTGTTTTTAATTAAGAAACATGTAACCACGACTCCATGTTACATAGAACCCACTTTTCGACAAATGTGCCTCAGCAACGCTAAAGCTAGTCTTCGAAATCATTGATTAAATAATTTTGTTGATTTTTCCTTTATCTCAATCATAACCATGCAAAAGAGGAAGCTTGAAATAATATTTGCCTCATCTACTCTCTGTACATAATAATCGTATAAATTCTTAGCTGTTTGTTACCGTGACATCCATATATTTAGAAGAAAAAAAAAGTTATTGTGCGCACTTCCATCTTCACTTTTTACATGTGTTCCCTCATATTCTATTTCATTGGCCCAGCAAAATAATCTTTCTGATGAATCATAAAACTCGCCTAATCTAAATTAGTAAAAATTACTATTGATTATTTCTTAGCCAGATGTGTTGCTTATAAAGAAGTTCATATTCTCTGTTTATATACATTATAATCTAATGGTTTTGGTCAAAATAAGCAAACGGCTTGATTAGTTTCATATTATAGTAGACTTTATAGAATTGTCGAAAACAAATTTATCGAGAGAGAGGGAGAGAGAGAGAGCTTGTCTATGAATGCAGATTCTGATTTGTACAATGTATGAAACTTATCTAATCGTCCGTGTGGCCTTGTTATTAAAGATATAAACAACAGACAGATTGTGCGCGTCCAACTCATACTCCGAGGCCATTTATGACGTCAGCAGCAGTAGTGGGAGTAGAACTTGTAGAAGTCTCTATCTCCCTCTCTTTTCCCTTTCGATACTACCATCGTCGCCCAATAATCATTACGGATATATGTATGAGATCAACATGATATGTCGATTAAAGTAAGACTAGGGCACGCGTAATTTTTATGCGATTCTATCAGAAAGACACAGCTGGATATGCAATGATGCTAGTGTGTATATATCTCGATGTGTTGAGGCACGAGTCTAAGAGAAAGAGGTGATCATGGCAGGACGGCAGAAAATGACTTGCTGTCCATAATTGCTATACGCACATATAAGCACCATTGTGCCATTTGTTCTCTTTCTGTTTTTTAAGCAGGCGGAAGAGCCAAGCGGACTCTGATAACGTAAATACACACAGTAGTAGCAGCCGTTAAAAGACAAAGACGACTTGCCGAGTAATATGCATAGAAATAAGAAGAGAGAGAGAGAGAGAGAGAGAGCAAGAGAGAAAACGGAATTTCTTTCCCTTCCTTTCAACTTGTTACTAGCCTTCCTTCTTTGTATAGATCGTAGTTATGCATACGCACTTTACGACGCTTTCTGTTTCAAGTTGCTAGCATGTAATATAGAAATGTGAGAAAAAGAGCACAATAATCATACAAGTTACTCTGCTTTTTTTTATTTGTTTCATATTATGTATTTATTTTCGAGATTTTTTTAATTAATATCAATATCAGCCTGTTTTTAATACAAAAATAAAACTATGGTACTTAAATTACCAGCACTTGAGTTTACTGAGGCACTTACTGATTCGCCTGAATTTCGCGAAAAATTACGTCAGCATGAAAATGAACTTGAAAATACATCGAATGCAATAAAAACTTTAATTAAAAAGTTAAATGAAGTTATGGTAGCAAATAAAAGTATGTTTAAATTATACAATTACGTTGAAACAAATAAATAATGAGAACTGTTTCGTTTCTAGCTTTATCAAAAGCATCACGCAGTGTTGCAGAAACATTGAAAAGTTTTAAATTTTTTGTTGTTGGAAGTAAACAGACAGACGAAGAACGTGATATAGGTTTGCTATTTATAGTGGAAAAATATTGTGAAACTTTGCTTTGATTTTTTAAATTAGAGTCATCACTTTCATACATGGGTGAAGTGTTACATCGAATAGAGGAAGCACGAGATGCACTTGTAAGTTTTTATAAATCAATAATTGATCTATATAAATTCTTTTCTTTTTGCTATTTCAAATAGAATGTTTCATCTGAAACCTATTTAAAAAAATTAGATGAATTTCGAAAAACAACAATTGGCAAAGCAAAAGTTTGTAAATACGAATTTTTTAATTTTTTCTCAAACTTTTAATTACTAGAATAAGAAAAAAGAATTCGATAAAACAACACAACGTTATTGTGCAATGGTTGAAAATAATATGAAAATACCAACCAAACGATCTGATTTATTTCAAGAAGTAAGCTATCTATTAAATATTCAATTTCTGTACTATTCGTCTAATTCTTTTAGGCTGATGCAAATCTTCAAATGCAAACAAAAAAGTTTCGAGAAGAAACACTTGATTATGTTTTTTTATTACAACAAGTACAAGAAAGAAAAAAATTTGATTTTGTTGAAACAGTAAATTCAAATATTAGTTTTTCTATTCCATTGAAAAGAGTTATTTTTCCTTTCTGTAGTTGTTAGCCTTAATGCTGAATTTTCTATCATTCTATCATGCAGGTAAAACAAGAGTAGAGCCATTTTACGTGACTTTTTTTAATTAAATAATATTTTTTAGGACAAGAAATTTATAAAGAATTTGATTATTTTATTCGATTTTTACATCATCGTGTTTTAAAAGTAAGAAAAAAAACATTAGTGCAAAACAGCAAAAACAAATGTTACTTTGAATTTTTAGTGTCGAGAAAATTTTGATTGTTTTCAACGAGAAGGTGAAGATTTAAAGTGGAAAATGTTAATGGTAAGATAAAGTAAATAATCAAAAATCCTAAAATTTCTGAGATTTTTTTCAGAGACCAGAAGAACATTTACTTAAAAATCAAGAATTCGATCGTGAAGGTTATCTATTTCTTATTGAACGAAGTATGTGATAGAAACAACTATATATATATGTATCAATGTGTTTTTGTTTCATTTCAAATATTTTCCATTAGATAAAATTATTGGTACCACTGCAGCAACTAAACACTATTGTCAATATAGAAAAGATATTGGTCTACTTCGATTGATTACATTTACTCAAACAAGTACAAAACAGGTATTTTCAAAGAGTTTAATCGCAATAATAATTAATATCACAATAAAAATACAAAGGATTTATACGATGCGTTCTTTGAATATATCTACGTATGTTGGTAAACTTAGTCAATTGCTATTAAAAAATATCGAATAATGAATAGTTCTAAATAAAAAATATGACTTTGTATGTTGCAAAGAAGATCGAATTTATTTATATGGAATGTTTTTGTGTACTCAAAAAAAAAAAGAGTACACTATAGAATCGGTCAGTGTGTCCGGTCGTCCATTTATTCGATAACTCTTCACAACTATATTCGATTGAGCTGAAATTTTGCGCACAGAATTGTCTCATCAATATCTAGGTCGAGTTCGAAGATGAGAAGGATCCGTCAAGAAATGACTGAATTATCGAAAAAATTGTCATTTTTGATCAGACCATCCCTGAGGGGGAGTACAGAGATTTTTCAAAAAAAACATTTTTCTTAGAATTATCCACAACATATATAAATCATCTCAGTTTTTAACGCTGATTCTGAATCTGGTGTTAGTTTTGAACTAAACCGTAGCTTTCTAACGAAACATCGCCTGAAAAACGTCTCAAAATGCACAAAAACTGCATCCAGAAATCAAATCGCCTAGTTTCTCATGACGATTTTGGTGTTCAGACATTCTAGAATGACTCATAAGTCCCATGCACTTTTTGCAGTACACATAACTCTCGGATGAAATCCGAAGTTTCCACATTTATTAGTCAGCAGAAACAATGATCCCATTTCAGGATGAGAGTATCGCTACTGATAGTTTTAAAATAAAGGTCTATAATAAAGATGTCTTTTCTGTTGTGCAAACTTTTAATTCCATATTCACAAAATCACTTCCTGATCGGTGTTTTCGAAGAAAACCACAATGTTGAGTTAAACAACATAGAGAAACAAGAGAATACAGTACTGCTGCAGAAATAATTCAAGGTCTAAAATTCTTTTTCAGAACTTTCATCACTCATATGACGTACATAGACTTGTCTGACCAACGAAGACACAATCAAGAGATTTTCATGGTTAGCCTATTACCTAAGCACAATTTCGTTTTGACTAACACGCGAAATGACTAGTTTCATTTGCATCGATCCACTACTATTGAAATAGCAACGCTTATCGTACTTCTTTTTTAAAACATCTATTTTTATAAAATTAAATTCTAGTTAACTCCCTACGATGTTTTTGTTCGTCATTGTTTTGTTCATCCGGCTGATGAAAAATTGGATAAACGCTTCATGTTTGATTTACATGTGATTGAAAAAGGCGCATCATCGGAAAAAATGCTAATATTTACATTTCAAGCTATGAATGAAGAAGATTTCGAAGGATGGGTATCCATTACTGGCGGGCTAATACATGTATCTAAACCAGAACTATCATCAAAGCCTGAAATGCAAAGTAAAAGCTTGAATAATACATTTCTAACGAAAAAGAAAAATCATAAAATCGTGTTGTCGATTTAGATGAATTGGATGACTCGGGCATTGATTTTGTTAAGAAGTGTATTCAAGTAATTGAACGGCGTGGTCTTGATGAGCAAGGTCTTTATCGGGTTGTTGGAATGCAATCGAAAGTTAATTCTGTAGTAGCTGGTCATTTTGGTAGTGTATTTTTATTTAAACGATAGCAACAACAAAACGATATTTCATTGTTTCAGATGCACATAAAACACTTGCACAACGATTAGCAACACCCGTCGAAGAAGATATAGAACTTAAAACTATATGTTCAGCACTTAAACTTTATTTACGAACATTAAAAGAACCTGTTTTTACGTTTAAATTACACAATAGATTCATCGAAGCAGCAAGTATAAAGATTTTCAGCAGACGTTTTTTTCCTGTCGTCTAAAAACGTTATTTATTAAATTTAGTGATTGACGATAAAGCTGATCGTATTCGAACACTTCATACTTTATTAAAAGAATTACCTAAACATAATTATGATTTATTATATATTCTGATGTCACATTTACATAAGTAAATACTTACTTTTCACTCTGAGATCAAGTAAATTCATTTTTTTTCATATTTAGAGTGTCTCAACATAATGAAAAAAATCTTATGACTCCTGTCAACTTAGGTGTTTGCTTTGGTCCATCATTACTTCGGCCTGAATTTGAAACTGTTTCATCTATATATGATATAAAATTTCGTAATGCTATTGTTGAATTAATTATAATACATAATGAAAAAATGTTTCAATCTAAACTTGAACAACAAGATATCGATGAAATGGTTGGCTCAAGTGAACAAGATCAACCTACTGGCGTCAATCTAAGCAATTCACTATCATCATTAGCTGTAATTATATAATAATAATAATAATAATTTCAAATATAGAAAAGAAAACCGTCAATGTTATTGTTTTAGTCTATTGTAAGGCGAGCACCACCACCGACCAACGACATGATTGAAACAACAGCTGATGCGCGCCGACGAGGTTTATATAATCCGGATTATCATATCAATGAAACAAATAAACATTTATTTCCTCCTATGCCAGAAGATACCGTTAGAAAAGAATGTAAGTAGAATATAATTTGTTGATATGAACAACATTCAGAAAGCACGAAACTGAAGAGAAAAAAATTACGTATAAAAAAATTGAATGATTCGACAAATACAGCTAGGCAAATAAATTGGATTAAAACTCGACAGAAGTTTTGTTGAGCAAGATTTTCTTCGATAATACAGTTCTGCAATCACTCCAGTGACTAACGATGTTCTTCAGAAGCAAATAGTTAGAAAGTTGAAATTAAAAATAAAACAAAATGAAATAAGTTCAATCGCTTGTTGAATCAAACGAACATAACAAGAGATGTTCGAAAGCGTTTGCATTGAATAGTAATCACGATGCTTGAGAAGTGTACCATATTTATGAATAAAATTTTAATTATCGATTTCTATTGTCGAGTGAGCGAACTCGTACTCGAAAATGATCTGTAAGTTGAGCTGAAAATTGTTTTGTATAGTTAGTTAAATTCATTCATTTTGAATATTTTAGCTGTAATTTCTAATTAGAGAACTTAACATGCCAAAATGTTTTCTTTTTGTGGATGCAGACTATTTTCGAGCATGTGTTACCTCACTGGATAGTCAAAATAAAAAAATCATTATTGATTTAAAAATACGAGAGCTCAAAATCCATTGGATTTATCTTCTTCCGCAATAGTTTTTTACTTGCCATGAATTATGTTACTGATTAAAGTTGAAAAGTTGAGCTTTTTTTGGCACTAACTATTGATGTTGATTTACTTTTGGCGCATATTTTTTTTTCGTCAATCATACTATCCCATACATTTCTAACATAGGTCGTAGACTAAGTAGCATTGCCGTACCGTAAAACCCTTTTGTACATTAACGGAACTCGAAAACAAAATTATATTCTCTGCGATCTTTTTCTCGAATAACTAATATGATTTCACAATCATTCAAAAGATTTTGAATATATGTTTTAGAATTGACATGTTTCTTCACCCAAAAGCAATCTAATATGATGAAGTATTGAGAGTGTTGCCAAAATTTTTTATATTTTCTTTCAGTTAAGATACTATGTAAATATTATCAAAACTTTAATATTCCCTTTATTGTTTTTAGCAAGTTCGAGCAGTAGTTTAGAATCTCTTAGTAATATATCCGCTACTGTTCAACCAACACCAAGTAAGTAGAACGTTTCAATGCATTGACTTCTCTCATAAAGAGTTCTATGACATTCAATAAGGTTTGAATCCATTCAGTGGTATTAGCAGTCAAATACGCTCAATCTCATCATCATCATCATCGTTTGCCAAACAAATATCATTATCTGACACTCAAAGTCGTTTATCGACCGCAAGTACAAATCTTTCAATATCATCAAAAACTGAGCCAACAATTACTCCATCCTCGACAATACGAAAATCATCGATAACAAACATCGCAAATCCTACGCCGAAATTGTTCGTCAAAAATCTAATTTGTTTTTGTCAAAATTTTCATACCAAATGTTTTTATCTTTACAGACCAACTCGAGGTGTAACATTATATCCTTGTGCGGCTGATAACGATTCAGAATTATCTTTTAACGCGAATGAAATTGTTACTCAGAGTGAGTTATAAATAAATCTACATATAGAAAACAAATTTGACATAAAAATATCTTTTCTAGTTCGATCATCGAAAGAACCTGGTTGGGTAAGTTTTATTATGCTGTTCTAGTTTACATGAGAGTAAGACACTAATTAAATTTTTTTCTCATTTAGCTCATGGGTACAATTAATGGTAAAACTGGCCTAATTCCAGAAAACTATATAAATTTTACGGGAGGCGTATGAAAAATTCGATGTGTTTTTCTTGTTGTGATATGACTTATATCTATCCTCATACATCTTTTGCTTGTCGATCTTGTCGCACGACTCTAGTCGAATTTAATTATGAATTTATCTCATTTGAATGAAAAGCCTATGCGAACGTATAATACGGGAATATTTATTTTGTTTCTTCCTTGTTTATGTGTGTGAAAACTAATCTTATTTTATTTTATTTTGTACATTGTTCAATTATTATTCATTATATGACGTGCGCGTGTGTGTGAGAGAGGGTTTTTCTTTTTGAATGGCATTCGATCTCTTTTTTTTACTGTTATTGACAAAATCAATCATTAATGTAAAACAAGCATTTCATCTATATTATATCTTTTAGCTAAATGTTTATGTCGTTTATGAATCTTTTTCGTATAGCTGCTCGTATTTTTTTCTTGTATGCTTATATGCATGTACGTATATGTTGAGTAGTTGCACGAAAATTTTCTTTATTATTTATTTGATTTTTCTTCTCTATCTGAAAAAGAAGAAAGGAAGAAATTTGATCACATCCTAGAAATATTAGTGAATATTATCTATGGCTTGATATTAATTATACGATCAATGGTTGAGAAAGTAATTTATTGAAATATCAATTCATTTCTAAGTTACATAAAAGGAGTATGGAGCAACTTTCAAACTATCGGATCGGAATCTTAAAATTTTGCTCTTTGTTAATGGAGAATTTTGGAATTCTGAGATGCTCATTCTTAACTTATGATCAGTACTGAACAAAAACAAAAACCTTAGAGAAATATACAGTGACACCCACTTACAAATCACGATATGACATCGATACAAAAATAAGCCTTAGAAATATCTAAGATGAGTCCTTAGTGGTATTCGAAAAGTCTCATAAGTGTCGAAATCTGATATGGGCGTGTTTCGTTGTCCTCGAAATCATTTAATATTGTAGTAAGAGTTTCCTCGAATCTGCCAAATGAAATAAAAAAAAAAGTACTGCTCGATAAAGTGACACTCTTTTACAGTAATTCAGTGGAATAGTTGATGAATTTAACAAATTGTTTTTTGATCAGATAAATATGTCATGACAAAATTTGATGTTAGTTTTTGTTTAACAATTACAATATCTCATTAATCTATCATCACCTTTTCGACCAACTGTTATGAATCTTTTTCATATTAACTATCGATTTATTTTTTTGTCGTCTTGATTATTCATGATTTTATCTTTATCAATCAACATTGACTTTTTGAACGTTAATAAACTAAATAATCACATGTTTAGAATGTATTTCTTTTGAGAAGAAATATCATTAACAATAGAAATGCAAAAATGATATATAAAATAGATAAACATATACGTGATACACTGAACCCAAAGCAAATTAATAATAGCTTTTATACATACACGTACACAAAGAAATGAACAGTTTTACAGGATAAAACACGTTATTCGTCTACCAATTGTAATCAACATATTATTGAAACGACGAAGCATACTTCGTATGAATGATAATAATACATTTTAATTCATAAAAAACGAGTGTCAGAAGTATTAATAAAGAGTAGAAGCAAATAATAGAAACGATTATCGGCTATGTGGCTTTGTTTTTCTTGAGTTAATAGCCTTCCATGACATACGGATGACCAAACACTTCTTCAATAGTGAAACGTCGACGTGGGTTAGCTCGTAAACAACCTTGGAGTACTTTACGCAAATTTTTATTAGGATGTTTCGGTATTTTAATATCTTGATGTAAGAAACCTAAAAATCTTAACTTTTCTGAATTGGTAGACAATCCTTGCAATGGTCGATAACCAAATGCCATTTCAAATAGAATAACGCCAAGCGCCCAAATATCAGCTTTATAACCACATTTTGAACGTGAACTTGAACCAACTCGAGAACTAACCATTTCTGGAGAAACATAATCTATTTAAAAATAAATAAAGATAGACAACATTTTTGTTTTCAAAAAAAATGTATCGATTAAAGTAAACCTAACCTGGTGTTCCAGCAGCTGTTTTTAAGCGACTTGTAACATTTGGTGGTAATTGAAAACTAATACCCATATCAATTAGTCGCAAAGTTGTACGATCTGATCCAACTTGAATAAAATTCTCCGGTTTAACATCACCATGAACAATTCCAATTCGATGCATATAAAAAATAGATTCAACCATTTGTGACCAAAATCTATGTACAAGAAATGGTGGGAGAGGCATTCCATTAATCATGTATTCAATAAATGTATCGCGCAATGTTTCACCACGTTCCATAACAATTATACCCTGTCCGTTATTATAATCATGAGCAAATACACGAATAATATATGGATTTAATCGTTGTAAATATAAGAGCATTCGAATTTCTTTAAAAAATGATTGCTGTCGAGATTCAGTGTCAGCTTTGACGCCGACTGATCCATGAACAAAATTAGTGATTTTAATAGCTACCGGTTGACCAGTACGCAAATCCCTACCACCATAAACAAGGCTATGAAGCCCATAACCAATCTGTTCTTCGATCTGATAAGGGGTGCCGCGTACCAAAATACGACGACCAGCCATTAAATAGTACTAGTATTCTCAGCTTCTATTCTTTTTCTTTTCTGATGATACAATAAGACACGGTTGTTAATGTAGACGATAAATATTTCAACAAATGAATATGACCAACAAATCGTGCAAAACCTTCATACAGCAAGGTTGCTTACGCATCAACGAATATGAACGAAGGACATAGAAAAAGAGATTGAAAGAATCGTTACATATGTCGATATCATTCGTTCTTTTCTTTTCGTTTCGTTTCTTTTCTTTTTGTCCATTTCAACACGTCTTGCCGTTGAAACGGATGAAGGTTAACTATATAACTCTCCTTAAAATCCTTTTCTTTCTATTTTATTTACACGAGTCGGTTAACATAAAATTACAGAACAGGATAGAATGCACTAGATATGAATAACTTATTTGTGAAGGCCCTTTCATGATGAGGTAGCAACCTCATTTATTATAGCACATCTTCATAAATCGACATGTTCAAGTTCATCGTCTTTCGCAAAAAGATATATGGATAGATACTTGAAAAAATAAATACAATCATTGCTATCTAGACGTTTATGTTTAACGAAACGTTTCGAAATAAATAGATAATTGAAATTGAATGTAATTTACTGATTGTAATCAAATAAGTTCATTTTTTTTCGAAATGCATGAAAATATTAATGTGAATTTCCGTCATTCTTTTCCTTTTTTTCTTTGCATACAAAAGAAGAAGAAATTAAAAACAATAAAACCTTTTGAAAAAAAATATATATACAGTAACGATAGAGTTCAACTCATCATATCGCCTCGTTTTGGTTTATCTTCAACTAAAACGAAAAGAAAATATATCGAAAAAACAAACAAATAAATGAAACTTTTCTTCCATCACACTATTTACCTTTCCATAGATCACAAAACTCGCCATAAATATCTTCTGGACAGATACATTTGCCTGTAACTGAATGGCATACACCTACACCACATGGTTTACAGACATATTTGCATCCAACAGTCCAACGATCAGATGGACACCATATATGTGCTAACGACAGTTGATCGATTGTTGTCGTTGTTGTTGTTGTCGATGATGGCATATCATCAACTGAGGATTCTGCTAATAGATTAGCAAGTGCTGACGAAATAGTTGATCGAGATGTGATTGATGTTGTCGACATATTTGACATATTCATTAAATCGTAATGATTATTGACAGTCGTATTAATAACAACAGGACGAACAATTTTATTTAATAGAAATATGCTGAGAGCAATAATTAATAATAGAAGTGTAGAAATAATACATGAATATAAAGCTAAACTTTTATTTTCAAGATAGAAAAGAATAGGTGACGTACTATTAGAGGTATTTGATGAAGAATTATTTTCACTATCATTAATAATTCCATTTTTTGGATTATCATACACATTTTCATTGTTATGCGGAAGACTTATTAAACTTTTTTTAATATTATACTTAAAAACGAAGAAAGAAATGTTGATAGTGAAAAATGTTCCACTCAATCAGTAACTTACATTTTCATGATATTCCATTGGATTATCATAGGTATGCATATAAGTATTATCATAATGTTCATTTTTATGAATATACGAAGATGTAGCTGATCCAACATCTTCATTTATTTTTGTTCCATATAACAGATTTTCGCATACATTAATTGGTGTCACTGGCAATGTTGTTAAATAAGGACGAAATGATTGATTTGTCGTTGATGAATATGTTGTGCGAACATAGGTTCGATCGTTATATATAGTACGGTTACTATCAAACGACAACATATTATGTGTTGTCATTTGAGAGTATGAATGAATATCGTTGCAAAGAAAAAAGAGACTTCACCAATTCAGAGTACAAAATCAGATTATATAATATCAACAGTAGACTGAAGAATGATGATAATAATACCTTAAATATAAAAACTGAAGTGAACTATTTGATCAACAGTGAAAATTTACAGTTTTAAATCATTTTCATCTTATAAATAAATTGTGTAGTTCTTTTTCTAGTCGCCTAGTATATTTTTTTTTGTATATATCAGAGTAACAAAAGTGTATATAGGATGGTGACGCCGCCTACTAAAGAACGAGAGAAGAATCACTTTTTTCGCTCTCTCTCTCTCTCCTTCTCCCTCTCGCTCTCTCTCTCTTCCTCCTTTACTATTTCATTTTATATTCAACCCAACTCGTTATACTGCTTTTGTTGATATAAAGAAAACAACATACTGAAGTAGGCTCTATTCTCTTATTTTGTTTCTAACTTAAAAGTCAAACTAACACTTGACTGATCTGAAGCCTAGGATACTTGCTTTAAACTATCAAGTGCTAACAAACCATTGTATATATATATATATTTATTTATTTATATATATATATCGAAGAAGTCATATCGTATCGAGAAAGAGAGAACGAGAGACTAAGATGCATAGTCTCACACGAAAGATATTTATAATTCCGATTAGAAATTCGCAACATATGGCTTCGAATAAAACTACTATTCAAGGATAAAACTTAACATGAAATAAATTAACTAATCGAGAGATTCATATTTTGTCAATTTTAAGTATACAATCGTAGTATAGCTATGTATACATGTACAAGTACAAATTATATGGCAATCACAATGATAGCGAAGACAGTGTGACGGAGAGTTCAAATTTTCTTTTGTTTGACAATAATTAATGCTAACAGAAATATACACTTTAAGGCTTCTTCGATTTTATGGTCGATGTTAAAGTGAAATCGGATATGGTTAAATCTGTAAAATTCTGCTACATATGTCTAATGTGAACTTGCATGTGTAATAGACCTTTAACTTGCATTGTCATTCACGTATTGATTTATGCTTTGAAATGTTCTTGTGATCTGTACTATAATCCTTTTACAAATGAGCTTTTTCTTTTCTTTTCCTCTTCGGTGGCAATGACATAAAGAAATGCAAAGTCCACCACTCTATAAAAATGTACTACGATGATAATCTAAAATTAAACGTGAACGAACGCCTTCAAATCTATATATTTATATATGTATATGGATCATAGACTCAAACATTTTTCTTTAATATATATACATACACTTCTATGTCGTGATATGTTGATATTGTATGGCACATGCATGGTTTGATGAAACGAGTATAAGATTGATCATTAAAAAGATCTCATTTACAGTTGCTATTAATATAAATAAACAATGTCGATTCATAATTTTGCGTCCATATGAAAATGTTCACGGTAGACTCAAATAATCGACTTTTTTCTATCATCAATGAATTTGTGACTCATTTATAGTATTCAATTTCATGAAATTGAGTAAACATGTTAGTGATACTATTTCTTTCAATACATGTTAAAATCAATGCTTGATGATCACCTCGGTTAAAACACAAAAAAGTGAACAATTAAATACATTATTTACTAACTTGTCTTTACCTGGATGGCTATGAATGACATAATATTCATTGGTTATCAATGCATTTCTGTATAGTATTAATCAATTGATTCTCTTTAGATTCAATTTTAATGTAAGCATCATAGAAATCTGTATATTGAATATGTAAATTAATAATCTGATTTTTTAATTGTTCGTCATTCGGTGATTTAACAAGCAATTAAAGTTTCGACACTCATACAGAATTTATTATTGTTTTTTTTAATGTTAATTCTTCTTCTTTTTCTCTTAATGTTATTGCATAAAAGATAAAGTCAGTACCGATTGTGGTGAAATTTAGATGTAAAATTCGTCTATCAATATAAACAAAGTTTGTTGAACTAAGGAGATAAGTAGGTTGATATTTAATGAAGTGATTTTATGATAAAAACAGTAAACAAGATATTTAGTTTAAAAACAATCGTAATAAACTCGATGATTTTCTTCATTGTTCTACAATTCATTTATAGAATATAATAAAATATATGATAGGTATAATTAAAAAGTAAAGAGCACAAAATATTGAAGGCTATCGCTAGAATTTCACAATTTTTCCAAGAAAAACGTCAAATATGTATTCAAATTTTTACTATTCCCGATGATATATCATAATTCACGTAAAAGTCAATTGTAGTTTAATTTGATGAAAATTCTATAGCTATATGTTTTGAATCGATTGAATTTTTATCGTGATGTTTCAATATTAGATTATTCTCTCTATGACATCTGAAAATATTTTTATTGGACTGTTAGATGTCGTATACAACCGATAATAAATAATACACAAAATAAAGGACTAATCGCTACATTCAATGTAAATATCAACTGAAATTCTAGCGACAATTGTTCAATTAGTCCAATTATACTCATTTCATTTTGTTGTGTTGTGTGTGAGTGAAGAAAAAAAAATCGAGATATTTTCTCACCTTGTTCCTATTGATGCTTGACCTTAACTAGCCATTCGGAAAGAAAAACGAACGCGATAAATTTCTTTTCTGATGAACGAGATTATTGAACACTGATTAAATTAGTATGACGTTATTTTTCTGTTCTATTCAGATTGTCCTTCACGAGTAACATGAAACGAACGGGATTTGCATATTTTTTTGCTTTAATTGGTGGACTTTTTGGTTTTCATCATCTTTATTTGGGCCGTACTCAACATGCTTTATTATGGTTTACAACATTCGGCGGTTTTGGCATTGGTATTATTTACGAATTATTATTTTCAATAAGAAACTATGTTCGTGAAGCAAATAATGATAAACTAATAATTGATGAGTACGAAAAAATAATGCGAGAACAAAAATCACCAGCTTTTGAATTAAAAAGATTTTGTGGTAAAAAAAGAAAACTTTTTTGATCAAATTTTCAAACGACTCAATATATTGTCGCGTTTTCTTTCAAGGTCAATATATAACTGCTTTATTCTATGGTTTCATTACGTATTATGCTTTTCCGGATACGTGGCTTCACAAAACGTTTCCATCATTGATTGTTGGAGTTTGTTGTGCTCTTGCTATTGCTCTTGGTAGGAACACGAAAATCCAATATGTTTAGATTCTTCGTTTTTGAATTTAATTAGGTACGCAATTAGTTGGTACACTTGGTCCTCGTCAATGTTCATTTATTTGGCCATTATTAGGTGCTTTACTTGGATTACCTTTTCTAGTTGGAAATGGTGATGGATCACCGTCATTTAACATAGTAGCTTTCTTTTCATGTTGCATATTTGAATGGAAAATCGATTGGGATCCAGAATATTTTCCAACTAAAACTGAATCTCAAGTGACAACATCGAAAAAAAAACAACGTCAACGACGACATATTATTAAACGTTGTATTATACTTGGATTTGGTGCATGCGTATTTGGATTAATATTAACATCAGCTGTGTATCAAAATTTGCAAGTTGATATTAATGGTGAACGTGTTAAAGTTAAAGATGTTATAGCTGATTTTTTTAAATCACAAGAATTTATAATATTATATCAGCAATTATCTAGTGTGGTAAAACAATTGTATGCTTTTTATTTACAATATGGATTTAAAGGAATATGGACACAAATATGGACAGCGTTGGACTTCGAAAGTGATAAACAAGCATTTGAAGTAAATTAAAAATAGTAACTTATTTCATTCTTTGGAAGCACTTTCATTTTCGTGCTTTTATTGTCTTTGTACGATTAGCATTTTATTGATTTTCGTATTTTACTACAGACTGTTTAGCATTCAGTGTCTTCACAAAAGTACATTCTTTTAGACATGCTGATGTTTGTGAAGTATATCCCATGTATAGATTGAATTGCAGATTTCAACTGTATGATTATATTTTCCTGTAAGCATCTTCCTGTTTTTCAGAAAACTAGAAAACTAAGTAGTGCAGTTGAAGAATGATAAAGCATACGATCGAATTATCTAAGACTTCTATTCATCCTACTCATGATATTTATGTAGTTCCATTGATAAGTCGTACATGAGATTGTTTTCCTTCTATAGATTATACTTTTTATCGTGTGTAAGAAAGGCATTGTGATCCATCAATTATATAATTTTAACAGTGCTCCTCAAAAAGTGTGCTTTTCCGTTAGACAAATAAAAATTAAGATAAAAGCATAGAACAGGATACCTTAAGGTAGAATTTTTGACAAACAATACGCTTTGTTATTTTGTATCGCTTTCTTTGCAAACATGCTTGATGTTTTCTACTCGAGAAAAAAATGCATTTCAAGAAAAAAGCGGCAAATTCTTTTCTTGCTCTTTGTTGATATTTTTCTTATCGAGTATTTCAGAAATCTCAAAGTGGGTTCATTGTAGAGAATCACATTTTTATTTTCAGTGAAAGAGAACATGTGAAACAACGAGCCTTGCTTTTTATTAAAGAAATTTTTCTATTAAAATATGAATGTATTCTTCTATAGAGAGATTACCAGTTTGTTTTTGGAAAGTTTATCCTTGTCTTCTGTTAGATACTGTAATCCGACATGCATTTCACAACGAAAAAGTTAAACACATCAAATAAGAGTTTGTAAGGAATTCCAGATTATTAAATGACATACTTTTAGTTGTTGATTGATGAATATCGTTCGATGGTATCGTAGTGTACAACTCAATATTTCATGCGATTGAAATTTAGCTTGTCATAGTCACCGATAATTACTATGAATTATCATTTTCAAAGTTTGAAATCATACCTTAGATAGACAGAGTACCTTTTCACTTTTCACCAATGTATAAAGAAAAGCGATAGAATAATAGATACTTTCAATTAATAATCCAATGACGAATACTATATTCAAATATAGATTAGTTGAGTCGCTTTTGACATTCATTAGAATACTATACTGATAACAATAATCTCCTAGATGATGTTTGCAATTCGATGATCATCATAGCAAATCGAAAAGTCTTTCCATTATAAAAACACATATTTATTCTATTTTCAGGTTCTAAATCTCGACAGTGATGCTTCGCAAAAACAAATCGAAGCACAATGTCGAACCTTATCACGTAAATGGCATCCAGATCGATATCGAGTACGAAATAGTTTCTTTTTCTTTGTTAATGAATTTCAACAATAAGAAAATTTTCATGAAATAGGATCTGGAAGCTAAACAAAAAGCTGAAGCAACATTTATGAATATACAACAAGCGTGTAATCGTTTATCCAACGAACGTAAACGACGTCAAGACATCAATACACAAAAGCGTGAAAATCCAAATTGAAAATATTTCGTTGGCTGTTTTTTTTCGGATTGATAGATCTTCTTATTTTTCCTGTTCTTTTTTTGATTGTTTTAAAGTTGTGATGATCTTTCCAACAGTACTTTTTTTTTGCTTTTTATCAGTCGGTGATGGATGTTTTGTTTTCTTAATTTTTAATGAAGACAATAATTAATCTTAATTTTTATTCGAGTTGTTTTTGTTTTAGTTATAGATAAAAAGATTGATCGTTAATATTCATGTCTCAGCCAGTTATTAGTTGATCTGTGCTTTTGAATGTCCGTCACAATCGAATCTATAAAGGTTTATGTTGACCAATTTATTCAAAATTTTGATTATGCTGATGCTATTTTTCTTGCTGAACGTCTGTACGCGGAAGGTAAACTTTATCGGAGAGAAAATTAATTAGAAAAAAAAATTGTTGATTTTCTAGTGAAAAATGATGAATCAATTTATTTATTAGCTCGTACTTATTATTTAAGTGGTAATATTAACAAGTCCTATTGGTTATTGCGCAATTCATCGATTGAACATGTACCTAATGCTAAACTTCTTCTAGCTAAATGCTGTTTTGATACAGAGAAGTAAGTGTTAACGATAAGGAAGAATTTAAAATAAACTTTATTCTTACAATTGAAGACTGTATGAAGCTGAATCAATACTTGTTGGTAATTGTTCATCTATAAGCGCACTTGGAGTAGATGATTTTATTAATGATCATGGTGATCAAGCAGCATATGCATTACAATTATTAGCAAAAGTTTGCGAGTAAATTCAATTGTTTTTATTTTACTGATGAAAGTTGTTGAGCTATAAAATCCCGGCATGAATCGGATAGGAGCTATTTTTTAATTTTCGGACTGACAAAAAATTGCTGCTGTACTTCGAATAAAATGCTGATTGTTTTTATCTGTAAGACTCAGTGTATTATATTATCGATGATTATTATGTTTGTCAACAACCTTTCGATTGATCCCAGTTGTAACTACATATAGAAGAGATCACCATGTGTTAGTTATTACACAAAAGTGCTTTATTATATACACAATGAGCAGTAACGTAGTATTCATAAGAATACGAAATTATTTTTTATTACCAAGAGATTCTGTTTATATCAAATTAACGTTCGACGGCTCATAATTTGAAAGTTGAATGGTTGTATGCAATAGAAAATTTCCGTACTAGAGAATAGTTTTTTTTTCAGTTCTAATAAGATTCAAAATGATTTTATTTATTTAGGAAATCAGATCGTAACCAAAAAGCAAGTGAATGTTATCGAAAATCATTAAAATTAAATCCTTTTCTATGGTCATCTTTTGAAGCATTATGCCGACTTGGTAATATACCTTCTTGTTTCACAAAAAAATGAAAATTTTTAATTTCTATTAATTATTAGGTGAACGTGTTGATACAAGTATATTTTGTTCATCTGCAATTAAATCCAATCAATCCATAATTGAATATAATCAATCACAAACGTGTCTGACACCTTATACAGAACTAATAAAAGATATTCCAAGTGAAAATCAAGTTACAGAAAATGTAGGTTCCTCACAAAAATTAAAGCACTCGATTATTATTATTTTTTATTTAATTTCTAGTCAATGAATATAAGTTCAAATATTCCTATAAAAGAACGATCTCAACAACGTTTATTGCAAGCTCCAGCAACTGTGATGAAACTGACTGATTCTATTCTAAATGTTGACTCAACAAATATTTCTGGAGTCATAACATCAACACCGATTGGCTTACTTTCTGAACAACTACAAGATAATGATAAATATACTCCACCAACTATAAAACCTCCTGATTACATACCAACAATACGTAATCCACCACTAGCACCCAAACGACAAAATACTCGAATGATGTATGAATAGATATAGAAAAGAATTCGTAAAATATTTTTGAATTTCGTTCTTTTGTTTCAAAGACAACAGTATGGATTTGATGATGTAACAACATCCACGTCAACAACAGCAATCTTACATAGACATGAAATCGCATCAACATCTATAAGTGATACGCGCAAAGCAACTACTAGTACACGAAAGGTAGGTTTTTCTGTGTAATTTTTAAGAAAATATTTTGACTCAATCCAAATTTCTTTCACTCTGTTCAAATCTGCCGAATAGATTATTGTTTCCAGTTATAAATTCTCTAATATTTCATATTTTACTTTTTTTTTGGCAAATTTTTCAATGAGCGAACAAACTAGTTTCTGTGAACTGCAACTTAGTATGAAAAAATACACAATTAAAATGGTATAGGCGACAGAACTCAATAATGTTTCATGGAAACTAAACGAGAGTTTATTGTACTTCAAAGTAAAATTACTAGTGTGAAATGAAATAAGATCGAAACAATATAATGCATAAGCATTGTAAAGTCTCGTCGTATAGAGACGAGTTGACAATTTAATTTTTTTCACAAGAATTGAACTGTATGTACTGATGATTTCGAGCTAAACATAAATTGCCACGATAAAAATGGTGTCCAGTAGAAAATTATTTGGCATATCTCTCAAAGAAGCACTAATCATAGATAAACTTATCGTAAAACTATTTTGACATTGTAACTATCGTAGCTTGTATTTAATTAATGAGAAAGTTCAAAAATTAAAACGAGTCAAATATTATGCACCTGCGCTCTTGTAAGAGAATCAAATCAGAGTTAGAACCTTTGAAATGTTCATTGTAATAACTTTCAAACTATGAAATCAACTAGAATTTCAATGAAATATTCATTTTTGGGCAGATTTATAGTATAAGAAGACATAATTTCTTCGCATTTCAATTTTAAAGAGCAATGATTATTTTTTCATCTAAGGAAAATAAATCAATTCGTGCAACAACAAAACGTAATACACGTGTAACAAAAACACGTCCACCATGTACAGATGTGACTATAACACCAGTACCATCATCCGAATCTCCAAATAAAATGACAACAAGATCACAAGTACGATCAAGTAATACAAATTTAAACTGTTCTACTGACACAGAGACAATAAATAAACGAGAGCGTCAAAGAAAAAGTCAATCAAATCAACGGACATCTGGTTTGTTGATAGATTATTATTTTGATCAATAAAATTATTTCGTTTTTTAAGAAATAGTTGAAAATATCATAAATGTATTTAAATTACTTGGCCAAGGACTTCAACATCTGTCTCAATTTGAATGTCGACAAGCTATTGAATTATTTGAAACGATATCATTGAAACACCTTCATACACCTTGGATATTATCACATTTAGCTAATTGTTATTATCATTTACATGATTATCAAAAATCATCACTGATCTATCGAGAATTGCGTACTAAATTTCCATATCATATTGATGGCCTAGAATATTATAGTACTGTTCTTTGGCATTTAAAAGATGATATTGCATTAGCAACATTAGCTCATGAACTAAGTGAAACTGATCGGAAACATCCAGCTGTAAGTTAGATCACTTTTATAAGTAATCATAGTTCACCAAATTGACTCCATTAAGTCTCGATAAAATTTTTCTTCTTGAAATATAATCGTTTCAATGATTTTCATTTTCAAGTAAGATTCAGTGTACCAATAAAGACAGGAGACCAAATCCTTTTGGCTTGAAATCGAAACTTGTTTCTGGTAGAGAGAAAAGTGTACTAGACATTATTCGTATTACATCGAAAAACATCTCTTTTATGCTAGTTTTTTTACTTAGCTGACAACTATCATTTTTCAGTAATCTTCCGTTTTAATACAAACAAATTTTCTCTCGTTAATCAAGTTTGGTTATAGAAAACCTTGAAATTTTAATTTTTCACAATTCTAACCAAGATATACGACACTTATGCCGATTAGCGAATTCATTATATCCGATAAAAAAAAGCGCACAAATCGAACAAGCAAGTAGCTACCCATGTGCAGCTAGCAGACATTGAAAGAGAATATATGATTGTGTCATATCCTCTGATAATATATAATAACTTTAACAGGCTAGACACATGCGCATAAAATTCTATTAGTCTTGTTTATGTCTCAATAGATTGCAGTAAATGAGGCATATTCATGCCTCATCGAGATATATCTTATATAACAAAATGAGATAAAAATTCATTAGGAAAATTGTTTTCTGTTACTCGATGAATATTAATTAGTTATTATTTCCTCTCTTGGGGTCAGAAATAAACATTATTATATTTGTTAAAGACCGTCCTTTATGACATTTTATATAATAAATGTAATTTTTCTTCTATAGAGCTGGTGTGCATCAGGAAATTGTCTTAGTCTTAATCATGAATATGATAAAGCAATTCAAGCGTTTAAACGCGCCATTCAATTAGCACCCGAGTCTGACTATGCGTATACATTATTAGGCAATGAATATTCATTAGTTGATGAACTTGAACGAGCTATGGCATGTTTTCGTAAAGCCATTCAATTGAATTCAAGAAGTTACAAAGCATGGTAACATATTTTATATTTATTTATCAATTGCATCTATTTCGCTTTTAAAAGGAATGGTATGGCAATGGTTTATTTAAAACAAGAAAAGTTTCAATCAGCTGAATTTAATTTCACAAAAGCAACTAATATATTTCAGACTAATCCAGATCTTATTTGTCATCTAGCAGTTGTAAGAAAATGTTTTGCTATTTTTATTTAATAAATTGTATTATATATTCTATTTAAGGCCCAACATAAATGTAACAGATCTGAAGGTGCATTATCATTACTTAATGATGCACTTAGAATTGATTCAAAAAATGCTTTATGTAAATTTCATAAGTAAGTTGGTTTTAATGTAATGTGGCAATTATTCACTATTTCTTCTTCTTCTAGAGCTGGCCTCTTACTACACCTTGAACGATATCATGAAGCGCTAACAGAACTTGAACAATTACGACAAATAGCACCCAAAGAATCACTTGTCTATTATTTGCTTAGTAAAGTATGTCATGATTAATACAGAGATATAAACAATTTCTCGTCAGGCTAATAGTAAATAACATAGTCAATATTTTGGGTTGATACGATACTCGGATTGACTACAATTTTAACTCGCTGTTAATGACTTAGATGTCGATACGATTAAAAATAATGTAACCGGCTATGTTTCCATGTGTCTGTATGCAAAATTCGCGAAATAAATTTCACTATTCGATTTATTAGTGAATGTTCAAACATTGAATTAAGAATTCAGAAACAACAACCTTAATTCGATTCTACACGATTATGAGGTTATATTTTCTAGAATATTTCAAGTCATTTTTCGTAACTCTAAAGGTTATAGAAAAGATATAATATTGAACCATATTGCGGATGACTCAATATTTATGAAAATTATTATAACTGTAAACAGAAATGCTATAGAAATAGATAAACTTTCATTCAAAATGAGCGAATAGGAGATATGCACTAGTCAGTGTCGAAGTTGCAAACGCAAAGATTTGAAAATTGTTTTCAATCACAATACGAAGATAGTTCACTAAATGAATTTAAAATAATAGAACTACATAATCTATTCGATAATTTTTCTGTGCATAAATGATAAAAATTTTTAAATCTTTTCTTTAAGGTACATCGGCATTTAAAAAATTTCCATTATTCATATATGTACATGTCTTGGTGTATGGATCTTGATCCGAAGGGTAATTAAATAACTTCATTTTCTTTTTATACATTTATTTATTTTTAAGGTGCTAATAATCAACTAAAAGAAAACGCCGATAAACTCTACTCAAAAGATGAAGATCTTCTACTCGGTATGGAAGATTTAGCATCGTCTGTGACTGAAGATGATCAAAGTCAAATGCAGTCACAAAGTTCTCTTCAAGATATACAACCAATGGATTCAAGTGAAGAAATTCTATAAAATATTTCTCTGGCATTTTGTCTTTTTGTATATGTGTTAACATCAACTAATGACGAATTTATGTATATATAAAATCAAACAACCAATAGGAAACTGCTCAAGTGTTTGTTTGCTGGTTGACTTCTATCTTTCTGTCTCTCATCTTTTCATTTCCTTTATTCATTACATAGTGTATTGAGATAAAGTCCCTCTGTCTATTCTATATCGAATAAAATATATAATCAATTAGAACTTTTCTTTGCTTTTTATTTGCTATTACATAAATTGATTATCTTTATCAAAACAGAAAAACAACATATTTCAATAATCTACTATGACAAGCAAATTCAAAAGGATCTACAGATGACTAGATGTCTTTTTTGTGTGTCTTTTCTTCTTCTTTTGTTCTGTTTCTTTACTTTCATTTTCAAATGAATCAGCAAAACAATAAAAAAAAAGAATATATTGCATAAAAAAATCAAGGATTAGTTTCATTTTCATACGAAATATCTGTTAGTATGTTTCGATACATCGTTTTCCTTTCTGCAAGTGAGATTTAATTCAAAATTTACTCTATTCATTAATAGAATTCATGTACGATTTAGTTTCAAGCTGTACGAATGGTGTAACTGTTCAATTTAAGTTACGCCAATTGCCAAGATTTTATACACCGTTAAATGATAAAATCTATTTAGCAAGTTCATATAATCGATGGAGTCCAAATGACAAACAATTTGAATTCAATTCTTTGACGAAGTCATTACTTATTGATTTTCAAAATATTACTAATCTTGAATTTAAAATAACACGAGGAAGTTGGTCTACAGCAGAAACTTGGCAAGATGGAACAGATAGAACGAATAGAAAATTAACATTGGTACTGAATAAATTATATTTGAAAAAGAAGAGTTTTTCATAAGACCTGAATACTACAATGAAACTAAAGATTGAGCTATGATCCGACCAGATTTTTTTTTAAAGATGAAGTTTTCAAAGCCTAGCATCGAGTCTTGTTTTACATTTTATATTTGTTTCGTTCATTCGTTCGAAGTGTAACTTCATTTGAAAATATTTCTGATAAAATCCAAATTCAGGCTAATTCGAGATTGGAAAAGGAACATCAGTAGAGCAACATTATTTTTTTGTGTAAGATTTTTAGACAAAATAGTAGCCATTACGTAATAGTAATATAGATGAATTTTAAATATCAAAAGAATAAGACTAAGAAAAAACATCTTTCTACTGTATTTTTTAACTGTTGAAGGTAACATCTTGATGTCATATCTCCTGATCCGTTTTATACTACGTAGATTTTTTGGTTACTATTGATTCAAAAATATATATATATATATATATATATGATACAATAGGTTAATTGATTCTTTTCTTTGAGAGTGAATAGTTTAATAATATTTGCCGCAGTGTTAATAGTTTGAAGGAAATAAGATAGAAGAACAAAATAATCAATAATACCAAAATGACTGCTGAAATTCTACAATGCAGAAAATGATTCGTAAGAATATCTTCAAAATTTATCATTACTTAAACAAAGCATATGAAAATCAAAATATGATTTCTATAGTGATATTCATTCTTGTATTCGGATTATCCTATTACTTTTGTATTCATTTTTCTCTTCATCTAAAAAGGTAAAATACAGCGTTATAGTCCATGTTGCGCATATAATATTTTAATTCTTATATTTATTGAAAACATTTATGATGAATATATCAGGTTTATTTCGACTATTCATATTGCGTTTATAACTAACGTTTTCGTGATTTCAGCCTTCAATCCTTTTCATTCTTAGTAATTAAAGCGAATATTGATATCATGCTTTCAATAGGCTTAGTGATTGTTTTTTAACAAATTTGAGTACTTTTTTTTAAAAACAATTGCATAGGATTAACAGTTTAAGATTTCGATAATTGAAAGTACAATAACAAACGAGAATGTAATTTGATCTTGGATTTTCATTTTTGAAATCTAATCTAATAAAGTCATGCATACAATAGAACACCACCAATTCTCGATTATTTTCGTGGGAAAATTGTCATATTGTAAGCAGACAAGAGATTTAGAAAGACTTGAACGCAATAAAATACTAAATAAGATAACTCACCATTGATGGTAGCCAACATTACGAGTATTTTCTAAAAGAAACGTAATAAAAGTTGTAAATGATTTAAAACTACTCTGATAAATCTTATTTAAACATCTATATACTTATAATATAGTAAGAAATTGGAAGAAATTTTTTGAATTTCCTAAACCGTATGAAAATCTCTGATCGTTTATCTTTTGGATCTGTATAGTGCACATGCACATGTCAAAATAAACCATTCTCGAGAACTGAATGGCTAAATTTCACAACTAATATTTAATTAAATAAAACTGCATTTTCAAATTTCCCTACATAGTCTTTCTTCCAATTCAATATTTACGCTTGGTCTCATCAAAATTACTCGAAAAAAAATGCGTTCTTACGTGTTAACTTCTTTTTTTATTAATTTACTCCTATAATTTTGTCTATATATAGCATTTTACAAACATATAACTTACTTTCAATGGTAATATTGACATTTTTTTACGGAAGTGTCTGTTGCAAAAATATCTAACGAAGTTCAATTATAAAAATTTCATTAAAAAAATATGTAATTAAAGTAAAAGGAAAATTCAATACGCCTTAGTCGACTTATTTTTTTAATAGCTAAGAAATTTCTAATAGAAATTATGATTATTTCATGTAAAAAAATTCAAATACAAAAGATAAATGTTAAGCACCCGTATCAACAAATAATCAGATTGGGAGCATGATACTCATTTGTAAGGCTAGGACAAAATACAACTAAGAAATTTTTGTAATTAATATAATAAAACTAGAAGCTTTTGTAGAATGACTATTTCTTTTAGAAAAGTATAGTCTGAACTTCATCAAGTTCAGCCTTCTAACTGTTGGCTATTATTGATAGTTAACTACATATAAAGTATTTGATAAGACTTAAAATAAACTTGAAACGACTAATTCATTGAAAATATCTGTATTTTAATTGTCAAAATGATCAAGATCGAATGATCTTGCATGTTATATATTTTTGCATTGTATAACTAGACTAGATCTTAATACTAATTAATATATTTTCGCATATTCATACACGTTCTACTCAATGAATTTTTTGTTAAAGAATTTTAAATCTATTTTTAGTCGAATTTTCTTCAATCCATTGAAATATCAGTCGAACAATGGTCTGACACATCGGGCGGTGTTCATACAGCTACTAATCAACTTTATATATTAGATACAAATTTTTCGATGTCTCCGTATCTTCCTAGTACACGTCGCATTTGGATTTATTTGCCTCGTAGTTATTCAATTGAATCCAATCGACGCTATCCAGTTGTTTATGCTCATGATGGTCAAAATCTATTTGATACTAGAACATCGTTCTCTGGCGAATGGGGTATTGATGAAAGTCTTGATGCATTATCTCAACAATTAATTGTTGTTGGTATTGATAATGGTGGCTCAGAACGTATCAATGAATTAACACCTTTTCCAAATTCAAATTATGGTGGCGGTCAAGCTGATAAATATCTAGATTTTATTGTTAAAAATCTTCGACCCTATATTAACACTCATTTTCGTACAAAACCTGAACGTGAAAATACTGCAATATTAGGTAGTTCACTTGGTGGCCTTTGTAGCTTGTATGCAGCTCTCCGACATGAGGATATATTTGGATTAATTGGAATTTTCAGTCCATCTTTATGGTTTACAAATGATATTTATACATATGCTCAAAACCATCGTTTTCAAAATTCACCGCCAAGACTTTATTTTGTTGGGGGTCAATTAGAAAGTTCATCGATGATTAGTGATATGCAACGTATGGTAAATTTATTAAAAGGTACAACAAAAGAATATAAAGAAGATAAGAATCAATTGGCAATTATTATTGCTTCTGATGGTCAACATCAAGAATGGTTTTGGAAACGTGAATTTCCCAATTCAATTAAATGGTTATTTCCATCATCGTAAATAATAAATAAATGTCACAATCTGACTTTCTTCTAATGTAGTCTTTGATTAAAAACCTAACATAGTATTACATATTATAGAGCTATGCATGAGAGAATTGATTCTAGATGACAATTTTAATTGCTTCCAATATAATAGTTAATGTTTACTATTAGTGCCTAGGAAATAATTCGTTATTTCTATGACTATAAAATCTATTTGATAGTTTTTCTTTCAAGTTTAACAAAAAATTTTCTTACGATTTAAACAATAAAAGTATATTTTTGCTTTATTTGAATACAAAAAAATCGAAGTTCATAAAATTTTCATTCTAATCATATTAAAAATAAATCGAGTTCAATCTTGAATTTATTTTTACTCTCTGAAAAATAATACTTGTCAGTTAAATCGGCGTTATTTTATTCACATATGTCATTCAAGTAACAGATTTAAAACGAATACTTGATTGTTTTTTCCTAAAAAAGTGATGAAACAGAAACAAGACAAAATATGGTGCATACTACACAGATGACAGAAGAATATAAAATTAATGATTGTATCACAATGGAAGTTCGTTGAGTTAAATATGAAATATGTATTCATTGATTTTGATTTTTAGACAAATGGTCCCCAATGCCCTATATATATATATATTAGGGATACACTAGTACCAGTATACTGGATACAGGTCATACTGGTAAGCCAGTCATGAAATGCCTAGTTCGACTTCGAATATACGTAAATCGACATCTCAATAACTATTCACAATTCGGAAATAACTGAAAAAAAATCGCAACCATTTAAAAACCATCCCAAAGCAAACGCAAAAGATCACATAACTAGCAGTGCATTTTAAATTTAGGAATACCCAGGTCGATTAATCCGACGACGGATTCTATTGGATCCTAAAACATCCTACTAACCGAGGAAATCCAGTTGGATTCTGGGTTTTGAAACTATTAACGAATCCGATGGAAGAATTTTAAAAAAATCAAAATTCTACTTAATGCAAAAGAGTTTTTTAGAGGTTGAGTATAGCAGGCTTTTTTGGCGCATCGGATTCCGATCCTACAGATCCGAATCTCGGCCCGAAACCCGGAATCCGACGGAATCTATTGGTTCTTGCCGATTTTCATGTAAGATCCGATGCAACTCGTTTTCAGATTCGATTGGATCCGATTTTAGGAATGAACGACCTGGGTAGATTTAGATTCACTTCTTATAAATTATAAAATTTATTAATTAGCTGAATCGTTAGTGAGTTATTTTAATGAAGTATTAAGATAAGTATTTTTGGTTTGATCAGAATCCGAATATGGATATGAAAGAAAGTCGAGTGACAATGTCTCTGCAATTTATTTTCCATTCGATATGAGATATATTTTCTCAGTTACGATTTGTTGTTAATGTGAAAGTGTACCTTTTTTTCATATGTTAGCAGCATGATGTTAGTGCATTTCTTTATTGTGCTTTTTTAGCTTCGTGCCCTCAAAAAATTGTGTGTGCAGACATTTGCTGTTTGTAACCGTCGATGCTGTGCTCGTGATGTGTCGAGGCTCTTTTAACCTGTGATATGAGTAAGAGCTTCCAGTTCAATTCGTACGTTGTTTTAGTACTATTTGTAAAACTGTCTGTTTTTCGAGTTCATTGTATATAGCATAGTCAAATTTCTATAACCACCGTTGTTTATTTGAAGATGGAATAATTATTATTTGTGTAAGTTTGAGAGAGGTTATATTCATATTTTCCCGTTTGGTATCGCACGTGCGCATGCCCAAGAAAACGGTGCATCAACGACCGTAAGCGGTATCAAATGTTGAAAAATGGAGCTGTTTTCTGTCAGCTCGGAAAACGACGAATATAGTGTTAAAAACGATGGCTGTTTTCTAGCGAAAAAACGGTTCGTAAAACGAGCTGACGGATTACGGCGAAATAAGGTGAAAATGAATATCTCATTATGCCGTTTTATAGCCGTTTCATGCCAAAAGTTCAAGTCTCAAATTTAAACCTTCGAATTTCAAGTTTCACCAAATCCGATTTTGGCTATGCTGTCTCAAGAACAGGTAATTCTATCGTGCTAAAATTTTCTTTGGATTTGTAAACCAGTAAGGTCTATACACTCAACAAATATCAGCTCCACCAATTCAACCCTAAGGGCTCCATGGATTTCACCAGTGAGAGTGTGGGTGTGGATGTACGGAAAGGTGGGCACGCGGATCTACCTGCACAGGCACACTCCACACCCACACCTTCTATCCAGTTTGTCTTAATATATCAACCCCAGAACAGGGTACCATATGTACCGTCACACCACATATACTAAAACACTTCAAACCACTAAAATTCAAAGTCAACAATCAGGCCTGATTTTCTTAAATTGCTGATGTAAATATAGCGCATCCTTCAGCAGCAATATTTGAACCTGATAAAAACGAGATCAAAATCTTCCTTCCAAAAAGATTTAACTTCCATTAAACATATTTATACACATTTCTTCAAAGTCTACACGAGAATTATAACTATCCGACAAGCCTGACTTACTACGATATCAACTTTCTCAATACATTTGATTTCGAAAATATAGATTTTGCAGTTTACAAAAAAAGGAAATCTACATCTATTTCAAAATTGTAAATGGGAACGAAGTCAACTTATAAATTTTATATTTTATAAAAAGGAAATCTACATCTATTCCAAAATTGTAAATGGGAGTGAACTCAATTTATAAATTTTGTAGTTTACAAAAAAAGGAAATCTACATCTATTCCTAAGTTGTAAATGGGAACGAAGTCAACTTATAAATTTTATATTTTATAAAAAGGAAATGTTTTCTCGGCGATGGCGTAAAAACATGAAGGTAGTTTTTTTTTCATTTATATTCGAAGTCAAATTAGGCAGCTACTCTCACCAGTATACTAGTCTACCGGTATATATTGGTTACCAGTAATACTGGCAGGAACCGCGAAAGCGGGAGGGGGTGTGGGGGGAGGGTACACCCCCCTCCCCAATGAAACGATTTAGCAAAGAATTGGGTAAAAATGAAGGATAGACGTATCCAACATCCATAGAACGCGTATTCTAATTTAAAAAAATTGCTTTTTTTAGTTTATTATGCTTATGTGTGAAATAAACTAATAATCATGTTTTGTTTTTGTTTTTCTTGTCATGAGTTTGCTCGAAAAATAAAGTATTTAAATTGAACAACCTAACTGTGGTGTTGTATTAAAAAATTTTCACTACGAGTACGTCTCTTAAAATTT